TTATCACAAAATGATTTAGTGAATGATTGAATTAAAAGTTGTTGAAAATATATATTTAACCATGTTAAAGTAAGGCACATAATCATAGTGAATATAGTATTATGAGCATCATTTTTAAGATACCACGTCACCACACTTTGTACCAGACCACTGCGCCAGTTCACCCAATGCATAATTTACTAGCCTAAGTTTTTTAATTAAGTTAGGAGAGAGAAGCTCGACTCAAAATGTTGCTTCAGTTAAAGACTAATTATTAAGTTGATATGCATCTTCTGGCATGACAATCTTAGAGAAGAAAAAAGAAACAAACAAACGATAACTCTTTTCTTATTACTTAAAAAACAAAAATATCAGATCTGTAATGTTATATCTGCATAAAAAAAAAAAAAGAACTAATTTTATTCAAAGAACAGAAAGTTGAAGTGGAAGAAGCAGAAGAAGAAAATTAATAGTATAGTATATAGCCATGGCGCATAAAAGAATGCAAACTGAAGATCATATTAACTTGATTCAAGTTTTCAAAATATAAAAAACAAGTGGCAATTATTAAACATTAATTAACTTTGTACAACTTTTTTGCACTTTTTTGTGTTGTGTTTTTTAACTTGTTATGAATAATTCATTAGATAAACTGAAGTGGCAACATAATACAAATAAATAAATATCTGCTTGCAATATCTCCCGTAAATACAACATTAATAATTAAAACAAATAACTTTAAAAGTAACGTTTTAACTGAAACACGAAGTGGGAGAGAGATTCCTTTAAAAGAGGGAGGGGGCATTAGAGGAGATAGAGAGAAGGGAGAAAACAGATGAGCTTCAAATAGACCATACCATACGAAGCACGTGAAGAACTTAAAACAAAAATGGAAATGAAACCACCAAAATCAAGTTGTGTGATTCGAAGATTCTCTTTGTCAACAGCAGCGGTCTATCTTACGTTATTAGGCTCTCTTCTCTTCTTCCATCCAAACCCCTAACTGCCTAATTCTTCTCTATCAAAACCATCGATTGGGAATTTCTGCGACGACTAGCGTGTTTGATTTGCGGTAGTGCAACACGAAGACGACCCGAAAGAATTTGAGGAGAGCCCGTGGGAATTGTTGCACATATTTCTTTTCTTGGGTTGCTTGCTTATATCATATATTCGTTAGCGAAAAGACTTATCTAGTCAGTAGCGATCTGGCCGGTTTAAATCAGCGAGAACCCGGACTGTTTCTAAAAAGTCCGATTTTCGATTCAACTCCTCACAGACCGTGAAATCACATGTGGCTTAATATGTATATTTTTTTTAAATCGGTGGTCGGTACTACGTGATTGTAGAAGAAGGAATAAGGAAAAAGACATGGGAAAGAATGAAAAGGAAAAGTGTTAAAAAGGGAAAGAAAGAAATATAAGTACACAGAAGTATATATGTTATGGTGGATTTATTACCCATCATAAAAATATATTCATTTTACGTATTTGCTTATGTTAAAGAAAAATCAAATTTAAAAATTAAATTATTTTTATTTTTGTTTTTCGTATATATTTATAGAAATTGAAAACTCTAAATATTGAAAAATAATGCAATGTATTTATTCAATTTTTAAATTTTTTTACTATTAAATTTATATATATTTTTAATTATACTATTTCAATTTGACAACATAATGTCTAAAAAATATATCATTTTTATAATTTTTTGAAAATATACTAATATAATATTAAAAAATATCATTTATTTTATTATAAAATATTCTTTACTATTTTTTATTTCTACAGTTATGTTTTATATTCTCAATTTTTCTTCAATTTTATTTTCTACATAAAAAAAAATATTTGTTAGAAAAAATTAATTTTGGTCTTTTTGATAATCAATTAAATAAATTTTAATTATATATATAAAATATTAAAATTAATCTCACTTGAAGGCTTTTGAATTAATATTGGTTCTTCAAGGAAAATTTATACAAAATTTTATTTTCTACATAAAAAAAATATTTGTTAGAAAAAATTAATTTTGGTCTTTTTGATAATCAATTAAATAAATTTTAATTATATATATAAAATATTAAAATTAATCTCACTTGAAGGCTTTTGAATTAATATTGGTTCTTCAAGGAAAATTTATACAAAATTTTATTTTCTACATAAAAAAAATATTTGTTAGAAAAAATTAATTTTGGTCTTTTTGATAATCAATTAAATAAATTTTAATTATATATATAAAATATTAAAATTAATCTCACTTGAAGGCTTTTGAATTAATATTGGTTCTTCAAGGAAAATTTATACAAAATTATGTGGGGGACTTATTGTTCTTTCATTATATAAAATTTGCATTTTTTTAATTGCTTGAATTTTTTATTTTGTAAGAATTTTTTAAAATGGACTCTCAACGGTGAGGGAATAGACATGATTTTGAAAATTTTGACAGTATTCTAAGAGCAAAATCTATGGTTTATTTATACCGAAAAAATTTATAATTATATTTTTTTATTATTATTATTTATTTATTATTATTATTATTATTATTTATGATTGATTCTAGGAATTTGGTAATTGTTCTAAGGTTTGTATCGAACTTTATGCTCTATTGCAATCCGACTTAGGATATAATTTCATCGTAATCCATTATGTAATAATTTTTGTAACTAAATTATTGTTGTTAATGGACATTATTGATTTATTGTTATTTTTTTTTTGTTGTTGTTGATGGATATTATTTATTCAATTTTTATGTTTTGTTGTTTTTATTTTGCAATCTATTCACGTAGATATATGCTTGAAAATATTTGTATTCTTAATTAATTGTTCTAATGTATTTTATTTTTTTTAAGTAGATGATGAAGGAACTAATAATTATATTCTATTGATTAATAGGAAAACTATGAAAATAAATACAGATTCAAAAAAAAATATTAATAACGATAGTTTGAAAATTAATTACTCTACATATTGTAAAAATAAAAAAAAAAAAAAAAATAAGATCATCTTTTAAGAATAAAAATTGATGATCTGATATATGCTAAATGCAACTATCGTAAATTACGTCTCAAAGCATTAAATGGTATAAAACAAAAAAAATTAAAAAAAAATACTTTTAAAATATTTATAAAAAAAGACCAAAAAAAAATAGATATGCGGTCAAGTATTATGGTGATGGAAACAAAAAAATTTTTACGGAGGTCAAACAATGTATTTAATTAAGAAGATTCAAAATATGGTCTTGCAATATTTTACATGATTATTCATTGACAATTGTTGATCACATTGAGTTTCGAAGATTTGTTGGTAATTTTCAACAATGCTTTTAACATAATTGCAAGAAAGATTTTGAAACATGACATATTTAATAATTATGAAGTTAAAAAGGCAAAATGCTACGACATATTAGATAAGTTTAATAGTTGAATTGCTATCCTAACGAACATGTGGACATCAAGTAACAATAAGAAAAGTTTTATATCAATTATTGGACATTATATTGACAACTCTTGAATTTTTTAAAATATTATTTTGAGGTATATTTATTTTTTAAAAATTATTTTGTTATTGTTATATAAATAAAAGGTTATAGCAAAATATTTTTCTTTATATATTTGTTTATGTATAAATTCAATTCATATGAGTAAAATTTTATCTAATGTCCTTGATGAGTATTTGATGGGTCAGAATATTGATAGAATATAATAAACTATTATTGTTGTTAATTGTATTACCAATGATTCCATAATTCAACTTATTTTGAAAAAGTTGTCATCAAGAGGTATGCTAATGAATGGAAAAATACTTCATATACGTCATTCTGCATATATATTAAATTTGACTTTCATTTAGATGTTAAAGACCTCTATAGTATATAAAAATATATTTTTACGAGTTAAATGCCCGGAGAGAAATTATAAAATGAATCAAAAAAAATTTAGAGATTGTAAACGAAATATGTAGAAAGTTGAAAGTTTTTTATTTTTTAAATTTTTTTAACTTAATTCTAAATTTTATTTTGCACATTTATGTGAGATCAAATGAAAATTAAATGAAGTTTATGCACTTCGGTGGCCGCTGCGGGTTCTCAAGTCATAAAAAAAAAAATTAAAATTAGATGAATGAATAAAAGTTTCAAATATGTTGTTTAAAAAATGACAAAAAAAAATGATATTTTGTTATGGGACGAAAATGGAAAAATTGATACTTTGTTATGAGACGAAAATGAAAAAATTGATACTTTGTTATGGGACGGAGAGAGTATATTAATTGAGATATAAAAAAAAAAATTTTGAAAAATTCTACCGGTATAAGAGATTAAAATTTAATTAAATTAATATATACTTATTAAATATGTTTAAAATTGATAATTTTATCAAAATAAAAATAAATTTATCTTTTTATATAACAGAAAAACAAAAAAACATCTGAAAATATAATATTTTCGGACACAAAATAAAAATAGTGATATTTTTTTAGCATAATAAAATAAAAATTAATTTTAAATGTTACTAATAAATATTATAGGCAAATTACTAAATATATTTATGTTAAGTGTAGGGCCACATTAATTATTATGGAACACCAAGTTGTCTATTTGAATCTTTAATGAACACAAGCCTCCTCAGTTTTAAACACACATGTTTTCGTATAAATATAGTGATATATTGTTACAGGAGGCTTATATTATAGTTTACACGATCATGATTGTTCTAAATTATTTGCCTCAGCCTCCGCTATTGCCACGTCATTCTATTCTATTAAAATTTTAATAATGAGACTAAAAATAATAATTTATTCTTTTGTATGAGATTAATTTTGGATGAAATAAATTTATTTATTTTTGTTTCGAATAACATGGGAACCCGCAGCCGCTATTCGATCCGAAAGTGAGCACTGGGTAAACCTCCAATCGAATCTAATACCGTGCAAATCGGATCCGGCCAAAAATACATTTGGCAAACCATGTGTAGCGGGACCCACAAAAAAAATTAAAAAGAAAATGTAGAAAAAATCATTTTCTTTTCCAAACGATACGCATCTCTCTCGCTCGAGGTTAAAGTTACAAATCAAGTCTCGGCCGCGAAGACATTGCAGGCTGCAGCAATGGTGGCCATATCGCTCTACAAAGGCAACCTTCACAAAGTTCCCAATGTCCCCCACCGATGGTTATGTCCCACCCCCAACATCTCGCTCAAGGATTTCCGAACGCTCCTCCGCCGCCGCAATAGGACCCTTTCCCGCCTCTCTTCGTCAAACCCTAGCCCTGTTCGTACTCGGGATTCCGACTCCAAAATTTTCAGCACTGATTCGATCGTCGCGGGCGGTGCCATCTTGAATAATGGCAACAGCAACGATTTTGATGGTTCTGGGGCTGAACTGCCGCCGAAGGAGGTTTTGAAGGAGGATAAGGGAAGGGGGGAGGATGAGAAGGTGTTAGAGGTGGGAGATTCTGAGAAAAAATCTGCAGAGAAAACTGATGCTTTGGTGGGCGAGGAGAATAATGAGGGTGGGGATAAAGTTGAGGTTCCTGCGAATCCTTTGGTAATCGAGGTAATGTGTTCTTGCTCGTTTACTTTTCTTCATTTACTATTTAGTTTGTTCGATATACTGCAATTTTAAGGCATCACTGACCTACTTATTTGTGTCGTGGAGGATTCCTTTCCCAGATTTCATGATTTGAGTGTAATACTGCATTGATAATTTAGTTTAAAATCCTGTGCGTGCTCCTGGTTGATTTGGTGATTGTGTGATTTCATTTTATTTCAATTTCATTGATTTATAATGAATGTTGTGTTCTTGTATATCATCCACCATTGTCACTTGAGACATTACCTACCCAGCATTTGAATGGTTAAATAGCTGTTTCTAGAATGTGATTTTTTATTTTTTATATACTTATTTCCCCGTGGATGTGATTTATTACAATTGTTATCCATATTGTACTTGATATTCTTGTTGGCTTAGAACATAGCTGTAAATGGCCGCACGGCCTCCCAGCACAGCTTATAATTTATAATAGCTCTAGAAATTAACACCACGTGGCAGAAAAAGATATTAGAATGTTCTCACCGGGCCTTTCAGCCATTTAACTGTAACAGAATGTTGCCGATTTTATGTGGCATATATGTTGATGCAATAAAATCTTCTAAAATCCATTGCATTATGGGGCAATTTTATGGAAGAGAAGCAGGGACCAGCATTTAGACAGTTGTTACCAACGTGGTGTTGTATTTTGCACTTTGGCGAAGCAGCAGTATTTCCATGTTTGTAAAATTGCAGCAGACAGCTGAGTGCCTGATGGTATTTTTCTTTTTGACAATTGTGATTGTTTTCGCCTCCAGTTTTGGTAAGATGAAAAAAAATCAGTGTGGCATCATTTACTGTTCTTAACATTTTGACTGTAATATTTAGCATTTTCTCCATTGTTCAATTTCTAAAGCAAATTTGCTACGATGAACCATTTAAACTATTCCTTTTTTTTTTTTTTAATCTGAATCTCATGACCTTTGTTGAACTTTTGAGACTTTCAATGACAAAGTGGCGATCATAGATATAATGATGTTGTAACTGTGCCTATTTATACTTCTTGGCATTGCACCACCGTCTTATACACTTTGTTTTTTCATTTTTTTGTAGAAAACTGAAGCAGAAAACCGTTCAAGTGAGATAGAGAAAAGGAAAAAGGAGATTGAGGAAAAACTGGAAGTTTTGAATGAGAAGAAACATGGCTTAGTACAAGTCCTGAAGCAAGTAATACTACTCTTTATTTATTTTTTGTAAAAAAAAAATAAATGTATCAAGGGTAGAGAAGTTGGTTGCCTTCAATTTTCTTATTAATTGTGGTGAATGCATATATATATATATATATATATATACCTTTATTGGACAGATTCTAAATGCAGAAGAGCAACTAAAGAGACAAAACACTGCACAAGGGATGCCTGGCCGTCCACCTCTACCCCTACACGTGGACACTACCACCGATTCTGGATCAGTAACTAAGCTGAACACCCCTAAAATGGGCTCTGATGTGAATTCTAATGGTGATTTGGAGGGCGGAGATGCTGATGATGTTTCAAACCATAATACACAGTCTCTCCATTGGCCTCATACAAACAGTGCTTCCCCTTCTTCCGACACTCAGCAGCGAAAGCCTTCCTCCAGCTTGGTAAACTTTAATTCACTTCATAATATTCTTCTATCCTGCTTGTTCCGACTTCTGAAGCTTTTACATTTATTCAGGTGTTGATTATGTAGATCTTTAATTCAAATTATGATAATATTCACTTATTATTAGGTCGATACTTGTAGATTATAGATTTTAAATTTGAAATTTGCAGATTAGGGATCTTACAATTACATCTGTGCTTACTTGGAGACTGTAGTGCAGGGTTAAAATTTGCAGCACAAGCTGAAACATTATCCTTGAAGTAACTGTATGATCTGTCAAAAATTTTAAGATTCGAGTGCGATGGGGCTTTCTAATAATCATAGTTTTCAATAGCGGCGCTAAGCGTAGCGAAGAGGCATTTTGCCGCTATGGCCGATCCGTAATTCTGCGTTTACGCAATAGCGGCTTGTAGCGGCACTCTTCTACACTGCGCTACACTGCTATTAGAGCTCATTGGGTTATTTTTTAACGCGTAAATAATTGAAATCTAACTTTAACTTATAATATATACTTTTTTTTATTATTATTTTATAGACAAAAAAAGAAACTTAACATTTATCTTAAATTTTAACTAAATTATTAGATTCATTTTAGGAAAGAAACAAATTAAAAAGCCAAAGTTGCAAGATTTGGTTTATATCAAATATAACCAAAATTTGTTAGGTGCTTATGATAGCAATGATGTGATTAGTCTTATTATTTTGAACAATATTGATGATTCTAATGAGTGGTTAATTAAAGAAGTTGATAATTGTAGAGGATGAGTTGGTCTTTGATAATGATAATTTGACTATGGGAGTTGTTGTTGATACTACTAGAGCTAATGAGCCTGCTTTCTACACTATAATGCAAACATCAATGAGAAAGAAAATTTTAGGTACTTCTAACTCTTTAAATAATACTCCCTCCGTCCATTTTCTAATGTCCTATTTGATATTTATACGTATTCTTAGGCAATTAAGGTTTTTGTTATAAAATGACAAATTTGCCCTTAATCTTGTGTATAGAAAATGAAAGAGTAAATAAAGTAAGGGTAAAAGAGTAAATTTTGTGTATAAAAATAGAAAGAGGACAATAATTGTTGGACATTCCAAATAGGAAAATAGGACGTTAGTTTATGGACGGAGGGAGTATTATGTAAGGTGACGAACATACAATAGAATAAATGGATGATAATGAAGAAGAACACGAAGAATATATAGACAAGAGTAATTAAGCAGTGAGGATGACGAAAATGAGTATGAAAATTTTCAGATTTTGAATCTCAGTAGCTTTGATATATACATCTATCACAATAGTGACCTAATTGTTTTTGCTTATATAACTATCTAACATTTATGATCATATCTTCCTTTTTTTTTCTTTTTTTTTATATATTTTATTGGTTCGAATGATAATTATGAGATTAATATAATTTTTTTAATGTATTTTTGTTGTAATTTTGTATATATAATAATTTTTATATATTCTTAAATATTTAAATAGCGGTCATCCTGCTATGCGCTATCCAGCTATAGCATTTTAGATGTTGATCGTTATGCACCGCTATCTGTGATTGACAACTATGCTAATAATTAAACATCATTTTAACATCATGTTTGCAGTTGACAATATTGCATTGTTCCTAAAATGCTACCTCTTATGGGGATTATGTGCATTAATATATTATTTTCATGGTGGTAGGCACAACCTCATCCCCATCGCTCCCATCTGGGAGTTGTTGGTAGTCCTTCACGATTTGCACCAGCTGGTTTTGGGCATTCATCGGTTTCTGTCTCGGCCACAAGTTTTGTAGCTTCCTCACCATCACCGTCTCCTGCTGCATCCGGTGGCACGTCGGTCTTCAGAGATGGCAGGCTTCCAAGTCCATGGAATTAAGAGGTGCCGAAAATTCTGCAGGAATTGGCTATGGAGAGTAAGATTTGATAGTAGATTGTGTGGGGACTTTTTAATCATATGCATAATATGTAAATCTATCATGATAAATATGTTTCTGTATCTGCATACATATATATTTACATATATGGCCTGTACAATATTTCCATTTTAATGGCGAGAAGTTTTTACCCTTTTTTATTCCCAACTGTCTTGCTCATTTTTCTTTGATTTATCTGATGCAATCATCGACACTGTTCTTGCCCATTTGTTGTTGTCGTTGTTCTCAATATCTACAAGGAGGAAGACGATGTGATGGTGTTTGAATAACTTGTCAAAACATGATTAATAATGAAATGAAATTAGCTAGATCGAGGAGACATGCTGTATTGTCATACGTTGTTCGATATTTTTATGATATTTTAAGGATTGAATGTGTTTTTATTTCTTTAAATTCATCTGTCCTCATTCTCATTCCTTTGTGAATATGAGGTGACTTTTTCTTTCAGAAATGCTTAGGTATCCTCAGTATATTACTTGTATTTCTTTTTCACTTACATGCTGAAAGTTGTTTTCTTACATTTTCAGCTGTTGGAGAAGACAGAGAATTGGTACTATTCCAATATAGCAAAGTAGTCGGAAGCTATCCAAATTTTAAAAGAAGAATTAAATGATAAGTTGGTGAGCCTGAAACTGCAAAGAATGGAGATGAGGTTGAAGGGCAATCGATCTTTTTTATGTGATATGTCACTGTCCAAAAAGCCCAAGATAGTTCAAGAGGACATATTATTTTCACATGGTAAGAAAGATACAAGAGCTGGACAATGTCTTTGACCTTTCCATCAAGATCTCAAGAGTATGTTTTCAATTATATAATTTGTTTATCTTGGATATCTTGGATCTTAATTGCAATGCTTTAAACGATACTGCCTGTTCTCTTGTTTACCATTCTTTTCCGTTCTAAAACAATAGTTTCATTTTTATAAATAATTATCTTTATTTTTTTATTATTATTATACAATTGCTACTATTTTTTACACTAAAGGCAAAAAAGTCTTTTATCAATACTTTTTATCCATTAAATCTCGTGTCAAACACAACCTAAACTATAGTTTTGGGACGGATGAAATATATATATATTTGACCGAAAGCTAAAAGTTCAATAACACATCGCCTCCCAACAAATTTATGATTTGTTTTCAACACATGATATGTTTATTATAAGGAGTAAGTTTGATTTTGATTTTTTTTTTTTTAAATACAAATTTTATCAATTAATCAAGTTTAACTGCAATTAACGCAATGATCTATTTATGCATTACTTTTATAACATTCCTTAAATATATATATATATTCCTTAAATCTGTCGACTCTTTCTTGCCGTCGACCATACTTTTGCAAAAAGAAGTACAATTTATATTTCTCAACTATGCACATATTTACAATACAACATGTACACAAGAAAATGATGCATTTGCCGACTAAATATTTTTATTTTTTTTTTCAGTCAATATACGACGGGATGATTATTCTATACTATTTTTTTATATTAAATAAAAAAAATGATTTGATTTGATTTAAAATTCATATTAATTCTCCATCATTTTTTGATATTGTCTCTAATTTAAGAGCAAATAAGATTGAATTATAAATAAACCACAATTTATATGATATGATGTTTGTCACTTTATATTTAAAATCAATTTAGATTATAATTTTTCAGAACTACACATTTAGCAGGGAGTTTCACACATTTAGCAACGTGGGGCAATATTCAACATATTTTTTTAGGTAATGTTTACATAATATTTTCAAAAATAATAAAATTATTTTTTTCTTTTACAAATTATCAGCAGAGCTATTGAATTTACTAATTAGAATAAAACTGAAGCATAGCAATATAAGGGGTGTATTTAATATAGATTTTGTAGGATTTTGTTGGACTTTCAAAAAAATCTGGGTGTATTCAATCAAAACTTTTAAAAATATTTTAAAATCTTAAGGTATTCAATCTAACCCTTTAAAAGTAAAAGTCTTTTAAAATCCTAAGGTATTCAATCCAGACTTTTATTTTTTAAAATCTCAAGGTATTCAATATAGACTTTTAAAAGACTTTTAAAATTTTGAGATATTCAACAATCCATACACTTATGGATTTTCAAAGTGTATGGATTTTAATGGATTCTAATAGATTTTTATGAAAATTTTGTATATAAAAAAATCTCTCCTTACCATCGCAACTTTTGATGGATTCTTAAAATTATTATTATTATTATTATTGTTGTTGTTGTTGTTGTTGTATATGTGATTAATAATATGATAATATTTATTACTATTATTATAATTTTTAATAAAAATAATAATTTAAAACTAAAATATATTAGCAAATTATTATGATTTCTTTTTAAATATATATTTTTATATTATAAATATAATTTTAAAAAATATTATTATAATATTGTCGTATTTTCTTTTCAATTATCGAATATTATCATTACGATAAAGGTGAAATAGATATTTAAATATTTTTTTTTGAACCGTTAATTTATATTTATTTATTTATTTTAATATTTTTTTCAAAAATCATATATTATTTATTTATTTATTTTAATATAACCTTTTTACATAAAAAGTAAATATATATATTATTTATTAATACTTATATATTTATTAATATTAAATATTATCTTATTAATAATTATTTATTATGTTTATAAAATTTTTCGTTTGATGTAAATTTATATAATTAATATATATTAAAAAAATATATATTTTATAATTCTATAAAATTCATATAAATCCATAAAGAATTTAATCAAATACTTAGAAATCCATCTAAATCAATTACTAAAATCTATCAAATTCAAGTAGACTCCGTGAATTTTCTAAATTCTTTTAGAATAAAAAAAATTCATTAAAATCTCAATTGAATACACCCCCTTAAATGTCCTAATTTTCAAAATGTCTTAGGTGATGATTCAATAACTTATAACTTCGACTATTGACATGCTAAATGACCAAATTATTATAAATTATAATGTATATATTTAGAGAGTATATTGTTCAAAACGTAAAGATATGATACATAATAAATTTGGCACTACGTTACTTTTGCAATAAATGAAAAAAAAAAAAACTTATTGCGTTCTCGATTATTGTTTTGAATATTATCTTTGATCATGGTGTACTGGTACTTATCAAAATGCACATCATTTTGTTCTATTTTGTTCCAAGCTCTGAGCTCACTGCTATACTTTTTTGCTCGATAAGAGGATAGATTATTTTTTTTTAATGTAAAATGATCTACCATTGATATATAATACCACCATAAAGAATATATGTTATATCTATGCATTTTTTTTTTTTTTGTTTTTTTAACTTATGTATAAATTCATAATGGTCTAATTTATTATATAATTGAAATTACATATTTATTGCTACCTGCGACATGCGATCCAATCCGTTAATGTGTCATTTACAATCACGCATCACCGACGGCTGGTTTGAAAAAAAAATACGGCAAGTGATTTCACGGCTTGGGAGAAGTTGAACCGAAGCCAATTTTTAGAAGCGGTTTGGGTTCTAGCTGATTCGGACCGGCCGTTTCGCAGCCGGATGGACAAGTCTGTTCATTACTAGAGAGACAGGCTAATCAAAGGATAGGTACTGATATAAATACAAAGGATCGTATTTACATAAATCCGCGAACTGCCTTTTCTGAATTCGGCTCCTCAGAATTTCTTGCAGGTTCACTGGCATGGCGGGGCTGGAAGAGTTGAAGAAGAAGCTTATGCCGCTTTTCGATGCAGAGAAGGGATTTCCGTCTAGCTCTACAGTTGACCCTACCGATTCTGACATGGTTGGTTGTTTGTTTGATTTTCCCCTTTTTCTGTTATGTACGAGTCTTGGATATAAGCGTATCTTCGTTTAGGGCATTATTTTAGTTTCTAATTTTAGTTTTTTTTGGTTGAATTTCTTGGCGCAGTTACTGGACGGTGGAACAGTGAATTTGCTGAGCAAATCGTATAATGTGTACAATATTAATGAGCTAGGCCTGCAGAAATGTACATCGTCTGCTTTTTCTGTGGATGATGGAGAGAAAACGTATAGGTGTGCTTCTCATGAGATGAGGGTTTTTGGGTCTATCGGGAGTGGGGCGAGTAGTGTTGTTCAGAGAGCTATTCATATCCCAAACCACAGGATTATTGCCCTAAAGAAGATTAATATTTTTGAAAAGGTAGATTTATGCTGAATTATTTGATTGTGGTGCTTGTTAGGGTTTGCTAATATTTGGATCTACTTTTGGAGTTTTGAAGTGTATAAAATAGTGAATGTTTGTTGTTCTGAACAGTAGGTTTAATATATATATATATATCATATTTATGCAAGTAAGATAGATATAAGTGTTTTGAAAATTATGTGTGGTAGACTCAATGTTTTGATGTATATTTGCTGCAGGGATATGACATCCAGACATAGATCGATGACTTGATTGCACGGAGTAGCTTAGGAAATTAGGCTCTATCTTAATATGGTTTTTGAAAGTCTTGGAGTTTTGAAAATTTTAAGGAATAGTAAAAAGTTTGGAGTGTTTGATGTCATGTTCCGTGAGAGAAAATAAGTATTTAATGTGATGTTTTTGTTGAAAATTTACTCTTGTAGATGAATAGTGCCAAAAATAATGTGTGGGTGCACAAAAACAGAGCCTTGGTTTTCAGTTTTGACATTAACATAGGTGTTCGTTTATTTACATTTCATAATTTGCTTATTTTGGCATTCTTCATACATTATAAACAGAAATTTTGTAAGGACAAGAAAGTTTTCTTTGTTGACAGGGTTCAATTTGTTTTTTTGGAACTATGAATTCATTTGAAGTTCTGCACTTAATTAATGCATATGACAAGGAGTAATGTGGATTCTTGACTTTCCGAGTTGCTGTCTTGAAACTAGAGAAATATGTTAGGAGGGGACTAGACAGTTGTTGCATATCCATCTCAGAAGATCTTATTTTCAGGAGAAAAGGCAACAACTTCTTACTGAGATAAGAACATTGTGTGAGGCACCATGTCATGAAGGCCTTGTACAATTCTTTGGTGCCTTTTACACTCCAGATTCCGGACAGATAAGCATTGCGTTAGAGTACATGGATGGCGGGTCTTTGGCAGATGTTGTTCGTTTGCGTAAAAGCATACCAGAACAAATTCTATCCATTATGGTGCAAAAACTGTTGCTTGTAAGATCATTTATGCATTAAAGTTATCCCTGTAATCTGTTTAATGATATGCTATGTAATAATTACTTTTTGAGTTCTGATATGGTGTTTGATTATTTCCACTATTTAAGGGACTAAGTTACTTGCACGGAGTTAGACACTTGGTTCATAGAGACATCAAACCTGCAAATTTGCTTGTAAATCTCAAGGGAGAGCCAAAGATCACAGATTTTGGTATAAGTGCTGGGTTAGAGGATTCAATGGCAATGGTTTGTGCTGGATCTCTCATAACCATATTATTTTTTATAAATGAAATATGTAGACAGATTTGCAGTTCTTCAAATGCCTCTAACTTCTCCTAGAATGGTTTTTCAGTGTGCAACTTTTGTTGGAACTGTTACATACATGTCTCCAGAGCGCATTCGCAATGAAAGTTACTCCTATCCTGCTGATATTTGGAGCCTTGGGCTTGCATTATTTGAATGCGCTACTGGTGAATTTCCATACTCCGCTAATGAAGGGCCTGTTAATCTTATGTTGCAGGTATGTCTCAGTCGATTGTGGCCATTCAATATTGTATATGGGAGATTTTGGTGTTATATTTCATTACATGTTTGCATGAGTGAAGTGGATGCATTAGTAATAGGTCCTTTATAATAAAGAAATAAAAAGATAAAAGAAAAACAGTTTGAATTCTGAAATGCAGCTATGTGTAATTTCATTAATTTTGTCTGGTAAATAGACGAGCAAATGATGATGCTATATTAAGATTCTTTACAGTTACAATTTTAATTAATCTGAGGCCAGCTCTCTTTGACAAAAAACATTAAGAAAACACTAGACGGTTTTCATTCATATCAGCAGTTCTTTTGATTCTGGTCCTCAAGCAGTTTCAACAAATTTATTTTCTATTTATGAATAAGTAAAGTAAAAGCTTGTTCAGATTCGGATATCATTCTAACACATTCTGCATCAATTTTATTATTGAAGATTTTAGATGATCCATCCCCATCATTATCAAATAAGAATTTTTCTCCAGAGTTTTGTTCGTTTGTCAATGATTGCCTACAAAAGGATCCGGCTGCTAGAGCAACAGCTGAGAAGGTAAACAACAATAGATTATGTACTCTTTATTGCATTATGTTAAATTGGTTTGTTAAAATTTACCAACCCAAGCATTACATTTGGTTATGGGTTTTTAATCTGTTGACTGCTGTGCCTGTTCATTAGCTGCTTTCTCATCCATTTATTACAAAGTACGAGGATGCTGGGGTGACCTTGGAAACTTTTGTGCAAAGTATATTTGACCCAACACAGAGGATGAAGGAACTTGCTGATGTATGTGAAATCATTCAATTATGGATATTAAGTTCTGTCATTTTTCTGCATTTGAAATCTATTTAAATCGCACAAGTAATCTACATTTCTGCATAAGATGTACATCCTTATGAACATGTTTAGCTTGACACAGATGCTGACGATTCACTATTACCTACTTTTTGATGGATCTGATGATCTTTGGCACCACATGAAGACTTTATATGATGAGCATTCAACTTTCAGGTGCGAAGGTTTTGATGGATTCTTCTATTTGCATAAAATTGCGATAGTAATTTTACTATAAGCCTATCTTTTGAGTGCTTGCAACCTTTCCTTGTTGACATAGTTAGGATATAGGCCCTCTGCATATTACAGATAGCCTATCTTTTGAGTGCTGTGAAAATATTTCCACCTGAACTCTAAATTGGTTTTTCACAATCAACCCAATCAAGAATGTTATCATCTACACTAACAGTTAGTTATTTCTTTTCGTTGAGTGTAATCAGTCAGTAGTTTCATTGGTCTGTGTGCTTCTCAGTCGAGTGTAGCTGTTTGCCTGTTTGTATTTTATGGTATATGAAAGGGCTCCCTGGTTAATCGTGATCACGATTAGGCAGTTGGGTATCCGAATGCCTACTGGCAAAGGTCTTTTATGTGACAAACTATCTACTTTTGGCCCTAGGTATTGCAGTTTTGTGGGTTTAATCCCTGCCTGAAAATACCAGATGAACTATTGTTGCGTAAATACTGAAACACAATGTTGAGCTCTAGCCTTAAGCCAACCATGAAATTATGTGACAAAACTTCTCCAGTAGTTAAAGGCAGTTGGAGTTTCCCAAAGTGACATTTTCGTGAGTTGAGTTGGCATATATTGTTTTTAATCTTGGGTTTCACAAATGAACAAAGTAAGTTGATATTGATTGTCATTTTATCCCTGTGAAAGTCCAGCCACATTACCACCAGGTATATCACTTCTAACAACCAGCTGAGGGATGCATGCTCTAAAAGTCAATCTAGGCACTCGTATCAATAAATTTGTGGAAAGCTTGTATTATATGATACATATGCTCCTGCATGAGAGTGAATATTGAGATGATTAAGATATATGCAATCGAGATAGTTAGGATATACGCCCTCCCTACCTGTGTATTTTATTTTTAGGGTTGATTGTTGATTTTGCTCCCTTATTTGAATAAATTCAAGATTTCATCCATATCTTGATTGCATAGACTGCTACCTTCAGAATGGGTTCGTCATCTGAATATTCTGCTTTCCTTTCAATCCTCATGATTTGCAGTTTTGGAGGGAAAGAATGTGTCGGGGCAGATGATATATTCTCAACTCTGTCGAATATTAGGAAGACACTGGCTGGAGAATGGCCCCCAGAGAAGCTAGTGCATGTCGTGGAGAATCTCAAGTGTCGTCCTCATGGTCAAAACGGTATTGCAATTCGTGCCTCCGGGTCATTTATTGTCGGAAATCAGTTCTTGATATGTGGAGAAGGTGTACAAGTGGAGGGGTTGCCAAATTTTAGAGATGTATCAATTGACATAGCTAGCAACCGTATGGGCACATTTAAGGAGCAGTTCATTATAGAGACGAGGAGCGTCATCGGATGCTACTTCATCACTAAACAGGAGCTCTACATCGTTCAGTAAATATGAAACAAAAGGTATGTATATAATTCTATAGGCAGATTTTTTATTTTATTTTTTGATCAATCTCTGTTATGGTGCCGAAAGGCTAAAGCCATCTATCTATCTATCTATCTATCTATGTGGTTATTTGGATTTCTTTCATACACTTATTTCAAATGCTAATAGTTGATGAGTCTGATGAGATAGATGAGACAAGAATTGTGAGCAAACACTTTAGGATGAAGCTCAAGTGCAAAAACATGAATTATATATTTATTTTTATTTTCTATTGAACTCTCTTTATGTAATTCTATCATCTCAACTATCATTTCTGTGTGAATTTATTCTTTATACCAAATGTCCTAAATAGAATTCTAAATTAAAATAGTAATTGCAAGAGGCAGCACAACATGGAGATGGAAAAAGGGTGAGCCCAACTCTAGCCTCCACATTTACCCTCGCAACTCTTATCACTGTTATGATGATACTGATTTATTTATCAAAACAAAAACTCTAGCATCATCACCACCATAAATAAAATTCATGTAATGATTATGAGTTGTTAAATATTGCACTGCATTGCTCCTTACCTTCAAAAAAAAAAAAAAACACTTACTTCCTATTTAATTCCTGGGGAAACAGTTACTTACATGAGATACGTTTTACCTGGCCTGGCCTGCCTCTGCTTGTCTATTTGTTTGTATGTATTATGTACAGACTTATTGGATATGAGCAAGCCTTCGACGCAGATGGCACGACACGACACGACGTGTAAAAGGGTAGGCTAGGCAGAGCAGAGATTGTAGCCGGAGATGATGGAGCTGGAAGCAAAGGCAATGAAGGCGAGGAACGACATTGCTATGGACACGGTAGCCATCATCGTGAACTCGTCCTTGCCCCAGTTGGATATCCAGTCCGTCACCCTTGTCGCTGCACAAGACGCCGCCGACACCTCAAGGTACGCCAAAATCTGCCACATCATATCCCTATTGTTAGTTGTATTCTAAGGGTGTGTTTACCTTAAGCTTGTAGGATTGTATTATAATACATAGTAACATTTTAATACATCATATAACTACTTTAAGTACAAATATTACTAGATAAATTAATCTCACCCATCTCGATAAATAATTTTTATCCACTGTAATCTCACGTAGTAAATGCACACTTATTGAATTATATTAGTCTAGGTCCAATCCATTTTGTATTCATTTTAGGATTTACATTCATTCATTTTAGTAATACACAAATCTTTTTTATTTTCCCAAAAATTCACATGGTTTCAAAGTGAGAGGTCCTGTGTTTAAATAGTGAAAAATTATCCACATAAATTTTGTGCGAGATGAATCCACATTGTACGTGAGGAGTGTATTGGGAAATTATATAATAGGGAAAAAATCATTTTTGGTCTCAATATAATCAAAATTTATCAATTTTGGTTTCAATATAAAAATTTTATCAATTTTGGTCCCATCATTTTTTGTCAAAATATAATCAAAATTCATCATTCTTGGTCCCAATATAAATTTTTTTATCAATTTTAGTCTCAATATAACCAAAATTCATATTTTTTGTCCTAATATAATCAAATATTATCTTGTTTGGTCCTACCGTCAACAAATCGACGGAAAATGCCAACGTGAACTTGCAAGATTATGCAATTTCTTCAAATATAAATATAATGTTTGATTTCTTTTCATGTTAGCATTTTCCGTGCATTTGTTGACGATGAGACAAAAAAAATAAAAATTTGATTATATTAGGACAAAAAAATGTTGAAGGAAAGAAAAGAAAGCAGCAAGAACTTGCACTTGCCTGATCCATGGAGAAATCGAAATGGCATCTCCTCTTCCTCCTCCTCCTCCCTTTCCCCAAATGCCAGGCCCCATCCATTGCTTGAAACCCAGAATACACAAACCCAATTATATTCACTCCCAGGCAATACCTACATCATCCAAATTCAAATTCAAATTCAAACTCAAATGAAATCCAAATTCAAACTTAAATTCAAATTCAAATCCACCTTACCTGTACTCGATGTAGCGATCGTAGGAGTCACCGCTCCAGCCTTGAGTCTTATCGGCCGCCATAACTGAAAACGAGATCAAGCAAGTCACCATCTCAAACGCCCTCAACATCAGCGCCGCCTTCCTCAGCGCCGCCCGTCCGCCGCCGTCGTCCGCTTCTCCTTCTCCGCCGTACCCCTCCTCCAATCCAACTCCACCTACCTCCACTTTCTTCGGTTCCTCTCTCGTCAATCTATTCAGCCCTAACACCACCGGGGAATTCCCTTTCCCCGCCGAATCCGTACCAGATTTCTCTCTCCGATTCCCATTCCCTCCTCCTCCGCCGCCGCCGCCGCCGCCTGTATTCTCGAACGTGTGTTGCTTCTCCGAGCGTGGCCACGGGAGCCAGTTCCTCGGTGCGGCGGCGGGAGAAGTCGCCGGGAAATTGGATTTTCCGGGAGAGTAAGGAACTAGGGTTCTGGCGTTTTTGTCGTTTTCCGGTAAGGAGGGGGAGAGGGAGTCGGAGAAGCGGAAAGGCGAATCGGAGCGGTAGGCGGAGTGCCATGACTCGGCTTGGCTCGCCGGAGAAGCCGTCTCGTCGGACATTGATACGTTGGAGTTGGAGTTGCCGTTTCTGCGCAGCGTTCTCTTGCTCCGAGGGTGCTCTGGATTTTCCATTGATTGAATAACTGGAGAGAGGAAAAGAGTTTTATCAATGGAGGAGGGCTATTTCTGGCTTTCTCTTTCTCTTTGAATCAGCAGCGAGAAGCCATTGTTAACAGAACAGAGCATAACAGTGATTGGGTTGGATTAAAACTTCCATTAAAGTAAAGGAAGAAAAAGAGAAGGAAATGCAAGCACACATACATACAGTGCGGAGTGGAGTGCAGTGGGATCCACTTTTTCGTTGTTTCTTTTTTTTTTTGAACTTCCCTTTTGAATTTATTGAATAGTATATTTATTTGAACGAGAGAAATTGAATCGAATCAGGACTGATACTTGGACAGAAGAGTGACGACACGTGGCACAGTGACCACTGATTTCGGGTGATACAGTGGGTAGGTAGCTCCGCCTCCGCTCGCTCATCCCAGGTTTTATTTCCAAACTTCGAACATTTATTACTCAATCATTCCATGAAGAATAATTATTAGAGTAATTCTACTCGCTTCAACAGTGTATTTGTTCTAAAAAAAGGTTTTTTTTGGATAATACTCCCTCCATCTCCATCCCATATAACATACGCGAATGACTGTAGACACATAAATTTAAGTAAAATATAATTAGTAAGTGATTAAGAAGTGTATTAATAAAAATAATTATTATTTAGTAAAAATAATTATAAATTAAGATTAAGACAAGTAAATAGTTTAATTAAAATTAAAAAAATTATAAAATTATGATAAGTTATGTGGGATAGACGAAAATAGAAAATAAGGACAAATTAGGTGGGACGGACGGAGTAGAAATTAGTGAATTAATAATAATAAATTATAATATTCTCTCCGTCTCAGCTAATTTTAGGTATTTTGTAATCAGTGAGTAATTAAAAAGTATATTAGTAACAATAATTATAATTTAATAAAAATAATTTTAAATTAAGATTAAGATGACTAAATAGATTAATAAAAATAAAAAATTATGAATTTTAAAATGTATATAATTGTATTTTAAAAAATAGAAATGACAAATTAAGTGGGACAGACGAAAATAGAAATAGTAGATAAATTAAGTGGAACGAAGAGAGTATTATTTTTTTTATTTTTTTTAATATATGAGTAATATTGTTAGTCTTTTTAAAATATGAATTATTAATATGATTTTAAAAAATTAAGGGTCTGTTTCTTTACAGTAGTTTTCTCCAAATTTTAAGTTTTTCCAAAAAAATACATTTTTTTTTTCTCACAACATCTATATTATTTTTATATCAAATTCAAACCAATTTTTTTCCAAACTCATCAAAATAAACGCACCCTAAACTAACTTTTAACTCTTATGTCATAACTCTTGAGATGCATATGTACTTCATAATAACACTAATCAAATTTACTCTTAACTTAATCAAAACAGTAACTGTATTATAATCCTTTTTGTATTGTTTGATGTGTCATTGTATTTTTCTAACATTTAATATGTGTTTTAGTAAAAAATTGGAGAAACAAGAATGTATTCCGAAAGTGGTGCGATTCTAAAAATGCGATGTTAAGGTGCGGATCACTAATTCCTTTCGAAGGATGCAACCCATTAGACAATCTTTCTAAGGCGATTGGCAAGAGATACAATTCTAAGTTGGTAAGGATCCATTTCTTGATTCGTGTTAAAACAATACTGACCGTTGATTAGCAAATTGCATTGCTGGATTTAACAATAGAAAATCAAGTCTTTAGCTATCGGTAGTAATTTTCAGGCATTCAGAAGTTTGACCGACGCCTATAATTAGGATTCAATTCGAACTCATTTGTAATAACTTCACAAGTTGGAAATCACATTTTTGTTAAGAAGAGTTTAAATTATAAAAAGCTCTGGACGTTTTGAGCAGGTGGCTTGTAATACTCGTGACAAGAGTCACGTGCTCGCCATCCATCCCATTTAACTCTCGCATTTTGATAAATTTATATTTTTCATAGTATAAACGCACTGCTTACTTCCCAATATAATTACAACTTTGATTCTTCGAAATAATGAAGTATCATAATTCTCATCATATTATCATTCGTAGTTGACATATTTATGAGATGATTACTTCGCAAAGTATAACTTTGATTTAAAAACAAATACAAGTCGCTTACCTTGGTGAACTCATCACGTTTCATCAATCGCGAGCGTAGATTAAAGCAGCTTGCAGGACGGTGAAGCATGATTCTAGATAATAGAACATTAACTCAGTAATAAAAAAAATTAATTTATCTTTTTACATGACCTAAAGGATAAAAAAGTCTTAGGAATTGCAAAGTACATTAGCAAGTGAGTATTTTATGTAATCACACTTTCACATAACATTATCATATATATATCATATCGACTCTCAACACCTTTTCTTCTTTCGTTTTTGCATCTATATACAATTATCATTAACACTACTCATTAAATCGCAGCTACCCACCATTTCATCCACACATTAACTATCACATCTATAACACAATTCTACAATGCAATTCAAACACAGTCCACCCCTTCGATTCACCCTTTAATTTTGCATATTTTTAATTTCCCGTAGCATAGATTTAATTGCATTCAATTCAATTTCTGCATTCATAAACTCACACTCGTTTCTACTCAAATTTTACCTCACATGAATACCTTGAGTTCGAACCAGCAGATACCTATCATTTGACAAAATACATACATTTCTAATACGCAATCAGCACAGCATTTTCGCATTAAATCCATACCAAAAACTAATTTTTAATCATCACTTCACAATTGAAAATGGGTTTAAAAAATATCAAGACATATCAGATTATAACAAGAGAATAAATATACATTCTTCCTAGAATTTTGTTGCATTTAAGCGCAAAGACAATTTAGAATCATGACATATTCTTGCAAAAATGATTGAAAAAACATGTTTAAATTCTGCATTAACAATTGTGGGGTGGGGAAGAATATGATGAGTAAGTCGGACAAACTTAGAGAAATATTGAAAAGTAGTAAATAAATCATATTGTAAGATGTGAAAACTTTTGCCACATCATTAGAACTTGCTACAACCTTTGACACAATCTTTTGAATTGGCAAAAATTGTCACATATTACACTTTCATACATTTTTAATCTGACATTTTATATTAATTGAACTTCAAATTCTGTAAATTTTTAATGATGTGGCAACAATGGTCACAAATATGACACTTATCTATTTTTCTTCCTTGATAAGCCCTGTAATTTTATCATATTCTGCATATGTCCCCTAGCAATAGATACATATTTTTATTTAGAATGTTTATAAACAATTGACATATTTTCTTATTTGATAAGAGTAGACCAAATAATATTAATAAAAGTATCAAAAGATTCATTGCAACACACATTCCTTCTTAGGTGCGACCCCTTACAATCTAAATATTAGTATTTACCATTTTGTTCGAATTTTTTACATCATTTTGTTAGCATGCAAATTAAGAAATAATAACATTGACTAGGTAATAATAAAATAGAATATTAAGAAAAAATTATTAAAAAGATAATAAAAAATACAATGGGATAAAATAGAAAAAGTGGTATGAATTGAGTGATTATTTGCTAAAAATAGAATAATAAAATTGTAAGTGAATAATTATTTTTTACTGTAAATAAATTATACATAAGCTTAATGTAAAATAAACTTAGCATAATTATCTAGAATAGAGAGAGTATAGAATATTATTATTCTTTAATTCATGTGTAATGCATTGCTGACTATGTAACCCCACCCCTACCCCCCCCCCCCCCCCAACGTGTACGTGTGTAGCTTTCGTTTGGTTTTGATTAAGCAACAATAAAAATATTATTTGTAAAGAAAAGAATCTAAAGTTAACTTTAGCTTTTAAAAGTGGAGGTGTTGTGTGTTATCTTTCTTTTGTACACAATTCAACCCTACTTTATCTCACTTTTAGTTCAAATAATTCATTGGTATAAATGGACAAATGTGCACAACCAACCCCAAAGCCATTTTTTTACAAAGCTACAAAAAGTAATCGCACCTCTCTCTCTCTCTCTCAAGCCTACACATGGAAAGGAACAGCAATTAGACTTGCCCAACTCATTGGAACAATTCAATAGACTACGCCTACACAATTTGAATTTTTTTTAAATATACTAATATGTCTACAATTTCAAGAAATATGGAACATAAAATAAAATAACATAAAAACCTTCTTCAATTTGAAGCAAAAATATTCAATTTGAAATTATTCGGGAAAATCTAGCAATAAAGGCTCTAGTGAATTGAAGTGACAAAAATCACTTGGCATTCTGCCCTCTTTCCTCATTTTCATTTCATAAATACTTATACTTAACCTCCCCCAAAACTAAAAAAAAAAAAAAGGAAAAAACACTAACAAACTTTCCGGGCTCATGCTAAAATGGACTAAAACCTCAAACTGGAGCTTGACTTGAAACTTTTTGAAGGAATCTTGTTCATAGAAGTGGAGTACCAACTACTAACTCAATGCCAAAGTATTATTTCACATAACATGATGACATCGGAGCATTTCTTTCTATACTTAGAGAGTACTACATCGACACCGAATTAAATCATCCCAACAAATAGAGCCAAATAAATCTGTTGTCTTAACTACACAACCTTATGAAGTTTGATTCAAATTTTGTCATCACTCAGAGTCTTCACATTATCACTAGACCCTAAACAGTTTCCAAGTTTATTTTTAATTTCCCAGATTTGGTGCATCCTTACATACATTATGCTTATGTTATGTGTACCTAAAACAATAAAGTTACAAAATAATACTTAAAAGAAAAAACATGCTTTTTCCTACAGACATGCCATAAAGACCGACTTTCTCTACCAAGGTAACAACCATTCAAAGGATGATAAACTAGCAAACAAGGTTCCAATCTTGCTTCATATCCTACCTATCCGAAAACAGTAATTCAATAACAACACACCATGACATATACACCACTACTTTAGTGAACAAAAGGTTGTATTACAAAACTTCGGGGAGGAGGGCAAGGGGGTTATGTTATTTCATCCACAATAGCAAAATTTCAGCGGCAAGAAAACATAAAAAGGAATGCAGTTGCGATACCACTCACTCAGGAAGTTTCAAACGATTAAATAGCACAAGAAAACTTTGCTCAGGGACAACATAGAGAAAGCCAAGGTCTGCTCCTTTGACATACGGCCCAAAACCCTATGTTCAATTGATATTAAAAAAATGAGGGTCAAAAAACCACAAATAAAGGGCAGATTAAACAGGAATTGAAATCAGGATCATAATATCATGTCTCATTTAGGATTACCTTGCCATTCAGTTGAAGGAGCTCCCCCTCCACCCATTTAGGATTCCGGAACCCAAATTCTGCAATTCTTCCCTGCCCTTTGTAACTTGCAACCTATATGAAAGCCAACTTTACTGAAAGCCATTTATTGCATTGCAATAAATCAAATAGAAGTATATTGAATCTTGTCCCAAGGGTTATGCATTATTAACCATATATAATATTCAAACAAAGCTAATATTTTGCATGACAAATTCTTCTTTCTTATATTATTAATCATCTACACCTTCATTGCTGGTTTTATCTTCATCTTCTAATATATGTTTTATTGTCGCTAGAGCAAATTGTTAGCTGTTAGTTGATAATTCAAACTGAGGGAAAGCTAGGACGGGGTTGACATACCACCCCGAGTTCCGGCGGATACATTCCCTGGTTGGCATGACGGCTACCCTTCCCTACTTTAGCACGAAATGTTACCTGGCCACATAGGAAGTACACAATTACAAAGGTATAAAATTAAGCATTCAAAAAGAAAATAAAAAGTAGCCACAACAGACGTACCTGCCCAGCAGGAACATTCAAATCCCCTGTCAGCTTGACAGCTTCAACATATTCAAAGAACTCCACATCACTTGACTTATCATCATTATTCGTTTTCCAGTTACCATATTTGAGCCTTAATTGAACTACTTCAGTGCCATATGGACCAAAAGCACCAACATATAGACCTGCATTGACCCAAATACACTAGTGTCTTAAATAACATGTTTTGGTGCTTCTCAAATGACCACGTCACCCTAAAGCGTTGAATTGACAAAAAGAAATTGTTTGATACCTATTTTTATATGTAGCCGGTGCTCCTTATTTTAAACATTTGCATGTAAAAAAACTATTTCATACCTTCCTTATCTAACAGTATATTGGAGTTTACTTAATCTTAGAGAATAAGCAGATAAATAGGTATAGTGCAACATATATAATATTTCTTTCATAATTCTTAATCCACAAGCATGTGATCAGGGAGAGAGACTACAGAGGGTACACTCACCTTCGAAAGGATCTAAATCACCTTTGGAGATATTGATACGATTAAAATATGTATATTCAGATAGCCGACTTTGCTTCTGTGCCTGACTGACAGCAAGTTTTACTATTTCACGTACATCTCTAGATACCTTCAGGAAATTACAATATAGTAATTATGAGGTCAGAAATGCTGACATGTAAGATTTGAGAAATTAAAAAATTTGAATCAGGCCATGAGAAAAACTAAAGCCATCAAATCAAGACTGGTTATTCAAGATGAGATATTGACAAAATTTTGCCCTAATATATACCTTTGGAGGAATTTTTTCTGAACTCCAAAATGCCTTGGCAACATCAGGAGGCATAAGCTCAGAAACACCCTGTGTAGCAATTGCAGCCACCTTAACTTTAGATGCAATATTCTCATCAGTATTATTATCTAGATGCCTCTTAGGAATATGCAAGAGAAATGAGTCTTTCTCCATATCTTTTATGTCAGCTGGTACACGTATAAATTCATCCTTTCCAGGATTGTCTTCTTTATTATGTAAAACCCCTCCAATGTAAAGTTTCATGTCTAAATTGTTTTCATCTTCCATTGTGTCACTCTCTCCATGGGCAGAAACTATATCAGGTCTATTGTTATCTACATCAGAAGCTTCCTCATCTGACTCTTCACTGGTTGTGGTTTCACTGTCTTCTCCAATAAACTCCTTCACAGTTTCCTCGTTAATATCCTCAGCAACGTCAACTTTCATCACTTTAACCTTTAGTTCTGGGATTTTCTCCTTGAGAAAATTTATAACACTCTTTATTCCTTCTTCAGCGGCTCCTTCTACATTGATGCTCTTACCTTCACCCATTTCTGCTTCACTTTCTTCTTGCTTATCATTAGCTACAGACGCATTTTCAGTTTCATCAGTTGATGGCCCGTTGGTGGATGTATCGGATGGACTTAAGTTTGTTGAATTCCCTTTAGTGTTTTTTAGAAATACAACCTGGAAATGTATCGTAACACTTATTAGGGAATAATTCATTCTTCCAATCACAAATAAACAGATCCGATCAAGCTAAGCAAATATGAAATTCAGAACTGCTTTTTGAATCTGATAATAGAAAGTGAATGAACAAAACAAAGATACATATATGCCAGATATGAGCACATAACTGTTTGTCAATATAGGATTACCAATGATGTGCTTCTGATATGAAGCAATTTATGAGGACCAAGAAGTTTATGATAATAATATCAGAAGTTTGATAGGAATCCTCTAGGTTTAGATTCTATATTGGTAGGTATCTTTTCAGGTTAGGTATCTTGACTATTACATAGTCGCTACTGGTTATATTAGAATTTGAGATTATCTTATCTAGAAAACAGTATCACTTTGGGCGTTGGCTTGTATAGGAAGGCTTCCAGTAGTTAGATTAATTTGGTAATCGAATTTATTTACAGTTCATTTCCTACCATTTGGTTTGACCTGCTGGATTTGAAGATTGGAGGGAAAGAATGAGATGAGCGATTGAGGGTTGTGAATTTGGAGATGACAATTCGAAAGATGCATGAAGAACAATGAAACATCCTATACATGTGAAGGATTGTAGTTCCGGCGGTTGAGCTACTCCTTTCACATACTAGAGAGTTGGGGTTCAATCTCCATTGGGCACAATGATGTGGAAAAAAAAATAATGAAATATCTTATACATTTGCAGACTACAGGCCAAGGTGATTATCTAGCTGGCGAGGATGGCCAGCCTCCAGCCAACCTGCTGCCATGCTTACCAGGTCTGTGACTGATCTAGCAGGGGTGGTGAGAATGCCATGGTACAGAAGGCACCTAGGCACCTAAGTAGTGATACGATAGTTCCATGACATGCATGGTAGGATGTATGATAAACTAGCATGTGAGACTGGGAGTTAAATTGGATGAGAATGTAGATCTTATGTGGATAAGAACTCCAAATTGCTAATAAGGTTTCAAGTGCTTTAGGACCAACCTTACTTGAGATAGTGTATAAATGGAATGGGATGCAAGGGACCATTAGGAAGCAACTTGGACAATTTGAACCACAGGATTTGTACATGATCATAGGTCTTTATTCTGCCTTCTAGCTCCATGCAGAGGCAGCTCCCGGAAATCGGGAGGGGCAGTGTACTCCCAGCAACTACACCTAGACAAGTATCTGAATGAGCACTTACAAGCATCATTAATGGAGGAAGGTGACTCTGGGATGAGAACTTCAGGAAATGGAAGACAATAGGTACTCGCCAGAACTAAGGCATTTTGATATGGAGGTAAACAATACAGTGGGCATGACCAACTTAGCAGCACAATTTTCTCATTTCATCCTTGGGAGAATCTCAATGGGGGATGAGTAGATGTGTAGCAAGTTAGTAACACAAAAAAAAGCCTATGATTAATAATAAGTTTGAAAGGATTCATATATAAGTTATATTCAATCCATGGTTGGAGTCCTTTAGGGGCTAGGTATCCTTATTTAGAAACAGCGATTATAACAATTAGATAACAGTCTGTAATTTTCCAATTCAATTCCTATCGGCTTTCCACCTTGCTTTATGAAAAGGTCAATCCAAACTCCTAACTTCCAAGTACAACAGAAATAGGAGAACACACATTCTGTAGTAATCTGGATATCTTAGGAAGATATTCATAAGCCACCAAATATATGGCAGCTGAATTTTAATCCAAAATAATACCAAAGAAAAATGGGTGTGTAGTTTTCACCCACGTTTTTGCATTATGTGTGCTACAGTCAATTTTTTTCAACCGCTATAAAACATCACATTAAATCTGAAATTCTTATTTAAAATATTATACTCCCTCCATCATCGAATTGCATGTTCAAACATTTTGGCACATATTTTAATAAAAATGAGTAATAATTGATACTTTTTACTTTTACAGGGAAAAAAAACTACAAAAGTAGATATAATATTTTACTAAAAAAAAAAAATAACAAGAATATTTTTTATGATAGTCCAAAAAAGGTAAGCGGACATATGTTTGGATGATAGTATTAAGGAAAACAAGATATTTCTTTCCATGTAAAACATCAAATCAAACACTTAGCTCCGTTAGATGAATTGATTTTTAGTGTATTGGTATAGAGAATTGTATTAAAGATATAAAATATATTATTTTAAGTTGAAAAATAAATATTGATTTCTCATCATAATTGCAGAAGACCAGACATCACCTGCATGTTATAGGTCTCATTGGCATCTTTAACCACAAAGATTTCAAACAGAGGAGTTCCAGGAGCTGACGTAACCAACTGTCTGCAATAATAAATAATAATCCATCATCACAGACTTTAACCTTGAATAACAATAAGGATTAATGGAATAAGACTATTTCTATCTTTAAAGTTTGTGGTTATTACCTAGGACTATAACTTTTTCCAACAAACCGACCAGTTCCTGGAGTAATTCGAATTAATCTCCCAAAAGGATCGGAGGAATCCTTAGAATAGCCAACCCACCAACCGACCTGCACTCATGCTTGAATTATGAACAAAAATGAACCATTCCATTCACCTTTTGGCAAAATATGAGCTAGCAAACAACAAAATAGGTTCTGCATGGTCCCATTACATTTTACTCATATACTATCATTAAGTCTATTCTAGTGTTCTTACATGATGAATGTACAAATATATACTAAAAATCGCTGGAATAGGGCATCACCATAATGGAAAAACCCAACACGGAACATATGGCTAAAATAGACCAAGAGAACATAAGGAACTACGCATGCCTAATGACATCCAGAAGAAAACAATAACATGCAGGCTAAACACTATTTCGTTCTTTTTTTTTTTGTGGGGGGTGGGGGGGAAGGACAACAAAATAACAGAGGACTTGTTACCATTATCTATACTGATTATATGCCCAAAACTTAAGCATGCATTGGAAGAAATATACTAGGTCTGACTTCATAGTTGGGGAAGGATAGGATAAAGATATCAATTCTGTGAAAATATTACCAGTCCGCTTGCCGTACTTCGGCATATCCTTGAAGCATCATTATAGCGCTCTTCGTCAATTGCATTCTGAACAAATCACCAAAACATTAATACTGACAATACTTACTAACACATACCACTTAAATGAAACATTAATTTACCTTCAACTGCAACATAATTTCGGCAACAGTATCCTTTGATGTTGCTTCAGCAATAGCCACTTTTAACTTTGCAGCTTCCTGGAAGTCTTCCTTCTCTACTGCATCTTCTAGTTGAAACTATGATAATTTGCAAAAAAGTCAAAAACCAATCAGAATCCAAGAAATTATCCTTCTCTATTTCATTTTCTAGTTAAGACTATGAAAATTGGTAAGAACCAATCAAACACCCAAAAAAGATGTTGATAATGGTGTCGGGAGTGGCCACGATATGTGATACTACAAAATTAAAGGAGAAGATTCAGTGTTTTGGAGAAAGTTAGTACTGATTGCTCTTCCTTGAGATGCCATATTCACCAATTTTTTCTTACAAAAAAAAACAAATAATAGTAACCCCCATTCCTCAATGTGTCTGGATTAATTTTTCCAAGTATTTCAAAAAAGTTGAAAATTCTTCAAGGAATTCTAGAGATAAAAACTGATCGGGTGAATGCTGCAAGATAACAAGAATATCCCTAAATAAGTTAAATCAAGGTTTATTTATACAGAAACTAATGATTCAGTGGGACAAACTGCTATAATCTTCATAAACTTTTTCTTATTAAATATGAAACCTTGAGTACCAGTGTCAAAAACAGCCTAGAATTTTTTGTTTTTCCAATGACCTGGGCAAAGCTAATCTGAAAAACTGAATTCATAACAAAAATTTTCTGAAGATTCGAACAAAATCAGCATTAATCTCACGAATACAAAAGTTTCCAACCAAAAGGATGAATATAAAACAAAGTATATCAACAAATCTTTGCAACAAGTAAAAAGGCAAACCTTGAGAACAGAGGTATAGCTTTCAGCCTGCTCGATATCCGAGAAATGGCTAGTCCACCTATTCCAATCCCAATGCACAGATGAGTGTGGCGATGATGATGATGAACAGCCGGAACTGATATTATTACTGCTAATGTCACCATAATTCCTATTGCTCTCAAAATCATTGCTACAGCGGCACGATAGGGTGGAGTTCCTGCGTCTTCCAAGAAGAAACGTGTTCGGTAAATTAAGCAGGGGCTTTTTCTTGCGAAGAGGGTTTATGGATTCAGGTGAAGAGGAAGAGAGTCGGAGCGGCGGAGGGACGGCGGAATGCCCCGTGGCCCAAGCGTTGGCCACTGCCATGGGGGATACGGACCGAATCGAAATCAGGATTGGCAGACTGGATGGAAAGAACGGAAAGCGGAGATAGAAGAGGATAAAAGATAGAATCGGTAGTGCGGCAATTGATTATAGTCTATAGATAGTTTCCACACTACACAGTACACATTACACTCGTAACTAATTGACTCGTTTAGACCTTGGAAACCATGTCTACAGATTTTTTAAATTACTTTTCGTTAATTAGGTAAAAAAAAAATTGTGAGAGTACAGAATTATATCTTGTTAAAAAAAACTTGGTCTGTTAAAATTTAAATTCATCAATTTTAGTATTAATATTTAAAAAAAAATATATCAATTTCAATTTTATTATAAATAATATTAATTTTAATTTAAAAAATTAATGAATACACGGAGACTCGCAATCACAGATACAGACTCACGTAGACCCATATATATACATACACACAGACTCGCACAGACCCACAAACAGACACACACAGAAATACGCACGTAGACTCACACAGACAGGCCCATATGCATACACACACATACTCACATACATACATATATAGAATACAGACTCACACACAATCACACACACATAAACATACAAACTCACATATATACACATATACAGACATACACATACACACAGACTCACGCACAGACACATACACAAACACACACATTGACATAGTAAAACATTTAATTGCATAGGAAAGATCAACATTTTATAAAAGTAAGAACGAAATATAAAGGTTTCAGACCTAATTTGCATGTATTAGGTTCATCGGGGATTTACCGGTGTGCATTTTCGGTAGCGGCTACGGATTCTTACGTCATAAAAAAATAAAATGAATGAAATATAAAGGCCTCCAGATCCACCAGCCACATATGGTTCGTCTAGTATGCCTTGTCGGACATAGTTTGCAGGGTATTAAATTGGGCCGGGAGTTTACCTAGGGTGTGTTTGTTTGGGGGTTTGGATTTTGAGTTGAGATTTGAATAGTAAAAATGTTAGAAGTTGAATAGTTGTATGATGTGATATAAATAGGTGTTGATGTGATGTTTTGAATGTAAAATTGATTTTTAGTGTAATATAAAAAATAAAAAATAGGTGTTTGATTTGATGTTTTTAGAGGGAAAAAATTAGAATGAATAGTGTATTTAAAATTTAATCCTTCAAACAACTCGTTCAATAGCGGTTGCGGATTCCCACATTATAAAAAAAAGAATGAAATATAAAGGCGTCCCTTAAGGGTTCCCACATAAGGTAATAGGTTCAAATCCTCAACGCCTCCAAATCTCACCTGTCATACATGGTTCGTCTTGTACTTATTTTCTCACGTCATTAAAATATATATATAAAGGCACTACTAATTACCTCCTTGCTTGCTCTTTCCGAGTTTGTATCATCAATTCATTTTCTTTTGTCTCTTTTGGATTCATTTTCCTCTATTATAGTTCATCTATCGTTGTGCGACGAATCGCGTGCCATCAAGTTGTAGTAAGATTCCTAGTCATTAAGGCCTGAGACTCTTCATGTTATTTGATTTTACGTTGCCATTGATTATTTACATTTTTACTGGCCTTTGCATTCTTAAGGTCTCTACCTGAGACATCTACATTTATGCATACAACCGTATCATAGGTGTCAATTTGAGTTATTGGTGAGTGGACATCAACAGATCTCTACACTGGATGTGGTTTCTCACCGAAATCATTTAAGCAGTTATTTGACCGCTCATTCGGTCGGGCTCTTCTTCCGATTGATGAACTCTGTCTACGTTGGTCGATCTTTTAAGATATGCCAACAAGCCTTACATTTGAGCTATGTTTTATACTTTTCCGTATATGTTGCATGACAATATGGTTCATAAATAATGACGATTGTCACTGTTATTAAGAAAAACAAAAAATATTTAACTTATAAATGCAATAACTCCAATAGGTTAAAATGAATTTACAAAATCAGTCTCTAGTCGCTTCAATATTGTGATTGTGTTTAAACTCTTATGATTTACTTCTTGCTGTACTGTGATCTTATCTCTATTCACCTATTCTTATATATACCAACAATTATTTTCTTCTTAAATTTCCTTACCCCGTGATTCATTTTTATTAGCACGCCAAAATTCTTGTATACACGCCCCTGCCATAGTCATTTCTCTACATCCTCGTCAACATTTCAATTCTTACTTGCACGTTACATATTTCTTAGGGCATGATTGCTTTGTGAAGGGGTTTCACCATGAAACAACAACAATTCGCATGAAAGGATATTGTACTGGCACGTGAGAATTGGATATCATAATAAAGGCACCTGACACGATACTCCAAAAAGTATAAAATTCCATACTTTTTGGTAAAACATTGGATTGTTTTATTGCGGATAGTACTCTCTCCGTCTCAAACACCGTGCAACATTTGTGTTTGACACGGAAATTTAGGTAGGGAGTATTAAGTATGATAATTTGAAATAATTTGGATATTAAGTGATGTGATTGGAGAGATAAATGATTATTTGTTTTTTTTTTATTTGAGTGATGTGATGAGATAAAGTGAAGTGTATATTAATACATGTATAAAAATATTATTAATTATTTCTAAATTTGGAAATGTTGCAGTGAGTTTGGAACAAATAAAAAAAAAATGTTGCAGGGTGTTTGGAACAGTCGACTGAAACTCATGTTATACCGGCCCCAGAAAGCACATTATTAATGAGGCCAAGTTTGAGCTACTTTGAGTGCACGGAGTTAGTTCTGAAATTTGAGATTTGTTTCAGACAACTCAACAAGTTCATGAAATCCATCCAAATTGATATTTTCGTCTCCTCAATCGGCCATTATTGGATAATCTAAAAATTGAAGTGAAATTTTGATTATAGAAAAAGATATTGCGATCAACAAGATTACGAAATAAACAATAATGAACTATTTTCACATTGCCAAATAAATATGAAATACAAATATCACACTTGGAAATAATAAGTATACTAAAATATTGTAGATCCATATAAATATACAAAGACAAGATGTGGAAGGAGACTAACAACAATATAAAAAGAACTATTATACAACATAATGAAAGCAACTAAGCTAAGATCCAAACAATTAGCCAAAACATTGTCATTAATTCCCTCAATCTTGTTATCACATCGAAAAATCCAAAACCTTCTCCAAAATAACAATACCAACACAATAAAATGTGGATCGATACTTTCCAAATTATAATCCCACACCAAACTAAAATTCACACCCAAAAACCCCAAATCAAGAAATTAAACCTAAAATCAATAATCAAACAATTGTTTATTACACAAACAAACATAGGAAGAATCATAATCACACAATTCCACAAACACCTTCATTTACAACCTGTCAAGATTATCCACAAGTATCTCCAAAAAAAAGACTTCTCCAAGAATTTCTTCGCAAACAAACATACAAATTAACGCACTGAGGTGACTCTAAATTGAAAAAACTCAAACAATCCACACAAGAAATGGCCTCAAAAGTAAATCCAAAACCAAAACTGAAGAGCAGACGTCATTAAAGGAGCATCGAGCAAGAAGAAATTCATAAAAATTACCCAGCATATCTCAACGCTAAAACATCAACCAATGAAATTCAAAAAAATTGTCCAGCAGCTCACTTCTATAAAACATCAACCAACGAAATTGTTGAGTAGTACCAATCAAAGGCCATCTAGATAAAATAAAAAACGTACCTCTGTGGAAAATCAAGGATTCAAGAAACGTCTTCCAAGTTTTTGTGGAAGAAGAGAAGAGACATCTGTCGATAGGACCTCTAACGAAGCCAGAGCGATTTTGAATCGAAATTTGGGCTTCCATTTTAATCTTGCTGCACAATGTTTTTTCGAAAATGCACTGAGAATGAAATGAAGGAGGAAGCCTTATATTTTAAAGCTACTGTATTTGCTCTAACAGTCCAATGACAAGTTGAAAACATAACTAGCTAGTGAACCTAACAAAAAAAGAATAAATAACAAAGAAAGATCTATTGCAAAACTTGATTTATCATCCATTTTCTTCCATTCACACCATCTCAACCATCTATGCAAATCACACTCTCTCACATGGAGCTCTCTCTCTCTAAGAACAGGTTTTTTACAGCATCAGCAGCAACCCTTAGTTCAAATCCAGATTACTCTGTATTACGATGATGCTATATTATACATACACACCTATGCCTCTGTACATCGGCACAGCATTTACTCCTTTAAAAGATTAAGGCAAACTATCCCTAGTCGAGTAGAGAACACAAGTACTTACAGACAGGAGGAGAGGGATCTGTTTCCGGCTTTATTGACAGTATCTCGACATTTCTGCAAGCCGAGACTTCTTCGCCACAGCCACGATTCTTTTAATCGAGAACCACCATCTCAAAACACTAAGGAGAACATTCCATCCGCTTTGAGAACTTTGTATAGCACAGTCTGTATTGAAGTACTGCAGATGCTCGTTTGAACAGAATGCTCGATCCATGGCACTTGTGTCGCAAATTAGGTTCATGTCTGCTTGTCCTGGGTATGTCACAGGGTGATCGTATCTCATCTCCATTGGATTGATGGCTTTGAAGCACTCGTCAAAGCTGTTCAAGCCTCCGACAGAATACACCGAATCCATGTAATCTGGTGTGGAAGTGGATGAGCTGATCATGGAGTCGAAAGCATGATTTTGGCTGGAATCAGAAGGCAAGTTTGGTGATGACCGGACAATGGAGGATATGGTCGGTGAGATCAGCATGTTTACGGAGGTCTCGTCATCCAGTGGGATGATATTTGCCCGATCTGCGAATGCTGAGATTACCATCTGATGGGCGTCAGCCTGAAACGATGAAACCTTTACATAATGAAAATACACTCCGAAGCTACGCAAGAAAATACTTGTTAAATTATTTTACAAAAATCTAAAAAATTGCATTATTATTCATAATAAAAATAGGAAACCTATAAATAAGCATGACACATATACTCATAGACTCAAATAATAACAAACTAACCTAATACATAAAACTAAATCTAAAACAAATAAATATAATCTAAAATTAAATAACTAAAATAAACACTTGTAATGTAAAGGGAGAGCATAAACTACCTTTTCTGGTTCGGACAGCTTATTGGTAGGGATGAGGTGGCCGTTTGAGTAAATCCCGATCACTTGTCCCACAACATTGAAAACCACATTGCTTGTGTCCAAGGTGCGATATAAATACAGTTTCTTGTCGAGAGTGCAAGTCTGGGCATGCTCCATAGTCACATCCCACATCTTAGCAGACATTCCATTCCCAAGAATCTGCAAGATTTCCAGAATTTGAAGATGACAAACATCAACACGGCGAAGTGTTGCTTTACTAGAATATAGCGAATGACAGACACAAATTCAGGTGGTAGAAACATCGGCAATCTCATTTTAATGTGCCATATTATGGTTGTGTCGACATGTCTATTTTATGTGTGTTATATGCCTATTTTTGTAAACAACAAACTGAATAACACTGCTTATAAGAAATTTAATTCACTTAACTCATTTTAACATTATTCATTCATATTTCCGCCTCTGGTATTATGATTAGATGGGCCTAAGTTCGCCTGATTTGGTTGCAGTATTAGGAGATTTTTACGAACAAATGGATCATATTTAAACCACTACAACTATTTAAGAAGCATAACAAAACATCTGATTTTCAACCGAACCACATCTACAAGAAAGGGAGTCATGAATAATACTCCCTCCGTCCCAGATACCGTGTCTGCTACACTGTAGACACGGTATTTTAGGAGGGGTGTAATTAGTAGATAATTAAAAATGTATTAGTGAAAATAATTATCCTATAATATAAATAATTATAAATTAAGATTAAAATAACTAATTAGTTTAATTAAAATTTAAAAAAATAAAATTAAAAAATTTAAAATGAGATTAAAGTGTGTAATCATTTTCCAAAAACGGAAAGTGACATGGTATGTGGGACGGACAGAAACGACAACGTGGACATAGTATCTGGGACGGAGGGAGTACATAATAAATAATAACAGATTCAACCACATCTTACCTTTCTAAGCCTAGCAGGATCTAAGAAGAGCAGCAGCAGAAAATCCTTCACAGTCGTGATACTCTCATTCCTCAATCGTTTGTGAAAAGCTCCGTCTTTGCCAATTTTTTCCAGTCGCCATACTTCGTCAGAAAGGGCTGGAGGATGGTGCTTCTTATACACTGAAGGGAAAAAGAACCAAAATATAAAATCAATGCTATCCACATTATAACAGCAGCATTAGATGTCAATCTATTAGGTAAAATTAAGTATTGTCTGGATTAAAGTGGATGCAGCTTAAAGAAAGAGAAAGGCTAATGGAAATCGAAAAAGAACTCACACTCTCCACGGTGATCCCTAACGACAAAAGGCTCTGATATAGCCTCTCTTACTCTGATGCCATTAATATCGTCTGAAACTCTAGCCCCCAGCCTAAATTTACGGCTTCTTGTCCAGCTTGAATTATCTGTAAACAGAACCTCTCCAAAACAACCTGTCCCATCTTTAAGAGTCACAACGGCATCCCCAGTGAGGAGGGGCTTCTTGCCTGCCCGTTCCCTTACTATGTTATTTCCAAACTCTTCAGAAGTCCAATCGCTGTTCTCATTGCCATCAAAATCTCCTTCAAGAACCACAATCTCCACCTTCGCAGAGGATCCGGGACCATTGGAAGTAACTTCCTCACTAACCATGTCAACTAAGGCAACTTCTATACTGGTGCAACCTTCTGCTTCAATATGAGTTCCGGTAAACACTGGAAGAGAAATAGCATTCAAAAATCGCAGCTTTAAGTTCGTAGAATTGGAAGGGTGTGCATCCTTCCCAGCATTTCTGAAATGTTTTCATCATAAATATGAGTAGTAGTAATTTTAAGATGAAATGGCTGGGGAATCTTGTTGTGAATGTAGACTCCATACCGTTTCATACTGATTATGTATTTTTGTAATGCAGAATCAACTTCTTCTCTCACCTGTGATATCACATCAAAAGAAACTAGTGAACATCCTCAACCATATTTTTCACGGCTACAAACCTACCAAGAGGAAAAAATTAATCAAACACAAACAATTGGCCCATTCACCAAACATCAACAATTGCCAAAACAGATAATTGGAAACCCAAAGTTCCCCAATGCATGTATGTAAGTACACATAAGGTTTTGCTGGTAGAATTCCATTACGATGGTTTTGTTTGCAGTCATACGTATAACTTTGTTTTGACAGCTCAGTAAATGTCAGCTAAATTCCAAAGTGCTTACTTATGAATGAAAGGGGGAACAGTATACAGTACACACTTCCGAAACAAGTAGTAATGGCGAGGAACTTACAACTCGACGAATGAAAGGCTCCAGAATTGGCTCCATGAGATTTTGCAACCTGCACAGGTTCATTACATCGAGCACGACACTACAAATGGAAAGAGAAATGAATTAGTCCAACCATTAGTCTTTTGAACACACGTCTCCACTCTCTACTCACGTGAACTAGCATTCATGAAGCTCAAAACCAACCCTGCCCGTAATTTCCATACCTAGGACATTTCGAATCAAAACTCAACTAAAAAACCTCAAGCCATTCTATTAGGTCAACAATACCAATACAATCTCGTCACAAAACCAATCCATCAAAGTTCCTACTCAAACATTAGCTCAAGTAAAAAGTCAACACAAGAATTAATATTCCATAACGCCATGTACCTGGTTAAAACAACATTAATCGCTAAAATGAACCATAAAATTATCGTAAACAAAAAAAGAATTTGATATAATGAAGCCAAAAATTTCATAGCAGCAAGTAATCAGTGCAAACAATAGTTTGTATCATTTCCAAAAGCGGCATGGATGTCGAATTGACACCCCTACCAAGGATCATGCCAGAATGCAGCTCTAATGATTTCAACAATGGCAGTGATGCTGCAAGAAACGTCTTCAACATAGTAGTTTCGAAAATAACATGAATCTTTGCACAAACAACCTCAATTAAGGTTGAGGGACTATATAGCCACAATTATACAGTGAGTTTACAATTTCTTTCTTTCGACAAACTTCTTAACAAAAGGGTTCAAACTTTCAAAGCACAAACTCTATCATACACTTAAACACCAACAAAAATTGAATGAATATCAACAAAGCCCTCATTCTCACCTTTTGAACGACGGAGTCTTCCTGGGACGCCTCTCATCGGAAGAAGGGCCCTCGTCGCGTTGCTGCCGTTTCTGCGACATCCTCCGACTATTCTTCCTTTAAGAAAATTCGCGAAAGAGAGAATCACAGGGGCAACGACCAGAGCAGCGGCGGTTTCTTCGGGAAGCAGGAAAACCAACATGCGGCGGTATGTCAGTCGTCTCGTCTGATGGAATAATTTTTGAAAAACTAATCAATTAATTGCTAACGGACAAAACCAAGCATAATCAATGGCTGACAGGATTGAATACATCAAACCCTAAGGGTGCAAAACGATAGAAACGGCGAAATTCAAACCGGCAATCCCTTTCGGTGGTGTTTCAGCATCATCCAAATCCGACGCTAATAACTGAAAACGTTTTTTACCTTATGAGTATGGACTTGGCTTTGCTCAATCTCAATATTATAGGACGATTGGTCGGTAGGGGGTGCTTTTCATGGATGGTCGGCGGAGGAGGCGCGGTGAGACTGGCCTGCCATGCCATTGCCGCCATGGCGAGGGCGAGGGCGAGAAATCCGTGGGGTTAGGGAAGGGCAGTGGGGTCCGCAAAACCGCGTGGAGACGGTCCACTAGAAGCGCGTGAAATCTAGAATGATGTCTCGGCGACTCCATGGAGCACAGCTCCTGGAAGGATTCTCACCCTCACCGTCACCATGACAACAAGCACGACGACCGCCGGCGTCACCCATTTCTGACTCTGAATCTGAATCGCCGGGGAGTGGGAGAGTTTGTTCCGGGGAATGGTTGAGTCAAGATTTCAAGAAAAACAGATTACAGAGATTAGAGATAGAGAGTAGTGTATGTCTGGTCTGGAGAGGCTTGGAACATTCCAACAATGCAAAACTACTACTCCTGCCATGATGGTGAGTACAGAAGAGAAGAGAAGATACGGAGAACCTTCGGACAGAGAAACATATATAAAAATATATTATATATATCGACCAAGGACATCGTCGTGTTCTTCGTCTCTCCCTTCGATTTTTGAACTACTTGTTTGGTTCACTTTGCATTTGTTTTGTGTTTTAAGTTTGACATGTAGAAAATTTGTACTTTTTTGTGTTGTGTTTTATGTTTAAATATGTTTCTTTACCCCAAAGTTTACTCTGTATTTTTTAAAAATAAATATATATATTTTTCTACAAAATATCATATCAAATATTATTTTAATATCAAAAGTTCAAACCAAAATTTTTCAAACTCAACTAAAAGAAACACACCTTAAAAAACTGTACCTTTTTCTTTTTTTACAATTTTATCCTTTTGCTATAAAATAATCTATTTATATATTTCATCCGTCCATTTATAATGTTTACATATTTTTATTTTGGGACATTCAATTATAAAGTTAATATTTCATTAAATACCTTAATTTTTTTCGCAAATACCCTTACTTTACATCACATCATTATTTTTACACAAAAAAATAAGGACAAAAATATCATTACACTACTTTTAACTACTCACTATAATTAAAATACTTTAATACTTTCATTAAACATTGTAAGTGAACGGAGAGAGTAAATATTTGTAATTTAAATAAAAAATAAAAAATATTTTAATATTTATTATTATTTTAATAAAATAAAAAATAAAACTAATTATTAATTTTTTTAAGTATATAAAAGTAGCGCTTTTTTATTCATTTTAAATATATTTAAATATATAGATCAATTTAATTAAATTTTTAACTTATTACTAATAATCCACTCAAAACTTTTTTTATATTTAAAACTTCTTATTTCTTATAAAATTAATTTTAAATTAATTATAATTATTTATTTATTTATTTGTATTACTCCATATAAAATTTGATAATCTATAAAATGATATATATTGGATACATTTTATTAAAATGTAATTCTAAAATATCAATAACACTACTATATAAAATAAAAAAAATAAAAAAAAAATATCGCCCAGTGTGACTTTTCCGTTCGGGCCTAATTTGCAGGATATTAAGTTCCGCCTGGAGTTTATCTGCACTTTCGGATAACTGCTGCCGATTCCCACGTCATTAAAAAAATAAAAATAATATCATAATTTATCATTAATAACTTATTAATCTACACGACCTAAAATATTACTCCTTCCATCCCGGATACCATGTCCATATTACCGTTTCTGTCCGTCTCATATACCATATCACTTTTTTTTTTTGAAAATTATTTTTACTAATATATTTTAAATTATCTACTAATTATACCCCTCTTAAAATATCAGGTATCCTAAAATATCAGGTATCTGGGACGGATGAAGTATGTTATAACCAAAGAGCTCATGTGGCAGGAAGGATGGAGTACTATATATTAGACTTTTTCTGTCACAAATAAATTGATACAAGTTTTTCTTTTGAATTTGTTCATTTAATTCACACCTTCTCTGTTTTTTAATTTTTTACTTTTTTAATAATTTTTCATTTAGGGTGTGTTCTTTCGGGGGATATCCCCAAATTTTTATTATTCATCCAATTTTTTCCCGCCAAAAACATCAAATCAAACATCTATTTTTTATTTTTTATATTATACTAAAAATCAATTTTTCATTCAAAATATCACATCAACACCTATTTATATCACATCATACAACTATTCCAATTCAAAAATTTTACTATTCAAATCTCAATTCAAAATCCAGACCCCCAAACGAACACACCCTTTAATAAAAACTTAGTAAATTATATATATATAAAAGGTTATGTGCTCTCAATGTTTTTATTAATCTACTATTTTCTTGTAAATCTTTACCATGAAGTCGTTCGATTATGGGAAAAAGTATTCAGAAAACTGGCAACAACAATTTTACCAAAACGAAGGACAAATTCATGTTTTCTTACAAAACCTCAGAGCAAGGATTTACCCTGATTTCAATTCCAAGTTTTAGTAATTCTTTCTTATGAGGCTTCGCCCTCACTGCCATGCCACATCCCCAAAATTTACGATGTAATCATGCATGGAACAAGATAATCGGGAGAAGGATAAAGGGCAATCAATACCTCTATATACTGAAGCTCGAAGGCATGGCGGTAGAGCATCATTCTTACAGTGGTAGCTTCAATGGAGTACCGGGAGCACGAGGATATTTTCTTGGGGTCGGACCCTCTTTTAGGCATACAATCGCTGTTCTCTGCCCGTATTTGCTATGTGATTCCACTGAATTAAAGTAAGACATAATATATTAGCAACGTATCCACGTTCAAAAAATACGCATCAAGTGTTAATTTAGAAAGGGCGCACGCTGTTCTCGACTCGCGCCCCACAAAATGAAGAAACTAAGAGTATGATTATGGTGCAGAAACTGTGACATAATCTCAGATTCTTAGCATTAGCCGATATGGAAATCATGGAATGATAGGAACTGTGTATTAAATTAAATTAAATGGTTGTATAGCCATAAGAACAATAGTACAGATGAACCTCTCAGATGGAGTAGAAAATGCAAATTTCTCTTCTCAACACTAAAGCTCAATTGAAGATGCAATAAATAAACAAATAAACCGGTTCCTGACTTCCGAGTGAGTGACTGTGACTTATAAATCAATATCGGATAGAAAATGCATACCGGAACATGTTTGCAAGATAGAACCCCCCATCAAACGAATAGCTCTTTCAGCTTTTGTCACTTCCTCCTGCAAAGATGTTTAAACTGGGGTCGTGTGTAGATATAACTGATTAAAGTTACAGGCAGCCACGAAGAAAATGGAACAAATGAATTGAACATTTCATGCAATAAGTCGGCACTAAGATAAATGATTTGAACAGTTTTGATTCAAAGTAACATACCTGAGGATCATGACCTTTCGCAGCCACAAGCAAACCACCAACACGGACTAGAGGAAGGCAGTATTCAGCTTCATGCCAAAGGAAACAAATTGCCCGACGATTCAAACACCACTCATATAAAGACAAATGGTTTTATATTTGTTTTAACTATATTAGTCTCCCCAAAAATTGAAATATATTGAACAGACAGACAATCCTTCAGAAACAGCAAGTTATTCTCAGACACAACACAAACACACATCCAAATTTCAATAAATAGTCAAATTTGTGAAACAGTACAACATATTACTTTTAAGTTAGCATTGCACTACAGATTAAAATCAGTCCCATTATGCATGACATTATTTGTGAAGGACATAACTTTTTATGTATCAAGTAACTTAACTACAAACATATTTCAAGTTAGTCTTTTTAGCAGTTAATCAAAGTCCGCACATTTAAAACAAACAAATGTTCACTAGTGTTTTCGACAACTCTTTTGCACTATTTATCGATTTTTTCTCTTAAAGATCATCCAATCCAACTAATATTTTTCACTTATTTTCTATTCGAAACATCACTAATAATACACATTTCCCATTTAAAATATCACATCTTACATTAATTTTTCATTTGAACATTATACTATTTCCAAAACGCTAAAATCCTTCCAAAACTAAACTAAACAATTACTATACAGAAACTTACCAAGAACTCTCATTTCTGCAACGGCTCTAGCAACTGCAATGTCAAAAGACTCTCTGAATTTAAGATTTTGTCCAAGATTCTGCCCTACATAAATATCCAGATCAATTGACCTAACATCATCACGGATAATGTTTGAAATTGATGTGGAAGATAGATGCTTATGCACTATAATCACCTCAGCTCGATCTCGAACAATTCGCACATTGTGCAAGCCAATGAGGCTAACAGCATGCTCCAAGAAGACGCAACGCTTATTCATGGACTCAAGCAGTGTAACGTTCCAACCTAAGCAACAAAACAATACCTAAGATACGTAACCTACAAACAAACCAAAAACCCTAAAAGTTTAAAGACGATGTTCATTACCAGGGCAGGCGATGGCGAGAATCAATCCAGGAAGACCTGCTCCACTTCCAACATCGACGACATTCAAATTCTCAACAGAATTTCCACAGCGCGACAGGTATGAATCGCGAAGGGGATTCACAATCGCTAATGAGTCCTCCACATGCCTTTCCATCACCTCATTCTCCTCTTTCACGGCCGTGAGGTTCATTTTCTGCACAAACCAAAATTTAACAATTAAAATTAAGCAGAAGTAACCAAAGAACAAAAAATCGAAAAAAATTACATGTTCAAAACCTTGTTCCATTGGAGTAGCGTGTCGATATAAAGCCGAAGTTGATTTTTCTGCTCGGAGGACAAATCCCTCAAATGGAGGCTTCCGGCGGCGGGGGCGGTGGCTGAGACCGAGAAGCTGATCCTCCTGGCGGAAAGAATGTTGAAACTGAGGAATGAATGTTGACGAGCGGGAAGGCGTTTGAACAAGGTTCCGGGGAAAACAGGTGACGGAAAAGCTCGGGCTACGCCGGCGATGAAAATCAACATATCTTTAGAGTTAACAAAACCCGACAAGGGTAGACTGGTTTCTATTTAGTTATTAATGATTTGTTTTTATTGATAACATACTCCCCTTTCTATAATAAAGGAATGTAAAATACTATTTCATTGAAAAACTTGTGATTTACGTTTTGTATAATTTTTTAATATTAATATTATATTGAATTACACCGAAAAAAAAAAAAAAAAACATTTGTTACTATTATACCCTCTTCTTTTTGTTCATTAAAATTATCATAATTTGGTCAAACAAGAAGATTAAAAAAAATAAATATTTTATTAAAAAAATAATAGATAATTGAAGATATTTTTGGAAATTTAATTAGAAATTAAAGTAAATGAAGATATAATGTGATAAAATTGTTGGTGTTTGAAAAATGAAAAGAAAGAAAAAAAGAAATAAATAAATAGAAATCGCCCTGTTGTGAAGAACAAATAAACAATCACCTCCAGCATTTATTCTCATTTATTGTTCAATTGAGAATGGATTGGATGAGATAATGGTTTGGAATTTGGCTTTGACTTGAGCTTGGAATTGGGTATATATATTTATATATCTATAGGTTCAACTTATGAGTAGCACATTTTTTTAAACACCTTTTAAAATAAATAATACTCCCTCCGTCCCAAATACCATGTCTGTTACACTGTAGACAAGATATTTTAGGGGATGTAATTAGTAGATAATTAAGAATATATTAGTGAAAATAATTATCTTATAATATAAATAATTATAAATTAAGATTAAAATAACTAATTAGTTTAATTAAAATTATAAAAAATTTAAAATTTAAAATGAGATTAAAGTGTGTAATCATTTTTCAAAAAAGAAAAGTGACATGGTATGTGGACGGACAAAAACGGCAACGTGGACATGGTATCTTGGACGGAGGGAGTAATATCAATATAATTCAAATGTATCATTTTTTTTTATTCCAATATATTTATATTCACTGAATGTATTCTTTCAAAAAAAATGCCTAATAACATTTTCCTTCTCCAAACATTTAATTAAACAACTGTTTTTTTTATATTGTATTAAAAATTAATTTTACATTTAAAATATTACATTATATAGTTATTCTAATTCAAAATTTTTATATTTAAATCACAAACTCTCAAACAGACAAGCTCATCAATTTTAGTCGCGTTATAAATAATTTTAATCAATTTTGGTCAACCATTCAAAAATTAATGAAAATTGCTAACAAGACAGTTGGCCTGAACACAACACGGTCGAACCAGACTTCAATACATAATTAAATAGAATCGTGTGACAACATGAGCATGTATAATTGTATACGATCATGTATTTTCCAGTCAGCTGCTATGTAAATCATATCACATTTACGTCAGTAATTTTTGTTAGTTTTGTAATGGTGAGAACAAAATTGATTAAATTGTTAAAAGTTGAACTATTGATAAATTTTTTATATTGTGACAAAAATAAATATATTTTACTTATATTCGGATTACTATTAATTTTTTCTCTTAAAAAAAAAAAAAAAAAAAAAAAAAAAAGAAGAGCAAATTGCATGATAGCCCTTATATTTTAAGTATAAATACACAAAATACTTTTAATGAGTGGAACTTTCATGTATTAAATTAAAATATCTTTGTTAATAATTTTATTTTATTTTTAATATATAAAATTTTATTTTATATTTTAACATTTTTTAAAGCAAAAGTAAAATATTTATTTAAAAAATAAAAATAAATTGCACGATAACTCTTGTATTTTTAGTATAAAATATTAAAAATACCTTATATTTTATTTACGGCGTGAAATTTCTATTTATTAAATCAAAGTATTCAAAGATGACGTTTAGCTATTTAGCTATAAAGACATATAGGTGATTTTAAGCAAATAAATATCTTAAATAATTTTATTTGAATAAAATAAATAAGTAATGTTCATTTCGTTCATTTTGAAAATTTATATTTATTTTTTCATATTGATTTTTAAATATTAATTATTATATCAAAACGTAGTACAAATTAAAAAAAAAATGACAAAAATATTTCTATTGTCTTATGATACTAATAAAAAGATATTTATACAAAAAATTATATAAATATAAGAATATTTTAATGTTAAATACAATAACGCAAAAGATAAATATAAATTTATTAAATGGACGGAGGGAATATCATTTATTTTATAATTTTTTTTTATAAAAATTAGGTAACACATCGTCTTAAAAATATACTACATTCGTCAGACTCTAAGGGCCACCTTTACTTTTTGCGTGTTGATATTTGAATATTAATTATTATATTCAACCGTAGTACAAATCAATAAAAATTAACAAAAATATTTATGTTAATATTTTATAATATTAATACAATCACATTTGTATAAAAAAAAAATACAAATATAATAATATTTTATATATTAAGTATAATGACGAAAAATGTAAATATAACCTAGAGGCGAGGCAGACGGAGGGAGTGTATATTATTAGATAAATAATTGATAAATTATTAATTTTTTATATTTAATATTTTGTGAGAATAAACAATATTTCCTCCGTCTTTTAACAATCTATCAATTTTTTTATTTTGATCGGTCCCAAAACAAAATATTTATTTTTTTAGTAACCCTAATATCTATCAACGGTTAAAATTACCCTTAAACTTACACTATATTACAAATATATCATTATAAAATTTTTACCTTTAAGAATATTTTACTCTTTTTATCTTTATTCCTATTATATCTCAATATAATACTAATATTTATAAAATTTTATACAAAACACAAACAAATAGATTGATATGAGACCGGATTATATAATAAAATTCAAATTGAAAACTCATAATAAAATAGTCTCTAAAATACCGCAACTTATGTGTTCCATCTTTATTTATTTAGTTTTAAAATGCATAGTATTTGGGAAAAGATTATTTTTTGTCCAAATATAATCAACATTTATCAATTTTGGTTTCAATATAAAAATTTTATCAATTTTGGTCTCAATATAACCAAAACTCATCATTTTTTGTCACAATATAAATTTTTTATCAATTTTAGTCTCAATATAATCAAAATTCATTATTTTTTGTCTCAATATAACTAAATGTCATCATTTTTTGTGTCAATATAATCAAACATTATCTTTTTTGGTCTCACACCGTCAACAAACCGACGAAAAATGTTGACGTGAAAAGAAATCAAACCTTATATTTATATTTGAAGAAATTGCACAATCGCGCAGTATTTTCCGTCGGTTTGTTGACGGTGGGACAAAAAAAATAAGGTTTGATTATATTGAGACAAAAAATGATGAGTTTTGGTTATATTATAACTAAAATTGATAAAATATTTATATTTGGATCAAAATTGATAAGTTTTGGTTATATTGGGACAAAAAATGATGAATTTTGGTTATATTGAGACCAAAATTGATAAAATTTTATATTAAGACCAAAATTAATAAATTTTAGTTATATTGGGACAAAAAAATCAATTTTTCCCTAGTATTTATATAACGCAAGATTTATTTTAAAAGCTCAAACAAATACCTGTTCCAGAAGATTTATATTCATATTTATTATTAAATCAGCACTAACAGTGTGAACGTGCACGTGTTCACACGTGACAACCATCCAAACAAACACCTGATTCGATCACGACGGCATCGGCTAAAAGTAAGATTAGCTTTGATAAGTTCAATATACATACATACATTAAAAATAATAGAATATGATTGCTTTTAAAAATTATAAGAAAATGACAATTCGGCCTCCACGGTCACTCACACGCGCAAAACACATAAATTAATAAAAATACCGTTATCACTTTATTATTATTATTATTATCACTTTTATTATTATTATTATTATTATTATTATTATTATTATTATTGTGGTTGTTGTTGTCGTTGTTTTTTTTTTAAAAAAAAATAAAATTATTTTTGGTCTTAATATAATAAAAATTTATTAATTTTGATTTCAATATAAAAATTTTATCAGTTCAATATAATCAAAATTCATCAATTTTGGTCTCAATATAAAAATCTTATTAATTTTGATCTCAATATAACAAAAATTCATCATTTTTTTCTCAATATAACCAAAACTCAATCATTTTTTATTCTAATATAATCAAAGCTTACCTTTTTTGGTCCCACCGTCAACAAACCGACGGAAAATGCTGCAAGATTGTGCAATTTCTTCAAATATATATATAATGTTTGATTTCTTTTCACGTCAGTATTTTCCGTCGGTTTGTTGACGGTGTGAGACCAAAAAAGATAAAGTTTGATTATACTTGGACCAAAAAGATAATGTTTGAATATATTGTGACAAAAAATAATGAGTTTTGGTTATATTGAGACTAAAATTGATAAAAAGTTTTATATTGGAACAAAAACTCATGAGTTTTGGTTATATTGGAATCAAAATTGTTAAGATTTTTATATTGAGACCAAAATTGATGAATTTTGGTTATATTGAGACCAAAAATAATTTTTTCATTATTTATTATTATTATTATTATTATTATTATTATTATTGTTTTTTTTTTAATTATGCACATTAAAAATAAAGTAAAAGAAAAAAAAATTGTTTATTTCTTAATAAAGCATTGAAAAATAAAAAGCTATAAATAAACCAATAAAAAGAAGAAATGGACCATTGATCGGTTTATGTTTGCATTTGAGTTTTTTATTTGAATTTTTTATTTAACTAGTATTTTAGTATAAGGTATGTTTATTTGTAATTGTTGATGCAATTTTTCAACAATAAAAAGTAAACTTCGAAAATAGAGATTATCTTCGAATTTGATAAAATAAGTGCTTGAGATTAAGAATCCCTAAGCACTGTATGATACCTAAGTAAAATAAGAAAAATAAAAACTACAAACTAAAATATAAATGGTGATCCCCAAAAGTAATTCACTTGAATTTGATATCGATTGAAAATGATTTTTTTAGGCCATGAACAGACCTATTTAAAACTCATGTCAACCGCCGCAACCAAGTCGTGCCTTCATATCCACTCGTCGGTTGTAACTTCCCTCCGTGCCCGACCTTATCACGTCCGACCTCCGTGCCCGACCTTGTCAGGTCCGACCTCCGTGTCCGACCTTATCTCGTCTGTCCTCAGTGCCCGATCTTGTCAGGTCCGACCTCATCACGATCTCCAAGTCTGACTTTATCTTGTCTGATCTATATGTCAGACCTCATCACGTCCGATCTCCAAGCCCAACTTTATCTTGTCTGATCCCTGTGCCCGACCTCGAAGTCACAGTTATCTCCCGAGGAAACCTTTTTCCTTAATAGCGCTCGGACTTATTCTTTGGACCTTATTTTTACGGTCCTACTATTGTTAATAGACCCATTATACTCTATACCAATCCTTAACCCGAATTAACAAGCCCATTTTCGAAAATCCTACACATTGATTTTTTCTTACTCAATAGTAATCTTTTGTAATTAATTTTTCTTTTGTAATTAATTTTACTATTTCAATATATTTTTATATAAAAATATCAAATCAAATATATATTTTTATTTATTTATTTATTTATTGTTTTAAACAATCTACAATATATATATTATATAATCTGTCATAAATATTTTACAATATTCAATAAATTATATTTATTCTCTAATAAATATTTAACACTTTATCTTATCGAATCATTTAAATAAAATATATATATATATATATACAATTCTCTTATATCAATCACCTAATTTTTAAATTGTGGTACGTAATACTATCCATTTAAATTTATGTGTCGAAAATTAAATATCGCATTATGTTTGAGACATGAGAGTATATTACATTAAAATTTTATTTTATATTCAAAGTATTACATTAATATATATTTATTACATATTAAACAATTACTTTAATTCAAAATTTTACTATTTAAAATTAAAATTTAAAATTAAAATCTAACGAGTAATCACATTTATAATATATTGTTAAAAACTAATATATTTTAATTGCAAAATATGGATTGATATATATATATATATATATTTTGAAATACCAACATAATATTCGAAATTAAGAATGTGATGGCGTGAATATTTGAAAAAAAAAAACATTATAATATTTTAAATAAAAATAAATATAACACATTTTATTTTATTTTATTAAAATAATATAACAAATAATACAAAAGTAATTTAAAAAATAAAAACCAACACGTGTGTTTGCATTTTCAATTTTTAGGGAAATAGTTTATATATTTTTTAAAGAATAGTCATTTAATAATTATAATTTTATTTATATGAAATGATATTTTAAATATGTTCAAGTTATATATTTCTATTTTAAATTGTCAAATTATAAAATAATTATTTTAAAAATACATTATTTTTTACAAATATCAGTATTTACCATTACATTATTATTTTTATATTAAAAAAAAGAGCAAAATTATATTTACATTATTTTTAATTATTTACTATAATTAAAATTATTGGTTTTTAAATGCTATGAAAGAAAAAAAATTTAGTATAGTTCGGACGAAAATAGTACAAAATATATAGTACAAAATATATAAATATTATTAGAATATAATTAAACATTATTCTATTTTAATTTTTTCAAATTATTTACCACATAATATTATATTTTTATAAAAATATATATATAAATTTTTATATAAATATATGTTCATTTGTATTTTTGAATAAATATGCTTTCTATGTGTTATATTGGAGAACCGTATTGAGAATAAATGAATAATAATACTTGTATTATATGATCCAAAATAATAAAAATAATCTCCCACCATAAAGATATCGAAAATTCTAAGAATATCTATGCAAAATAAAATATTAATATTTTAAATAAAAATAAAAATTTAAGATATTAATACCAACTCAATTGGGATCGACCCCCCTGCCAGAAGACTTTCAGGTCGGGCTGAGCCGACACGGATTTGTTTTTGGATATCCTCCAAAAAGGCCTCATTCTAGTGAAGTTCACTTGAGACTTATAAAGTGTGGAATTTTCTTCACAACTTCCGACGTGGGACTTGAGTTTGCCATTTCTTAAATAAGAATCTGATTAATTTTTTACATAAATTTTTTAATATTAGTACAATATTAGTATATAGCACGGAGTAAGAGAAAATGACAAAAGAATAATTTTATTAACATTGTATGATATAAAAATAATGATATATGTATAATGTATTTTAAATTGTAAAAATATTTTTAATATAAAATAAATAGTATAATTATTAAAAATATATATATACTTTATTATTTAACATATCAAAAAAAAATGAGAATTTGTTAACAAATAGAATCAATATTATTTTTTTAATGGCAAATAAAAAATAGAAAATAAAAGTATTTTCTATTTTTAATGAAAAAACAATTAATTTATTTTTTCTACGACAGTTGGTACATTTTAATATTTTAATTTATTTCATAACAATTGATCAACTCCCAATTCAATTAAATTTATAACATTTTATATATAAGACCTACTCGAAATGCTTTATTTTTAATTTTTTTGTAAATTAATTTAATTATTTTTTAATATTTTACACATAAAATACATTTAAAATTCCTTATTTCTATATTTTTAATAAATAAATATTTTTTATTAAACTAATTTATGTTAATTTTAAATAAATAAAAATATTATTTTATTCAATATATATTTTTAAAAATAATATTTAAAATATATTTTAAATTACCTTATATTCATTTATGCTTAATATCATTGGTTAAGCATAATAAAAAAAAAAAAAAAAAATCAAAATCAAAAGTAAAACACAATTAAAACCAACAAAACAGCCCAACCCATACCCGAACGAAATAAGTTGGCATCCTCGTCCCCTTAATAAATAAAGCCACCTCGGTATTCACCAAAAAGTAAGAATACATGCTTTACAGTGGGCGGGCCAGGACTGCAACTCCAAGAACAGAACAGCCACGTACCACAGAGAGAGGTGTACAGCATTGTAGATTGAACTGGCGTCCGTGATCCCGGATCTTCTAATCCAAAACAGTGCCAGTCACGAATCGAGCTGTTGTTTCGCGAACCGGCGTCTCTATCTATCGTATCTCCAGAAGAGACTCAGTCAGTCCACTTGGATTCTCTCTCTATTCAACCTTTACCTTCTCCCCTCCAATGGCACCCATTTCAGATTTCTCACCATTTTCTTCAACCCTAATCCCTCATCTTCCCATTTAACAAAAATGAGCGGAACCAGGAAGCTCCGGCGATGGAGATTCTCTTTTAACAGATCCGCCGCCGCCGTTAAGAGCAACCCCCCGCCGCCTGGTGAATTCCTCTGCCCCATCTCCAAATCCTTAATGTTCGACCCCGCCGTCGTCTCCTCCGGCCAGACTTTCGAGCGCGCGTGCGTCGACGTGTGCAGAGATTTAGGTTTCACGCCGACGCTCGCCGACGGTACGACGCCGGATTTTTCGACGGTGATACCTAATTTGGCGCTGAAGACGGCAATCCTCAACTGGTGCTCGAAGACCGGGTCGGATCCTCCGATCCCGCTCCCGCACTCGGAAATCGAATCCGTCATTAGGTCTTCGAAGGAAGCTTCCGGAAATGATGCGATTCGTAACGCCGGTGGAAAATTGACGACAGGCGTTGCGGGAATGGAAATTCCGGCGGAATTGAAGTCGAGGGAGGTTGATTACTCGTCTCCGAGCTCTGAAGAATCTGTGATTGCCAATACGACGCCGTTTTCGCGACCGTCCTGTTTGTCGTTCTCTTCCTCGCCTTCTACCTCGTCGGAATTCGTCCGCGACGAATCGCCGGTGAATTCTTCCGGCGAGGATGAGAATTTGGTGGCGAGGATGAAAAGTTTGGATGTTTATGATCAGGAGCAAAGCGTGATTGAATTGAGGAACTCCACGAGGACAGATTGCAGAGCTAGGTCGGCGCTTTGTACGGATAGGGTTTTGCTTGCTCTGAAGCGGTTGATGAATTCGCGCTACGCCGCCGTGCAGATTAACGCCGCGGCGGCGCTGGTGAATCTCTCGCTGGAGAAGGAGAACAAAATTAGGATCATGAGAGCCGGAATTGTTCCGTTTCTGATCGATATTCTGAAAAATGGTTTCGAGGAGTCGCGCGAACACGTCGCCGGTGCGATTTTCAGTCTCGCTCTGGAGGACGAGAACAAGACGGCGATCGGCGTGCTCGGAGCGCTTCCGCCGCTTCTGCACGAGCTCCGGTGCGGTACACGGCGGAGCCGCCAGGACGCGGCGCTGGCGCTGTACCACTTGACGCTCGTGCAGAGCAACAAGGTGAAGCTCGCGAAGCTCGGAGCCGCCGGAGTGTTGCTAGGGTTGCTAAAGGACGAGGATGTGGCGGCGCGTGTTGTGCTCGTTCTCTGCAACCTCGCGACCTCCGGCGAAGGCCGGGCGGCGCTGCTAGACTCCGACGCCGTGGGGTTGTTGGTCGGAGTTATGCGGAACTCGTCGGAGTCGACTCGGGAGAATTGTGTGGCTGCTTTGTATTCGCTTAGCTATGGAAGCTTGAGGTTCAAGAGTCTAGCAAAGGACGCCGGCGCGGCGGAGGCGCTGCAGGAGGTGGCGGCGGCGACGGGAAGCGAGCCGACGAGAGCGAGGGCTATGAAGATTTTGGAGCGGCTGAGGGTGGATGAGCGGCGGCGTGACTCGGCGGGGGAACTCACTGAGTTGCGACTTGCGAGTTAGGGCAAAGCGGAGAAGATTGTGATGTAAGTAAATTAAATTATAAAATGTCAATATTGGTTGCCGTTTGTATGTTCTTTTTATCATTTTGATGGTGTTTATTGTTAATTTTTAGGGCTTGATTTGGTTCATCTTTGCTGTTCTTATTTTATGGGAAATAATTAGTTAGATTTGGGATTTATTAGAGGGCTACTTTTTGAATTATTGAATATTAATTATCTGACTTGAAATGGCTTAAAAATAAATCTGGTTATATTGAAGAGAACGTGTTTAAATGTCAAAGCCGTTGTAGGATTCGACCGGAGAACTGACTAACTAATTTTAATGATAAACTACGCTCTCAATCTGATAGGTAGAGAATCAATTTGTTGTTGTTACAGGTAACAGCTTTATGGAGTAATATTCTTTTTTAGGCCCAAGATCACGTGATAGAAAAATTTCTTTCAATGCTCGATACTTGAAAATTAATTATATATATATATATATTTATATTAATTATATTATCTAATTATATTAACCGAAGATAATTAAATTTTGGGTGTTTGGATTTTGAGTCGAGAGAATAGTAAAAATTTTGAATTTGAATAGTTGTATGATGTGATTTAAATAGGTGTTGATGTGATGTTTTGAATGTAAAATTGATTTTTAGTATAATATAAAAAAATAAAAAATAGGTGTTTGATGAGAAAAAAATTGGATGAACAGTGAAAATCTAATCCAATCCCCTAAACAAACGCACTGAACTATAATTAAATTTTATGTATTTATTATTATTATTATTATTTTTTTCTTTTCTAATATGACGTGAGGAGGTAACTCGGTCGACTCCAACCCAACGCTATTAATGGCGACACCATATTTTGGCGTTGCTACAGTACAACGCCAATTTTAGTGTTAACTATAGAACGCCAAAATATGGCGTTGCTTTTCTTCTCTTTATTTTATTTTATTTTATTTTATTTTTATTTTTATTTTTAAATTTATTTTTTATTTTTATATTTTTTTAAAAAAAATATTTTAAATTATAAATATAAAAAATTGTTTAAAATAATAAAAAAAATTGAATATTTAAAAAATATTAGTGAAAAATAGAGTTATAGTTAAAATAAAAATACTGTAACAACTTATATTTGAAATTAAAAGAGTATAAATGGAGTGTAAGGGTTAAAGATAGTATAAGACAAGTTATATGAGTTGATTATCAGATTTTTAATCCTTACACCACTGTATCATTTGTTGGGGAGGAGGGGGGTATATTGAATCATTATTAATACGCTACCTAGCATTCAATAATAAAAATTATTATTATTATTCACTTTTATTAAAAAATTTTACTTTATTCAATGAATATAAATTTTGATGATAGAAGGAGTATTATTTTTTATGACACCATTGAGTCACTTTTTTATTATTTTTTTTATGACAGTTAAAATTTGTAATCATTAATTTTTTTCAGTATTTTGAATATATTTTGGCTAACGAGGGTGTTTGTATATTTTTGTTATTTTTTTAGAGTATATTGTGTAATTTTAATTTTTTTAAAAATATGATATGTAATTTTATTTTTTTGAAAAATAATGAATAATTTTATTTTTTTTAAAGTGATATATAATTTTACATTTCGGAAAGTGATATAATTATATAGTCTTTTTCTAAAAAAATAATGTGTAATTATATATGCTTGAGTTATATTATAAAGAAAAATTAAAATTGTGGTGTAATTTATAAATATAAAAAATCATATACAATAATATAAAAGAGGAATATATAGGGAATACACTTTTTTAACTGAAAATTGAAGTTTATAATTAGAGTAAAATTACTGTAGATAAAGTGCATTTTTACTGTAGTTATTGCAAAAGTGAAGTAATAAGTTGGAGATGGGCGAGCTGAATGTTAAAATAATAAAATAATACTTCCTCCGTCCCACGTTGGATGTTTGGGTCACTGTAGACACGAGAATTTAGACTAAGTATAATTAGTAGATAATTAAGAATGTATTAGTGAAAATAATTACTATAATATAAATAATTATATATTAATATTAAAATAATTAATTAGTTTAATTAAAAATAAAAAAAATAGGAAAGTGACATGGGATATGTGACGGACATAAACGACAATATGAACATGGTAGGTGGGACGGAAAGAGTAATATATAATATAAAAAAAATTATTAAAATATTTTTTAAAACTTGAATATATATTGTAGACACTAAAAATATATGTCTAAAATCAATTAAATATCATGTATTTTGGAAGAAAATAAAATTCCAATAATATAAATATATAGTATTTAATTATGCACATATGTTAATTTTTGTACAATAAATATCAACCATTAATGCAAAAATCTGCTTAAAATGGAAGATATCGTACAAATATTACGTGCATAAATAGAACCATAATAAATTTGACAGCAAAATAAATTAATCTTGTCAATAAATGAAGTATATAAGTTAATATCTTCCGAAAAAAGGCAATAATATAAAGATCTTGGTGAGAAAGGAAAATGCACAATCAAATTCGTCAAAAATGGAAAACAACATCCCATGAAAAAATGAAAGATTATAAAATCTTCCTATTGGCCAATCAGAATGCGCTACGTGGCACCATTAAAAAAGGAAGTCGAGGCCACACCTTCCCTATAAATAGGAGTCATGGTCAGATCATTTCAGACACCAAAGTTACATCGAGGATTTGCTTTAGACTCTTTCTGTATTGTTCTTCATGTTCTTCATGTCATTTGAAGTGTTCTTCGTTGAAAGTCACTGATTTGGACAAATGATCTAATATTGGTTGACGAATCGGTGGAGTTAACGTTCTTCGTCATATGCCCAAGTCGGAGGAAGGATCAAAGTTTCAAAAACCGTTGAGGAATTCATCAAAGCCAAGGGAAGGTCTTCAAAGTTCCTCTCAAAGCTTCAAAATGTTCATCGCGTTCTTTAACAAAACATTAACTAGACCCTCTTCAATCCAAAAGTTAAAAGGACACGCCGTCAAAAGCGTTATGGAGCACTAAATCTACCTCCCCAATGATCAAAGCTGCGGATCGTCCAAAAAAGACATCAAATCCAAAGCCAATGATCAAACCGCCCACACGGAGACCAAAGCCCTCCAAACGGCGGCAAAGCCAAACTAAAGACCAAAGTCACGGATCGTCCAAAGAAGACATCAAATCCAAAGCCGACGATCAAATGGTCCACACGGAGACCGAAGCTCTCCAAAAGGCGGAAAAGGAACCAAAGATCAAAGCTGCGGATCATCCAAAGAAGACACCAAATCCAAAGAAGATGATTAAATCGCCCACACGGAGACCGAAGCTCTCCAAAAGGCAACAAAGCCAAATCAAAGTCACGGATCGTCCAAATAAGACACCAAATCAAAAGCTGATAATCAATTTGCCAATATGAAGATCAAAGCCCTCCAAAAGGCAACAAAGTCAAATAAAAGATCAAAGCCTCAGATCGTCTAAAGAATAAATAAATCCAAAGTCAATGATCAAATCGCCTACAAGGAGACCAAAGTCCTCCAAAAGGCGGCAAAGCCAAATCAAAGATCAAAGCCTCGGATCGTCCAAAGAAGACACCAAATCCAAAATCGATGATCAAATCGCCTACACGGAAACCAAAGTCCTCCAAAAGCGGCAAAGCCAAAACAAAGATCAAAGTCTCGGATTGTCTAAAGAAGACATCAAATCCAGAGCCGACGATCAAATTGCCAACACGGAGACCAATCCCTTCAAAATGCGGCAAAACCAAATCAAAGATCAAAGCCTCGGATTGTCTAAAAAAAAGACATCAAATCCAAAGCCGACGATCAAATCGCCGGCACGGAGACCAAAGCTCTCCAAAAGCCGGCAAAGTCAAACCGAAGACCAAATCTCGAATCAAAGAAGCCATAGAAAACCAAGTTGGAAAATAAATCGACCTGGAAGGAGAATCAAAGGACCCATTTAAAGAATAGGACCCACTCTAAATTCAAATCAAATATAATTTGTACAAATTTTGTGTTTATTAAAAATAACACAATTTTTTGTTCACATATATTAAACAATATAAAATTTTAAAATAAATAAATAACAAACTAATGTATTCATGTAAAAATACAAAACAAGAGAAGATTTTACTGCATTAATAAAAACAAATTACTTTAATGAGAGAGTATTTTACTTGCAAACAATAAAGAAATCAAATGAACCTGCGAGATTTCAACTCCAACCAAAATTAAATTTAAATCTAGCTACTACCCGTGAACGAAAACAAAATATTCTTTCCGGCTCATTTGAATTACTCTTTTGAGGTTATATAGTAGACTAAAAATAATACTAGTATTTTATTAATTAGTCAACGTATATATTTTTTTTCTTTTATATTTTTGTCATTTCACTTTATATATAAATTAATTGTATGTGTAATGAAATATTTATAATTTACGTAAAAATTAAGGGTATTTTGATATTGATATATGATTAGTGAACGTGTAGAAAAATAGTAGTAGTATTTTATTAACTAGTGAACGTGTAATAAATATTGATATTTTTGCCCTTCGACTTTACGTATAAAGTAATTGTATGTGTAATGAAATTTGTAATTTACGTAAAAGTTAAGGGTATTTTTGTATTGGTGTATAATTACTTTTACTAAAATAAGAAATATATATATTTTAGTGAGATAAATGAAAATGGTAAAAATAATACTTTGAGTTGGGATGGAGGGAATATAATTTTAAAAGAGCAATTGCAAGACATTAATCTCTTTACAGTAACTAATAAAATACTATTATTTTTTAATCTAACTGTGGATGTCGTGATATGTGAAACCAATGCTAACTCGACCAGCCGATAGATTAAATAGAAAGTACTAATACAATTCATTTGAATAATCTTATGTGTAAGATCTCTAATGTCGCAAAGACAATAAAAATTAGTTCTGATCTCAGGTAACGAAGGAATGTTGGAAACTATGATTTTAACTTTGACAAATTATGCATAAAAAAATCATTTGAATATAACTCAACAAGATGAATATTCCGTTCTTGGTAAAATGTAGAAAACAAATTGTTGGGATTAAAGCTTGCTATTTCCATCAACCGCTCTAAGTTTGATTTTTTAAACCGATAATTTATTTCTTGAAAAATAATATCGATCACCTAACAAATTGTCTGTGATGGATAGGTGTGGAGGTTAATAAACCGGTACAAGTGAAAGGAATAAGAACCAAACCAAAGATACAACCAGGTAAAATAACATTTTATGCTGGTTTAATATAACAATATTTTGGTCTTTGGCGGCCAATTGTCAATGAAAGAAATGTTGTAGAATGTGAGATTGCATTACAATATGATCAAATTCTGCGACAACAAGTTTATATTTTATGATTTGTTTATCTAGTATTTATTATTATTATGATTCTTCTTGATTAATTTGTAGACTTATATATATATATATCATATAATAATGTATTTGTTTCAATACCAAGCATAAATACCCATCACTGCAATAATTCATCTAATTCTCTGAAGCAGGGGTTATCATAGAGATTTTCGATTTGGATTTTGCCAAATTCGAACCGATCCGAAAATCTGAATTTTTGACGGAAGCAATCCGATCCGATCTGAAATACCTGAAATCTGAACTAAAAAATCCGAACCAAACAAAAAAAATCTGAAATTCTATATTTTTGTATCTAAGACAAATCATTAAAGTTCTTTGGAGTGCAATACACAATGGGAAGTGTAAGCATCTCAATTAAAAAATCTATATTTTTGTCTTGGAGTGATTGAGCATCTTCAATTTGGTTGTGTTTTCAAATTTATCTTGTGATTATGCTTGATGTTTAGTCTACTGCATGGTATTTCAACCATTAGGGATGAAATTGTTTATACTATCTGTAGTTCTTCTGAAAACCGTTTCCTAGCAATGCCATGCATTTTAGATAGAACTCACCTCAAGAAAAAATGATTCCTTAGATTTGTTATCTTGAATACTTGTATTTAATCAATTTTACATTTATTTTTTAAATTTATCATGCAGAGGTAGCTTGCACAGGTTTGATAATGATTTGTGCAACCAGAAATAGCTTGCACAGGTTAGGGTTCTTCAAATATATTTTACTTGCATATGAAATAGTTGGAATTTTGAGTGTTTATCTTGTTGCTTCACAGGAAGTTATGGAAACACTAAAATAAGAGATTTCAAGATGATACGAAACTGTAGAAAAGCTGAATAATTAAATGAGATCGTGTAGAGGTTCTGTATACTTGTTTGTTGCCAAAGTATTGTTTTTCCTCGGTTTTCCTGCACCCGGATAATTCATTGAGATTTTAAAGGTAAATTATATAACACTTCCTTGTGTTTTTAGTAAAAATGCGCAAAATACCCTGTGCGTGAAATCCTCTTGTGTTAATATAAAATTTGCTCGAAACACTCCCATTGTTCAAAACTGATGTTCGGCTGACCTAAATTATGCAAGTTTTATAAAAATAAAAAATAAAATATATCTTAAATAATTTTTTTTTAATATTTAATCTATATTTAACCTCGTATGACCTGACAACAGCTCATTCACGAGAGTTAGCCTAACACCTGCCAACTCCAGGGGTATTACATCTCCCCCCACTTAAGAATGCAACACCTATGTTACAACTAAGGATCATCAATTGCTAGACCCATCACCAGTCTGGTCAACGACTGCGGGCTGTCGCAGGTCGGCTCTGATACCAATTGTGACACTCCGGCCCGAAACTCACGCAAAGCCGAGCATGTCGGAATCGTAGACTGGCCCCACGGGTCAACACGAGTCCTTCCAATGCGCTTCTGTCCTCACTCACGTGCACCCTGGGAGACTTTCCAAAGGGTCACCTATTCTCAAATTACTTTAGGGCAAGCACGTTTAACTTTAGAATTCTTTCGGTAGAAGGAATATACACATTATTGACATGAGTAGTCTATTCAATCCATTTAACCTATATTCAAGCTCGGATGGCCTGACACCGGCTCATCCACGGGAGTTGGTCTAGCACCGGCCAAGTTCAGGGGTATTACAATTTTGCTCATCATCCTTCATACAATCAACCAAGAAATTGAAATATGCACCAAAGAAGAATAGAACTTTCACGATGCATCCCAATAAACCAAATAACATTGCAATTTGCCTCTACTTCAGTAGCAACCATAACACCATTTTACTTGTATTTGCTTATTCTTCATATGCACACAATTTCAAGTGTTGCATGTCCAACTGCCTTTATCCTAGTTTAAACTTATCCTAATCAAATTACCTTTATGAAATTCCAGTGCGTACATACCCAAGGTCACGACAAGGCCATAAAAAAGGAAACGACTCAACACATAGTTATCTTTAATATGTAGTAATTTTGTATTCAGTAGTAAATGATTCTTCACTTTATTGTTACGGGTTAGCTTATGTATGTTCCTAGATGGAGAGCCAGCAAACCGTGCAATTTCAACACTAAAGTGCATGTCGAGTACTAGCTGTCAAATCCCACAACTCTGTAAGTGGAGTCGATGATTTACAATATAAAAACTTGCTACAATCCAACTGGCCAAAGATGACCTAAATTGTGCTCCAAACAATAAATCAATGGATTGTATTTAGATCCAAGAGAAAAATAGGTAAAATTGCTCATAACTTCTATGTGGTTTCGAAATTCAGCGTAAAATCTCTCTATTATTTAAACATTGCATGACACCCCTTATATTTTAAAAACATTGCATGAAACCCCACCATGAAACTTTCTTTATATGATGAGAAGATTTTCTATCAATATATTTTGCATGACGAGGGGGTTTCATACAACAATTTTGAAAATATAAGGGGGCGCCATGCAATTTTTAAAGTAAAGTGGGAATTTCCACTGAGTTTCGAAATCAAATAGGGGTTTCATGCAACATTTTTTAAAGTATAAGAGAACGTCATACAATTTTTAAAATAAAAGAGAATTTACCCTGAGTTTCGAAACTATAAAGGAATCATGAGCAATTTTGCCAAAAAATATAACAACTTGATTGGCTTAATTAGCCGAATTTGATCCCAAAGAAAGAAATAGAGTACTAAATATGCAAGATTTGAGAAAGTGCAATAAACTAAAATAAGTCAATAGTAAGCTAGCCCACCATTAAAACTGACATCCTAGTCAAAAACACAGTTTGCACACCATAACTAATTAAAAAACTACCAATGAGGATGGTATAACATCTAATCACATCTGCTTACCCTGGTCTTAACTTGAAGAAATAAATGATTCATTATAAAATACAAAGACACTAAGATCTTAACAATTGTACAAAGTTATAAATGAATTAACAAAATAGGCACTTAGATGACACAAAATCCATTACGAAAGCTATAAAAATAATTACACCTAAAAGAACTATATACATATATTACTATTACGTATGAAATTTAGAATTAGGTTAAAAAACCCAAGGTAAAAAGAAAATTGGGCCTTACAATTGAGGTGATCGAACTGGTCGAAGGGCACCGCGGGAAACTCAGGTAAAATAGGTGCATTTCTAAGGAAATAGCGGGTCGGAAAGTCCGCAGGTCGGAAGGCCCGCGGGTCGGAAAGTCCGCAGGTCGGAAAGTTTGCAGGTCGGAAGGTCCGCGGGTCGGGAGGCCCGCAAAACGGAAGGTTCGCAGGTCGGATGGTACACAGGTCGGAAGGTCCGCAGGTCGGGTGGTTCGCAGGTCGGAAGGTCCACAGATCAGATGGCCCGTAGGTCGAAAGGTCCCCAGGTCGGGTGATCCACAAATCGGGTGGTCTGCAAGTCGGGAGGTATACGGCTGGACCAACAAGTCGGATGGTCTGTAAGTCGGGAGGTATGCGGCTGGACCAAACAAATTGGGTGGTCTGCAAGTCGGGAGGTTTGCAGTCGGACCAACAAGGCGGAAGATTGGCGGTCGGGCCAAAAGGGCGGAAGGTTTGCGGTCAGTCCAGATAGTCGGATACTATTGCGAGTGAGCGAGAATGGTACTTTGGTCGGTTGAGGGCACGTGTCAGCAAGAGAAATGTTAGTAGACGGTTGAAAAAGAGGCGTTGTAACCATTCAGGCGACGGTTTCCAGTACTGTTTCTCAAGAAATATTTAAGGATTTGGATTTTTCTGAAAAAGGCATCTTCAATCAACTTCGACAAAAGCAAAGTCAGATTCGGGGATCACTATTTTAAATTTTCAGCATTTTTTTTTCAATTAATTTTCTTATGTACCGTAAAGTGTTTAGAGATTTCTAATCTCACGCACTAATTAATTAAATTTTAAGGATATTTCCACATATTTGAATTTTACTTTTTTGTTTATTGAAAAATTACATCAACAATTACAATACCAATACCATTTGAGGTCCCTTAAGTTGGTCACTCTTTCACCATTTCCTCTCTTTGAAATTCTCATAACATATATCAATTCATCTATAAAAAAGTTCAATTTAAAAATAAATTCGCAAAAATTATAAATATAAAAATTAAATAAAACTGCACCACCATTAACATGCGAGCAAATCACCCTCCACTTACGATTTTTGGCGAGAATCGAAAATAGAAAAGAAATATTGAAAGTCGACAAAGCTGTAAAAATGAATTGTCAAGAAAAACTTCTCTCTTCGTTGTCTATTCTGTGAGCCGTCGTCGCGTTCCCTTTATCAATCTCGCCGTCGAAGTCGCGCTCGATTTGTCGTTGCCGTGCGAATCGCAGAGAAAGAGGGGGCAAAGAGATCGCAGCGCTATTTGAAATTTTGAATTTAAATTTGATAATTTAATTGTATTTATTCCTAAGTCCGGACTAAACTACACATTATATATTAAAAAAAATAACAAAACGTAAATAAATTAAAATACATGTGGGATAATATTACTAATTGGTTGGTATAAAAGAGACATACATAATACTCATTAAAATTTACACTTAGTTTCCTTTTTGAATTATCATTGAAAAATATTAAAAAAATAACAATTATTAATTATTTTTATTAAAATTCCCATCCGATCAAATGAATACATATTTGTATGACAAAGAAAATAAAAACAAAAGATTTTAACCTTTACGTTTGCGGTAATATATCGTGTATATAACACTATATGCTAGTATATATATAAGTATATATAGATGTTGGAGGAAACCTATAACTTTAGGGTCATAGGTCCACCTTCACACCACACCAGTAGACAGTAACCATCCGTTACAACACTATTACTTATATAATTTTCAAAATTAAACAATAAGGGGTGTTTGACAAATAGTTTTTGGAAGAGCTTACCAGCTAATTTAGGTGTTTGGTCTGAAAAGCTAATTTACCCAGCGTTTTGAAATAACTTTTTCTGTAAATTTTTTTTATTCCTCCTTTAAAAATTTATTATGCATTTTACACAAATAAATATATTTTGATTATTTATTAATTATATTAAAATATTTTATTATATTATAGTTTTACTTTTATAAATTTAAAATAATTAATTTTATATAAAAATTATTTTAATTGTAAAATATATAAATTTATTAAAATCAACATAAAATAGAAAATATAAATATTAATACTTTATTTTTATATTAAAATTACATTATATAAATTTTATACTAAAAATAAATTAAAAAATTAAATTTATTGAAAGTTATAAATATAATGAACTAATCGATAACTAACATAATAAATATATACACGAAAAATTTATTATTTTATATTTTTTATTATTTTATATTTTATATTATTTTCAATAGAAAAAACTATTTATATATTTTAATAAAAATATATTATTTTTTTAAATATAACTGTAATTAAAATAAATATTTTTATAACACTTTTACAATTTTCAATAACTAATAACAAAAAATTTTAAACATTCTAAACTCAAAAGAACATAATTGAATATATTATAAACAAAAATAAAATAGAAATATCCTCATTTTACTTATGAACAACTAGTATCAAACAGTTGTTTTACCAAACATTTTAATACAAACAGCTAATCGAATTCAAACCAATTAATTGAATCAAGCTAACTAACAGCTATCACGGATTGCAAAGACGGCCTAAATACGGCCTAAATTCTTATTCAAGAAATAGTTAAGTGGGTCGCGGGTCTGGAGTCTTACTGGGTCGGGTGGAAGAGCTATGAACATAGTAAGAAGATCATTTATTACCCGGAGAAGTAGGTACCAACATTGCTCGCCTTTTGTCCATCTCCAACTATCTGTGGATTCTTTGATGCTCGTATCCCGAATTCATGTCTCGTGGAAACCGATGGGCGCGGAGTCTGATTCTTCTGGTCATTTTGCCGCATTTGTGCATCGAAATCTACTGTTCGAAGCCGGACCCTTTCGCAGCTAAGAAGAAGCGGATGAGTGAGAAAGTTCGTCAAATGTAATGATATCTTTCCCGAATCTAACAGTCCCGCCATGTTTTCCGACTTGATGAAAATTTGAATCAGTTTCCTCTCTTGTAAATTTGACTGGCAATTGCTCAACCCTTGTTTTCGATTCGATTTCTTATGATTGCGTTCTTTATTTTCGGTATGGTAAAAAGAGTCTTGATTCGAATTAATCCGAATTATGTGTAATTTCTTGTTCCAAGTAGCTTGTGGAAGGTAAATAGGCATATGATCCCCAGCAGTTACCAAAATGTGTATATACATGACTATCTCACCCGGTATTGAGATTACGAATAAATTATAATATTGACTGAGGTGGATCCAGGGCTGAAAAAACTAGTTTCATTTTTCTTGCTGAATTTGAGAAGCTATTCTTTTTAGTTCGAATTCATATATGTGAAATGTTTTCTTTTTTTTTTTTTGGTGTATAATGAAATGTTGTTACTTTTAAACTGTAAAAAAGTACAAAATTTATCTGTGTGTATAATTTCTTATATATGATAATATGAGAGGCTAAGAAGTGTTACTATATAGGTTCAATAATAAAACTTTCATTGAATTATTATTCATTTCCTAACTTATATCATTGAATACGCTCAATTATCTCCATGGTATGTTAATATCAATATATATATATATATATCTATAAGTTAATAAATTAATTTATATTCAAAATAATTATTTATCGGTGCCGCGAGTTATAGAATATGTTGGCTTCAAGCATATAAAATGCTAACCTCCATGTAAAGGTAGCTTAAATTAATCAATCAGATGCTGAGAAACTTTATCAAGCATATAAAATGGTAACCTCCATGTATAGGTAGCTACTGCAAATATTGGTGCTGCACAGAACTCAGGCTTTCAATTGAATGGGAGATGTTTTCATTTAAGATTATACTCCAGAAACAATCGAACCCATCATCATCTCAATTTGATGCAAATGGCCTAGATATATTCCTATTCAATGTACTTTAAGAAGAGATTGGACTTCTTGTTGTCTCTCAAAAAGTTTAATTCAAGGGATGTTCTTGTTTTTTCTCAATATGTGAAGGACTAGGCACCAGGTATTATATTGCAACATCTGACCTATTTGAAGAGAATACTAGAGAACCATCCTGAAAACAGTATTACTACAGAATTAGCAAGTGAAGCGGGTCCAACTCAATAAGCTGTGTTCCTGGATAGTGGTTAAAATCCACACCCTTGCTTTTTTACTATCATTTGGGAAAAAAAATCTCTCTGGTAATTTTATAAAGTGAAATCTTAATCATCTGTTTTACCATAGGAGTCAAGTAACTGGTTCTGTTGCAATTACTAGGTATTGGATTAGGGAAACTAATGAAGTATAGGAGCAAACAAATATATACCTGAAATTCAGACTAGGATACCTGAGATAATTATTATCCTTTATCTTATTTAATTGTTTTTTCATCAATGTCAGGTTCTATCATGGCTACGACAACTACATGATGCATGCATTCCCTGTGAGTGTTTAATTGTGCTAACATTTTCAAATATATTTGACCATGATCTGCATGTACTCATTTCCATGTTGACTGTCTTTCCTCAGCATGATGAATTAAAGCCTTTGACAAAAACATTCACAAATTCTTTAAGTGAGCTTGGAAATTTGAAGGTGAGTCTTTTAATTGAAGAAGTTTGTTTTGATAGTTAGTGACATATTAAATAACTAAAAGTTCTTTGAAATTTTAGCTTGAACATCTGTCAGAAAAGTATAATGGATCAGCTCTTACCCTTATCGAGTCGCTGTCCAGGTTTGATATTTCTTTTGTTTTCATTTTGGTGCTAAACCAACTGAAATTATTTGTAGCTATAAACTAAACTCCTTGAGAGCCATCTTATTATCTGTTGAACTCATTGCAGCCTTGGAATTGAGATGAATTGTTGTGCTGACTTTCTTTTTCAATCTCAGCCTAGCAATCTTGGGAAATCATACTGAATTTGAAAAGGGGGTTCTTTGGCTATCTGAAAATCTAACATTTGATGTTGATGCAAGGGTGAATCTTTTTGAGGTAATGTGTTGATTATTTTGATTATTATATCTTGAAATAACCTTCTTTAAATTTATGAAAAATCTCACTAATGAATGCTCAACTTACTAGTCATCATTTCCTGCCTATTCATATTATGATCTCAAATAAACTGCATTACAATTTCTTTATTATTAATTATGTTAAGTGTTTTAATGTTTCCTTCTTATCCGTGTTCTGTAGTGCAACATAAGAGTACTAGGAGGGCTTGTTTCTGCTCATATTCTTGCGACTGATTCTACAAACAGGTTAACTAAAGGAACATACAAAAGTCAGCTTCTTAACCTTGCTACGGAGTTGGGAGAGAGGTTTTTACCTGCTTTCAATACCCCCACTGGACTGCCTTATGCGTGGATAAACTTGAAGGTTCTGATTTCATATATATGGAGTAGCACAACTGCTGTGTTAAGTTGCATTGCTTATTTCTGTGAGGCAACCTGCCAATCCTGTTCCACATATTCCTTTAATCATTGTTGTCCCGTTAGCATGATGCTTATGGGTCTAACTATGGTCAAATCAAGAATTTGTGCTCACCAAAATGTGCTTAGAACATTGAGCCTGAGGTGTTTTGTACTTTCATATTTGAATAGTAAAAATCTTTAGTAAAACCCATAAAAGAACACAACATCGAGTTTTTGACAGGATTTTCCCCTTAGCACCTTGCATTATTAACCTTGAAAGCGTGACTTGCACTCACAACAGTGTATAATTAAGCTCAAAATGCATGTAAGTCACTGATCCTTCAAATATCTGTGCATGTAAAGCTAGAGTTCAAGAATTTCTCAATTTTTTTTGCCCTAAATAAATGTGAATGGATGCATCTAAATTATATGAGAGTGGCTCTGAAATGGCTCCCTCTCCGAAATGGAGATGCTGCATCACTTGTTTTGAACAGATACTTGTATTGGTTTTGGTGTCAGCTCTTTGAAAGACATAAGTATCCTCACAAGTATTTTCTCTGCTTCTCTGTTATTCATACTATACTTAGCAACGAATCATTAAGCTGGCATATGATTGGCAACGTGTTGCAGTATACTTTATTACCTTTTAGGTGCTTATGAGCCTTTATCTGATGAAAGAAATTTAGCATGACGAATTGTTTTTCATTGTTCCTTTTATTTTTAAGATTAAACAGGTTCATGTTTAATTTGATCTAAATGTTACATGCAGCAGGATAACTGTAGGTATGCTAAATGTCTGTCTTTTCTCATACAAGTTTTCTACAAAATTCCATGTGCAGTATGGTGTGATGGAGAACGAAACAACTGAGACAAGTACTTCTGGTTGCGGTATGGAGTTATGAGCATTTTCCAGTTGTTATACGCATCCCTAATTTACCCAATTCTTGACATTGGCTAATATTCTGTATTTGGTATTTCAGGTTCTCTTATTCTTGAAATGGGAGCACTGTCACGTTTGACTGGTGATCCTAGATTTGAGTTTGCTGCTTTGCGTGCTCTTCGCAAGCTATGGAGTATGAGGAGCTCTCTAAATCTTTTGGGAACAATACTTGATGTAGAAACTGGGGAGTGGATTGAGTACTCTTCTGGAATTGGGGCTGGTATACATTTTTTTTTCTAGATTTTTTTTGGCAGTTTGCAAATTCATATACCTTGGTCAAAGCTATGATAACTTCACTTTAGAAAATGTACTTTATATTAGGTGAACAAATTGTGTGAAATGATCAAAGATGCTAATCTAAACATCTTATACTATTATCATTCCTTTCACAGGAGTTGATTCATTTTATGAATATGTACTAAAAGCGCACCTTTTGTTTGGAAGAGAAGAAATGTGGAGGATGTTTCAATTGGCTTATATTGCCGTCCAGAAATACTTTAGATACGGCACTTGGTAATTGACTAATAAAATTTATCCAAATTTGAGTGGATCCATATCTTTTATGTGCTAAGCCTTATTCTTTGAGTGGTGAGTTTAGTTGAAATATACTAATGAAAGGAAGCTGTAAAACCATTCCTCCTTTTCCCTTTCTGTTTAGTTCTGACCATCTGTCCAGTTCCTTCCACTTCCTTTATGCTTTTTATTTTAATATGCAACTACAGTTTTTTATGGTTGGAATCATGTATTATTGAACTGCCTTAGGTATCATGATTCTGACATGAGAACAGGAAGAGCAACATACTGGCAGCTTACGAGCCTACAAGCATTCTGGCCAGGTCTTCAGGTTAACAATTGTCTACTCTACCTTGTTGTCAGTTGACAATTTGATGTGGAAGTGTACTTGATTTTTTGTTTTTTTGGTATTCAGGTTCTTGTCGGGGATGTGACTGCAGCTAACTCATCGCATCGGGAATTTTACCATGTATGGCAGAAATTTGGACTTCTACCAGAAAGGTACTATCCCTGTTTTTTATTTATTTTATTTTTTGTATGTATGAATATTCACATATACATGCATGCATACACATAATATGCATATGATATGTTTATGATTAACATAGTGTGCAATTTTTTATGATTTAGGTACCTCCTGGATCATCAAATGGTGCATCCTACGGAGCGATACTATCCATTGCGCCCAGAGTTATCAGAATCAACATTTTATTTATATCAAGCAACCAAAGGTTAAATACTCATCTCTACAAGCTTTTTTCATGAATAAATTTACTGCTGTGGGTCATTAATTTAGTGATATATTGGGGGATATTCTCAGTTCTCAAGGTATTAACAATTTCACATTGCAATTTACATCTAACTTTATCTTCTTTGTGTAAAACATGTGGATATCAGATCCATGGTATCTAGAAGTGGGTGAAGCTATTGTGGATTCACTTAATTTGCACACTAGAGTTGAAGGTGGCTTTGCTAGCGTCAGAGATGTCACAACTATGGAGTTGGAGGATCATCAGCATAGTTTCTTCCTCTCTGAGACGTGAGTGTACCAAAATCTTAAGGTCTATGTGATGCAGCAATCCATTCTACTCATTTGTTGTCTATTCAACTCATTTGATAAAGTGGCCTCAGTACTCGGTAGCAAGATATATCTAACATACCTTTATGCTTACCCTATTTCTGCAGTTGCAAATACTTGTTTCTTCTCTACGATGATTCATTTTTGGTCAATAAGAATTATGTATTCACAACAGAAGGCCACCCACTGCCCATCTTACATTCTTGGCACGAGAGACTTCCTGAAGCTTATATTCCCAGTAATTGGACTTCCATCAAGGTATTGTTCAATGCATTTTATTGGTGTTTGCATTTAGATGCGTTATTTACACTTGGTTGGATGAAATATATATAAATACAAAATTATAATCTTTTATTAAAATAAGCTTTTAAAGAAGATGTTTGTTTAACAATTAGCCATTTATGAAACATACTTGTTTTAATATTGCGAAGTGCGAACCACTGCTTGGGTAACTTTCTATTGTTTTCTCGTCTAAACATGGGGAGCCTGATAGGATACTGTTCCTCTCCCGAGTTGAGTTCGAGTGGGTCTTACAGCAACAATTCAGTCCGTTTTAAGGTTTTGCTGTGGAAGGGTGCATGTCTATCTGTCGTGTCTTTGTATATAATTGTCGGAGTATTTTATCCGCATGGATTTGAGCATGAGTTGGGTTTAAAAAGGCATGGCCAAGCTCAATTCAAGCACAGTACATGTTTGATTGCCGCTGGACTCTCCCTTTGGTCATTTAATACATTGGGCAATTTTCAGGGCGAAGAACCTAAACGAGCTAGTGCAATGTCCATGCAAATATGTCCAGCATCTATGCACAACTGCATTCACGGGAATGTGCAGCTGGAGAGTGTTTGCCATATCCCGGATGCTCGTGATGACCACAGATGTTTGAGCGATGAAGACTGTGGTGTTGATTCAACTTCTTGCAGGCGGAGATTGTGTAGCATGGCTGGGTACTGCGGTCAGTGGCGGTATCATTAGCAGGGATGTTTGTGGAGGAATAGGTGTAATTTATTCTTGCTGAAAATTCATTTTTGTTGCAGGAAATAATGACATGCCCATCAACCAAAATTTCATAGTCAGACAATCTCACATTCTGTTGTATATTATTTATTCATTCAGGACAAATTTCTGGATGAGTAAAGGCAAAAAGATTATTCTAAAGACACAGGTTCTAGTCTTTGTGTTAGATCATGTTTCAGGTTGTGCTTTTGCTAGTTTTGCCCATCTAGTTCTCTTTTACTATTATTATTATTATTATTATTATTATTATTAGGGGAAAAAATTATTTTTGTCTCCGATATAATCAAAATTCATTAATTTTAGTTTAAATAATTCATCAATTTTGACTAGCTGATTCGATTGATATTAAGTGTTTATACTTTATTGAAAAATATAAATAATTTTTTCTATCGAAAATGATGTAAAATATAAAATAGTAAATTTTTCGTGTATATATTTATTATGTTAATTATAAATTGTTAATGTAAAATTTGCACCAAACACCCTTATGTCCAAAATTGATATTTAATTCTAAATAAAAATTTAAATTTCTCAAATTTTATACAAATAACATAAAATATTTTAAATAATTTTTTTTAATAAAATAAATAAATAAATAATTGATCAATTATTTATTTTTATAATTTTTATAAAATTATATAACAATTTGCTTTTAAAAACTATAAAACGAAGAATTAATCAAGTATTTATTTATTTATTTATTCAAAAAAATTATTTAAAATATTTTGTGTTTTTTATTTGTAGGTCTTTAGAATCAAATATCAGTTTTAAACAAAGTATTTTGTACAAATTTTATATTAACACAAGATAATTTCACGCAATAAATAAAACACAATAAGATTTAAAAATTATAAATATAATGTATATACATATCATTTTATTACTTTTACTTTAATAAATAATACTTAACATTAAAAATATTTTTATATTTATATAATTTTTTTTACAAATTCTTCTATTAATATTATAAGATTATAATGAATGTTTTTTTTCAATTTTTTTCTTATTTATAGTATATTTTAATATAATAATTAATATTCAAATATCAATTCTCAAAAAATAAATTGGCCCTACCAAAATTTTTTTAAATAATCTAAAAAAATTTGCGTCAGAATTTAAAAAGATTATGAGAATAATTAATTTATTTTTTTAAAAAATAAATATATAATTATATTAGATGCGTTCCTCCGCCGCTGCTGCCCGCCGCCGGAGAATGAAATGAAGGAGGACGCGGAGGCTCCGTCGTCCGCCGCCCCCGCCCCCGGAGAAGAGGAGGGCTGCCGCCACCAGAGAAGGAGATTCCACCGCCCTTCCGCCTCCACCGCCGGAAAAGTAAACGAAGGAGGAGAGGCTCCGCCACCCCCGCCACCGGAGAAGACGAAGAAGAAAGAAGAGACAGGCTGCCGCCGCTGCTGACTCTGTCGGAGATGGAAGCTCCGCCCTCCCTCGTCGCCGCCGCCGTCGGAGAAGAAAACGAAGGAGGAGACTCCGCCGCAGTCCCCCTCCGCTGCTGATGACACCGTAGAAGGAGACTACGCCGGCCCCCAGCCGCCGCCGTCGCCGACGAAAAAGGACGCCCGCCTGTCCGCCGCTTCCGGAAAAGAAGAAGAAAAAAGAAGAGGGGATGTTGTCACCGTTCTCGTCGGAAAAAATACCCGAGGTGCTGCCGCCGTCCTCGCCGCCGTCGCGGCTGTTGATGAAGAAGGAGGAGAATGGGGAGATTATGGTAAAAGAAAAGCTGGGGGAATTAAGAGGAGGGAAGAAAGGGAAGGAAAAATAATTAAGGAAAGAGTATCAAAGAGGAGTAAAAGAAGGAAAGAAAGGAGGAATTTTTGGGGGGAAATAAATATTTTGATTTTGGGAGGGAAAAAGGATTTAGGGTTTAGTGGGGGAGGAGGGTCGAGTGTTGGTTTTGTTTAATTTTATTTTAAAAGAATTATTTAATAGATACGAAATTTTTGAAATCTATCTTATATAATAAAATATATATTTAATATAACTTTGAAATTTACGTAACTATTGGATATAAAAAAATATATGTTTAATTTGATATTTTGAAATAATTTTATATAATAAAATATATATTTAATATTATTTTGAAATTTTTGATATTGTTTAATATAATAAAATATATATTTAATTTAATTTTAAAAATTTTGTGACTATGTAAAATAATAAAAAATATAATTAAAATAGTTTCGGAATTTTTCGAAGCTTTTTATTTAAATAAAATAATATATACTTCATCTATCCCACATAATTTGTCTTTATTTTATATTTTCGTTCGTCTCACATAATTTTTCAATTCTTTTTTTGGAAATCTAATTATACACTTTAATCTCATTTTAAATTTTATAATTTTTTTAATTTTAATTAAACTATTTAGTTATCTTAATCCACAATTATTTTTATTATACAATAATTATTTTACTAATACACTTATTAATTACTTACTAATTACACTTTACTTAAATTCTTGTATCTACGGTAATACGTCCATACTACATGAGACGGAGGGAGTAATATACTTTCGGAAATTCCGATTATTTAATATAATAAAATATGTATTTAATCTGGTCTTGGAAATATTGCCTCGAAAATTTTGAATCTATTTTCTATATTAGAATATATATATTTAATTTGGTCTCGAAAATTCATTCAAAATTTTCGAAACTATATAGTATAATAAAATATATATTTAATATAGTATCGGAAATTTCGAGACCATTTTATATATTAAAATATATGTTTAATTTGGCATCGGAGATTCCGAGATCATTTAATATAATAAAATTATATATTTAAAATGGCTTCGGAAATTCCGAGATCATATAATATAATATAATACTCCCTCCGTCTCAACTCGAAATACCATTTTTATTATTTTTGTCTGTTTCACTTCAAAAATAGTCTTAACTTTTACATAAATTACAAAATATCATTACACATATAATTATTTTTTTTACATAAAGTCAGAGAGGAAAATGTCAAAAACTCTTACACACTTTCACTAACTAATAAAATATTACTTCTTCCGTCCCAAACATGATGAAACATTTGGTTTTGGCACGGGTTTTTAGGTGGGTAGTATTAAGTGGGATAATTTAGAATTAGGTGATATGATGGAGAGAGAATATATATTTTATTTTTTTATTTGGATGATGTGAGGGGATAAAGTGTGGGGTAGAGATTAAGTATAATTAATTATTTCTTATTTTGGAAATGTTGCAGTGTGTTTGAGACGTACCAAAAAGGAAATACTGCAGGGTGTTTGGGACGGAGAAAATATTATTTATTTCTTAATCTACTATAGAATCCCAAATGACCCTTTTGGACCGGAACGGAGGGAGTATATATTTAATTTGGTCTCGGATGGCTTCGAAATTTCTGAGAACATGTTATATAATAAAATATATACTTTAATTTGGTTAGGAAATTCCGAGAATATCTAATATAATAAAATATCTTTTTAATTTGGCCTTGGAAATTTCGACACTATTTAATATACTTCCTCCGTCCCATATCTATATATTCATTTGATTTTTGCACGGAGTTTTAAAAATATTAGTATTATATTGAGATAAAGTAGAAATAAATGTAAAAAAACTAAAGTAACTCTATTAGTATTGTATGATATGAAGGTAATGACATTTGTATAATATTTTGTAAATTGAAAGGGTATTTGTAACGTTAAGTAGATAGTACAGTTACTTAAAAAATAAAATAGATACTTTGTTATGGGACGGACCAAAATAAAAAAATAGATAGATTGTTAAGGGACGAAGATAATAATAAAATATATTTTTAATTTGGCCCCGAAAATTCCGAGACTATTTTAACTAATCCGAGGCCAATTAATTTTTGTTGATTTAATATAAATTATATACATGTTTTCACAGTTTCGGAATTCATTTCTAAGCAATTTTTCGAAACAGATTCTATTTTTTCTTGGTAGTGTTTTTTTAGTTATCCCACTATTTTTCATCAATTTTTTTTTTTTAATAAATTTTGTATTATTTTTTCTGGTAGTGTTTTCTTAGTTATCCCACTATTTTTTATTAATTTTTTAATAAATTTTATATAATACCTATATTATAGACATTATCATCATTTTTAAATCATAGTAACAATCAAATTTTATACTCCCGATTTTATAACAAGTATTTATTTTTTCATTTTAGTCCGTCCCATAACAAATATTCATTTTTTTTAGTAATTGTATTATCTACTTAACATTACAAATACCCTTAGAACTTACAATATATTACACAAATGTCATTAACTTTATACCACATGTACTACTAAGGTTATTTTAGTCATTTCTATTTTATTTCTACTATATTTTAATATAATATTAATATTTCTAAAATTACGTGCAAAAAGCAAATGAATATTCACTTACGATGGAGGAAGAGAAGTACTCCCTCCGTCCCAGATACCATGTCCACGTTGCAATTTCTGTCTGTCCCACATCCCATGTCACTTTTATTTTTTGGAAAATGATTACACACTTTAATCTTATTTTAAATTTTTAAATTTTATTTTTTTAAATTTTAATTAAACTAATTAGTTATCTTAATCTTAATTTATAATTATTTATATTATAGAATAATTATTTTCACTAATACATTCTTAATTATCTATTAATTATATTTTTCATAAAATACAGTGTCTATAGTGTAGTATTTGTCTACAGTGAAAGCAGACACTGTATCTGGGACGGAGGGGAGGGAGTATTATTTTGCAGGACAAACTGGAATATTGTTGACAGATTCTAGAAGTTCAAATCAAGACCAGAACGTAAATTTTCAACACAAACCAACCCAGTCAAAAATCAACATACCAGAACATTAAGTAAATTTTAATATTCAAAAAAAAAAAAAAAAATGAAGTCATGAATCCATTTCAAAATAAACAATACAATAACAATTACAATCTGATATCAATATGTATATATTAATTATATATAGATATAGATAGTTAAGGAAATAGGGATACAAGTTTAGAACTTATGAAATGATTTTGCAGATGAGAGGAGATCCATGGAATCAGTGTTTCTGTGCAGTAGTCTTCTTCTGATACTTATCTTTGATCCATCGGAGGCCTACAGAGGTTCCTTCTTTAACCTTCTTAACTCCGGTTGACGCCGCCGCCTTCGTCTTCCCCAGACCTTTTCCGACCATCTTCGCCGCCGCACCTCCGCCGCTCTTGCTACTTTTCTGCGGCGGTAGAGGATCTGCAGTATTGGTGTCCCACTGATCAGCCCAGGATCCGTTGTCCATTTCGGCCAAGATATGGATCGATCAGGATTACGACGGAGAAAATTGAAATTGAAATTGAAATTCGAGATTTAGGGTTAGGTTGGGCGAAAATTGGGTGAATGCTTTTGTACTTGGTGAATGTATGGGATGGAAATGGTCCATGCACTCTACATGTATGTTATGTACTACTACTACTACTACTACACCCTATCTCCTATGAAAAGACCATTATACCCTCTACTCTACTCTATATTCATACGTGGAGATTGGCAAAAGGATTTCGTGTTATAGGAAAATAAAAAAATTTATTCAACAAATGTGGCGGGTAAATTATTACCGTTCATACCCTTAAAGACCCACGCAACTTTCGCTTATATGGTGTTGACATATATACTTCTTTCTGTCTTTTCAAAATTTTCATATTTTTTTTTTTTTTTTACTTTGTTTACTTTGTTAAAAAAAAAAGTATTTTTTTTAAGTATAATTAAAATTCTTATAATTAAAAAATTATTTTTACTTTATCACAACATCATTATTTTTATATAAAAAATAATAAAAAAATTAATTCACGTGTCAAAAGTAAATGAAAAAATTATTAGTGGCCGAAGACAGTATATATATATATATGTATATATATAATTGTCCTCCCGGTCTTATTTCTATCTTGTCGTTTCAATTCGGCTTACATTTCAATTTTTTTTTTAAAATAATACGTTTTATAACCATATTTTAAATTTACTAATTTATAATTTTTAATTTTTAATTAAAATAATTATTTATTTTAATTATAAATTATAATTATTTGTATGATACTTTAATTACTTTCACTAATATATTTTGTAATTATTTATTAAGAATGTTATTCTTAAAAATCAATGGACAATATACCATATGTAGAAGGAAGGAATATTATTTAAATTAGAGTGGTGTTATTATTTTGACTATATTCATTTTATAACACGACAAATAGTTATGCGATTTTATTATCAAATAAAACTTATAAATTTTTTAAAATATAATATGGTATCTGTTGATGTATTTTTTCAATAATAAAAAAGTAAAATTCGAAAATAGAAAATTATCTTTGAATTTGTAGGATACATAAATAAATTGGAAAATAAAACTAAAAATTGGAAAATTAAATGATGATCCCGAATCACTTTGCTATTGTTTGAAGATGATTAAAGATGATTTTTCAAAATAGACCCGAATCCTTAAATATTCTTTCAAGAAGACGTTTCAGAACCGTCGCCTGGTTGGTTACAGCAACCGCCTACCAATTCCTTCTTTATTGACATGTGTCTTTAACCGTCTCGCCAAACGCTTCCACCAGTTCCAAAACTCAACTGGCCCGACCGACCGCCTCTGGGCGCCTTACTTCTTTAAATGGACAGCTAGTCCCGAACGAATGCTCCAAAACGCCCAGCATGCTTCAGACAGACTACAGGCCGACCGACTGACCCAAACGCATAACCCAACGATTGACCCACCGACCATTCCAGAGACTAACTGGTCGCTAGACCAAACAACCCCATCAAGCGACCAACATCTGATATTTCGAGACGATTCAATGGTCGTCCCATCAAGCGACCAACATCTGATCTCTCGAGACGATTCAATGGTCACCCCAACCAAGCGATTGAACTACTGTTCACTTAATTAGGCGACTAATTAACATACCTTCTTCGCTTGGTCCAAACTCCTTATTGGCCGACTCAACCGATGTCGGACCAACCGACTGCGAACCAACCGATTGCAAATCATCCGATCCGACTGCAGACCATCCGACCTGCCTATCCGACCGCGGACCTTCCGACCTGCCTATCCAACCACGGACATTCTGACCTGCCTATCCGACCGAGGACCAACCGACCTGCTTGTCCGACCGCGGACCTTTCGACCCGCCTGTTCGACCGCGGACCTTCCGACTTGCTTATCCGACTGCGGACCAACCGACCGGATCAACCGACCTCGGACCACCGACCTGAGTACATATTTTCTCCTTTTCCGCCCGACTTCGTGTCCTAACTTCCTTTAAGATTCTGCTACCATTATTTTTTTTTATTTGTTTTTGTACGTAACAGTATAAAAAAGAGCCAACGAAGGCTTCTATATCCCCACGGCTACTTTTGAAATTTTTTATTAATTTTAATTTCAAAGTTCCTCTCGTATTCATAGTTTTCTAGTCCCATAAAGGGCATATTTGGCAATTAATGGATAGTTGTTAGCTGATTCAATTAGCTGGTTTGACTGGCTGATTCGATTAGCTGTTTCTATCGGTAAAACAACGGTTTGTTATTAGTTGTTTATACGTAAAATAACAATTGAGGACATTTCTATTTTAATTTTTTTAAATATATTCAATTATGTTCTTTTGAGTTTAGAATGTTTGAAATTTTTTGTTATTAGTTATTGAAAATTATAAAAGTGCTATAAAATAATATTTACTTTTATTATAGTTAGATTTAAAAAATAATATTTTTTTATTGAAAAATATAAATAATTTTTTCTATTGAAAATGATGTAAAATATAATATAATAAAATTTTCATGTATATATTTATTATGTTAATTATCGATTAGTTCATTATATTTATAATTTTCAATAAATTTAATTTATTTTTAGTATTAAATTTATATAACGTAATTTAATATAAAAATAAATTGTTAATATTTATATTTTCTATTTTGTATTGATTTTAATAAATTTATATATTTTACAATTAAAATAATTTATATATAAAAATTTATTATTTTAAATTTATAAAAGTAAAACTATAATACTCCCTCCGTCCCATTGAAAGGTTACTATTTTTCATTTTCGTCCGTCTCAAAATAAGGTTACCATTTCCTAATTTAGTAATTCTACTACCTACTTCACATAATAAATACCCTTTCAACTTACAATATACTACCCAAATGCCATTACTTTTATATTATACCATACTAATAGGGGTATTTTTGTCCTTTTCACTACAATCCAATATAATATTAATATTAAAAAATCTACGTCCAAAAAGCAAATGCCACCCTTGTTGCGGGACGGAGGGAGTAAAAGAAAATATTCTAATATAATTAATAAATAATTAAAATATATTTATTTGTGTAAAATGCATAATAAATTTTTAAGGGAAAATAAAAAATAAAAAAAATTAAACTGAAAAAACTATTTAAAAAAAGGCTTTTTTAAAATTAGCTTTCGCAAAAAGCTACTCCAAAAAGCTAATTTACCAAACACTTTAATTAACTGTTTGACCTTAAAATTTGTTCAATAAATAAAAACTTTTCAAAAAGTTATTTGCCAATCACCCTAAAAAAAAATTTGTTCTCGCCTTGACTTTGTAGAAGATTATGACGATCTTTTTTTCAGAGTTCTAATAATCAGTAGAAGATTTTTTTTATATATATTTTAATTCAAAGGCATGTTGATATATTTATATATAGATATCTCTTTTGACAAATTCAAGTGAAAATATATGTTATTATAAGTTATATAATGGTAAATTTAAACCTAATTTTTTCACTTAAAAAAATATATTCAGTTGCTCAAAAATGAAAAATAGGAAGAATTAATATATTTACATAACATCGATAAAGCAACAAAATCTAAAATAAAAGACGAAATTTGCTAATGAAATTATTTTGATTATGCATATCTCAATTGACTATCAAATATTATCCCAATTTCGTACATATTATTTGATTGCTTATAAAAATGATAGGGTAAACTGTTTTTTAGTCTCGTAAGTAGACCCCTTGTCATTTTAATCTCGTAAGTGGAGTCTGTCGCAAACTAGTCCCATAAGTAAAATTTTTTCGCTATTTTAGTCCTCCGGCAACGGAGACGTCCGCGTGGCTTGCCAGAGGCCACGTGTCCGCCAGGTCAACGACACCTAAATTTTATTTTTTATTTTTATTTTTTAAAAAAAATTTATTTGGTCCAATTAAAAAAATTAAAACAATTAAAAAAAATTAAAAAAAAAATTCACGTGTCCGCCAGGTGTCACTAACCTGGCGAGACACTTGGCGGACATGTGGCTTCCGGCGAGTCATGCGGGCGTCTCCGGCGCCAAAGGACTAAAACAACAAAAAATTTTCACTTATGGGACTAGTTTGCGACAGACTCCACTTATGAGACTAAAATGATAAGAAGGTCCAACTTACGGGACTAAAAAGACAATTTACCCAAACTTATATTAATGCAAGAAGATGCAATTGACTTAAAATATTACTCCCGCCGTCCCATAACAAAGTATAAAGTTTTCCATTTTAGTCGTTCCCATAACAAAATATCCATTTCTTTTTTTAGTAACTGTACAATCTACCTAACATTACAAATACCCTTGCAACTTACGATATATTACACAAATATCATTATCTTTATATCACACATACTACTAAGGTTATTTTAGTCATTTCTAACTTATTTCTACTATATCGTAATATAATACTAATATTTCTAAAATTACATGCAAAAAAACAAATGAATATTTACTTATGGGACGGACGGATGGAGTTTTATATATTACCTTTCTTTCTTAAAGGTATCTATTTGTTTTTTTTTTTTTATGTCAAATTTTTAATATTAATATTATATTAATACATATTATAAATTAAGAGAAAATAAAAATAAACATACATCTAGTAGTAGTGTATAATACAAATGTAATAACATTTGTATAAACGGTTATACAAATATAAAAGTGACGGAACTAGAACTATTCGGTCGGAGGGATTGGAGATTAAAATTAAAAAATATATATAGTCTAAAATTTTTAATACCGAACAAAATACTCTGTTTACAAAATAAATTATACTTAACCAAATATGCATAAACAATATTGTCAATACGAATACAAAAATAAAATAAAATCAACCAATAAGATTCTAACGTCGTCCAAAACAAATCAAAATCCAACTATTGTCCTTGAACGAAACAAAATATTATTTAGTCAACTAAACAAAAATAAACTATTATTACTTTTTACCTTATATAATGTCACGATAGTGTATTATTCGAGTAGCCATATTTTTTAAACCATTGCAAAAATTGCTTCAGTTTCAATAGTGACAAACTATCTTTCTCAATATCACACACTAAACAGTCGGTAAGATATTCATCCCCGATTGTATTTTGAAAATTATTTTTGACAATTTTCATTGTCGAGAAAGATCTTTCAATAGTGGTTGTAATTTGTTTATTATGATTTCAACACCAGATTGCATAGTTTCGTCAATTTTCTTTTTTCATTTTATAATTTTTTACTCCCGTGGGACATGTATATTCCTATGGAATTTCAAAATCAGCATCCAGAACATTGAAAAAGGATCCTCCCATATCACTTTCATCATCCAAATGAATAGAAAATAAGGACAACGCAGGAGAATAGCTAGTTGGATGTTCCGATGATGATGAGATATGAGTTGTATTATATTTTTGTGAAAATTTTCTGCTGGGCACGTACTCATTGTGATTTTAAACTTTTCAAAATCTTTTAAGTGATTATAAATATGATCACATTTAAAATCAGTTTTATTTTTCTCCGCAAACAATTGTTTGCATCCCGCAATTGAAATAAAACAATTATAGTTAGTGTAATAAATTTATGAAAATTTTAGAATAATAAAAATTAAAGAGATGCTTACTATATCTAATTCTGACGGCACCACTGCGATGCAAATTTTCTACTTTCTTCACACATGCAATAAATTGCCTGACTTTATCTTTAGTTTTCCTATTTGAGTTTGTGCGGATTGAAAACTACGAATCATCCATTCTTCATTCATGTGTGCATTATAAGCTTCAGTCACTTGTGACCAAAACTCTACATATGATTGGTCAATGCCTGTAATTGAATATTGAGAAATTTCGAGAAATTTCTTAACAATCAATTGATCTCCAGCATTAGAGAATCCAACAGAGCATTTAGAAGACATTTTTTCCGTTGAATTTTACAAAAACGAGGAGTGTATGAATTATGAAGCAAAAGTCACTATTTATAACCAACCACCTCATCTACTATTTTACAAACTTACCGCCCACCTATCGTTCCAGAAATCAACCACGAGCACGAGCCCTCACATACTATTCTACAAACCTACCACCACCTACCGTTCCAGATACCAACCACGAGCACGAGCCCTCACCTATCATTCTATAAACCTACCCTCCCTCCCCTCTATCGTTCAAAAAACCAACCACAAGCACGAACTCTCACCTGTCATTCTACAAGCATACTTCCCATCTACCATTTTACAAATCTATAATAATCCATCTTCTATAAATTATGACATTAGTGGAATTTGTTACATATCTCAATTAAATATCAAAAAATTTAATCTATTGTATAAATGAATTTCAACATGGGAGGCTCTTCGAATGTAGTATCTGAAAGTTTTTCTTGATCAACATCTTCGTCAGAAGACAACGAAATGGGCCAATATATCGTAGCAAATACCCACAAGTATATGAAGTTATCCACCTCGGTTATTGAGCAAAGTAATACTTTTCTAAATCGTTTTCTCGATACAAAACAATCGACTCGTCGTGGGTCTACTCCAGGTCATAGAGTTTTTAAAATCATAATCGTAAAGAACTTGCTTGTAATTTGTTTAATGATTACTTTGCATCTAACTCAATATTTGATGAACGAACTTTTTTCGGACGTTTTCAAATGTCTCAAATTTTGTTTCTTCGTATTCTTGATGCAGTTAAACAACATGATTCATATTTTCAACAACAATATGATAGATTTGGTCATTCCAGATTGTTGCCTTATCAAAAAACAACGGTTGTAATTTGTGTGTTAGCATATGGTACAACATCAGACAACTGATGAATATGTTAAAATAGGTGAATCAACAGTCATTGAGAGCGTAAAAAAGTTTTGTCGTAATGTGGTAAAAGTTTTTTCTGAGCAATATCTTAGATCACCAAATACGAAAAATATTGCGATGATACTTCATATTGGTGAATCTCGTGGGTTTCTAGGTATGTTGGGTCGTTTAGATTTCATGCATTGAGAATGAAAAAACTGTCTAATTGCCTGGAAATGTGCATATGCAAGTCAAAACGGTTCACCAACTATTATTTTAGAAGTAGTGGCATATTATGATCTTTGGCATGCATATTTTGGTTTATCGAGGACCAACAATAATATCAACCCATTATAGAAATTCACATTTATTTTCATATTTCACTGATGAAACATCTCCTCCGGTAAGCTATGTTATTCGAGGAAAATAATATAATACTGATTATTATTTAACCGATGGTATTTATCTAAAGTCGGTGAATGATTGTGTAAACTGTTCCCAGCCATGCTTATGTTGAGTTCATTTCTACAAAATAATCTACCAAGAATTGTGAATGTTTTTCTTTTAATGAATTGGTGAATCAATCTATTCCTAAAATATTATATAGTTTGATATGCGTAGGATGTGTTTATTTTGTAAAATTATTTGAAGATATATATATTTTTTATGTAAAATATAAAAAAAATTGTATAAATAATATAAAAATAATAAATATATGTGATATATTATTTTATTTTTAGGAAAATATTTTTATATTTTTTTGCTAAAAGAACGCACATTTTCATTGTTGAAAACAATTTATTTTAAGATTACTTTTAGTTTGATAATTTTCATATATTTTTATATATCTTGAATTATTTATCAAATATATTTTCTTTAAGATAAATTTTTTATTTGAAATATTTATGAATATTTTATAAAACTTCTTATTTTATTTCAATATGATTTATTTATATTATTTACAAATAATTTAAATATTTTTTTAGAAAATTACTGCCTACCAAGGGTTTTGGTATTGAATAGATAATCAAATTAGATAACAACATAGACATTTTTATTTTAATAAGCAAAACATCAATTTGTTACACAAATCTTAAAAAATAAAATAAACATCAAAATCCCAAATAGAGCCCCCAATAAGTCCCCTCTAAAAGCATAACAACATATACCTCAAAGCTATGGTGGAGGGGCTTTGTACCAACCAAATTGATCATTCCCTGTAAACTCAGTCACTTGTTTCACATTCAAGAAATTTTCGAGTCCCCTGATACAAAACAAATATCACAGCATAATTAATTAATTAAGATTTACTTAGGATCACAATATATATATATATATATATATAAATGAATTTAATAAATTAATAAAATCCAAATTTAATTTTATTGCAAGATACATACCATTCTCCGAGTTCCCGACCAAAACCACTGCGTTTCTTGCCACCCCAGGGAGCTTGGAAGAAGCATGGCTGGGAACAGTTCACCCACACAATACCTGCTTGGAAAGCCTACAACCAGTGGTGGAGTGGAGCTAGGAATTATAGTCGACAGAAATATTTTATTTTTTTATTATATAAAATATAAATACATAATATGATTAAAATTGGTAATATACAAAATTACGTGTATTCAAATTTTTAATTTTATTGATTTATCAAACAAGTATATTCAAAATGTTAAAGCTAAATATTTATAATTATAATTTTTTATTAATCCGAATGATCAATTACTCGAAATCTTAAATCTGTAACTTAAATTTTAGAAACTAATCCTCGAAATTTTAGTATATATGTATATATAATATAAAAATTAAAAATAATTAAAAAGGCAACACCCTTGATCCCCACGGGCTACCCCTACCTACTACAACATTTTTTTTTTCCTTTTCTTTTTTTACAAAAAAATTAAAAATATACATATGACAATAATTTATTTTTTTGCAACCCTCCACTCCATTTTTGCAGTTGATATATAGTAATTTTACTCCAACCATAAACTCCAATTTTTACTCCAAAAAGTATATTTCCTGTATATTCCTCTTTTATATTATTTTATATAACTTTTCATATTTATAAATTACACCACAACTTTAATTTATTTTTACATTAGATCCATACACATATAATTTATATTTTTTTAAAAAATACATATATAAAAATTAACATTTATAATTAATAACTATTACAAATAAAATAATTTTAAATAAATAATTAAATGCTATCAAGACAAATATGATATAATAATTAAACAAAGATAACGTAATATTATTATTTCATAACAATTTATTACAAAAAAATAAAATTACATCACTTTTTTTAAAAAAAATTATATCACTTTTCAAACATTAAAATTATATATCAATTTAAAAAATAAAAGTATATATTACTTTACAAAAACTAAAATTCTATCACTTTTAAAAAAATAAAATTACATACAATTTTTTAAAATATAAAATTATATATCATCTACTAAAAAATTAAAATTACACAATACACAAAAAAAATACCAAAAATATAAAAAACACCACAAAAACTCAATGGAGTGGAGTAACAGTATTACTCGAGTAACACCATGGATATCTGCAAAAATTGGGGAAGAGGGGGGATTTGAGGGTGGGTTGGAGCCCCTCTCCCCCATTTTTTTATGCAGTGGGTTGGAGATGACCTAAGCAAATATGAAATACAAAAATTCTAAAATGAACACACAATACATGCAATATGTACGCTCTCATAATATCATATGAATATTTTAAAATAGTTTGAATTTTGAATATAAATTTATTCAGATTGTCATAATAACAATTAGAACCAAACAAAAAATACAAATTTTAAGAAAATTTTAATCCGATTAAATTTGAAAATTAAAAATATTTATATCTGAATTTTAAATTGTGATTTGGTTAAAATCAGATATTCGAATTTCAAATATTTAACTGTTCTCCAAATAGAATTATTAAAAATTCTGAAATATTAAATTTTTTTGTAAATAGTAAAATATATATAATACTCACTCCGTCCCATTGAAAGGTTACCATTTTAATTTTCGTCCGTCCCAAAACAAAGTTACCATTTTCTAATTTAGTAATTATACTACCTACTTAACATAATAAATACCCTTTCAATTTACAATATATTACACAAATGTCATTACTTTTATATTACAATATACTAATAGGGGTATTTTAGTCTTTTTTACTACAATCCAATATAATACTAATATTAAAAAATCTACGTATAAAAAGCGAACGTCACCCTTCCAACGGGACGGAGGGAGTATAATATTTTATAAGAATAAAAAAATAATTAATATTTTTGCAAAAATTATTGTTGACAAACAATATAAATTTTTTTCAAAATATCCATGTAAACGTAGTCTTAACATCCTATATAGTAAACACCAAACCTAAATATATATATATATATATTACTTCATCTGTTCCACATACCATGTCCACGTTGCCATTTCTGTCCGTTCCACGTACCATATCATTTTTCTTTTTTGAAAAATGATTACACACTTTAATCTAATTTTAAACTTTTAAATTTTATTTTTTAAAAAATTTTAATTAATCTAATTAGTTGTCTTAATCTTAATTTATAATTATTTATATTATCGAATAATTATTTTCACTAATATATTCTTAACAATCTACTAATTACACCCCTCCTAAACTACCCAGCGGTATGCGGGACGGAGGAAGTAGTATGTAGGATTTCTAAATATATACTACCGTACCTTGGAAACGCGCTTGCATCTTTCCAGGTCTTGTGATATTACAGCAGCGCCAAGACCATATCTTCACAAGGATGAATGCCAAAAACATTATTATTGTCATGTAGTAGAATTAATTTATTTAAATAATATTTATACTAACATTTATATTATTCTATATTTAATCAAACAAATATAAAAATGGAATCAGTCAAGTTTTGAGCAAATCCAATTGACATTATTCCGGCGTCTCATATTATAAAGAAATAAAATTCGTCGCACAAAAACTTTTTGAATTCCCCGTAGAAAGAGATTTTTATATTATATTAAATAATATCGTGATTATATAAAACTATTATCATAATCTATGAGTTATCATTCAATCGTTTAAAGTAAACGCATAATTAGTGTATTGAGAGACAATTATTGAATGGACTCACTGTGTGTCGTTTGCAAGTTCAATGGCTTCTTCTTCAGTTGCAAATGTCTTCACGCAAAGCGCAGGACCAAACACTTCCTCACGCCAGATTTGCATTGAGGTCTCCACATCCATTATTATTGTCGGAGAAATGAAGTAGCCTTTGTCCAAATGCTGCAACCAACCGTATCGAGAAAGATTCAGTAATAGCTTTTGCCTATGTTTATTGCAAGAACTTAGTCGAGTCTTACCTGTGGCCGTGCGCCGCCGCATAAAATCGAAGCGCCTTCTTCTTTAGCTCTCGAGATAAAAGAAAGCACCTTTGTGTACTACACAAGAATAGGATTTTAGTTTAACCAATAATGAATCAAGTTCCGGATTTGGAAAAACAGACATTGCTTATTTTACTACAAGACTCTAACCTGTGCATTGCTGATAATTGGGCCGAGTTTGCAACCTTCCTCCAAAGGGTCGGAGACTTTAATGTTATCGCACCATTTTACGAGCTTCTCCAAGAAGGCCTCTGCAATGCTTTCCTGTCGAAACACACAATGATATGCAGTGTAATAGCATTGTGAAGAAACTGAATTAATTCGACATAGAAGTGAATATTACAGAGTAATTACATGGATGATGAGTCGAGAAGTAGCACTGCACATTTGGCCATTGGTCAGAAAGCAACCAAAGAGTGTCCACTCAACAGCTGTAGAAAAAATTTTCATACAAAATCAGTTGTGAACAAAGATTTTTGCAACCACAATAATAAGGCAAAATTGTCCTAACTCCCACGTGGTTTTGAAACCAGCGCAAATTTCTATCTACTTTAAAAATTGCATAGCATCCCCTTATATTTTAAAAAATATTGCATGAAACCTCTACGTGGTTTCAAAACTCATTGTAAATTTCTATTTTACTTTACAAAATTACATAGCATTCCCTTATATTTTAAAAAATATTGCATGAAACTCTCCTTCGTACGAAATATATAGATACAAAATCATCTTCTTGTGACACAAAAGAAGTTTCATAGTTGTGAGATTTCATGCAACGTCTTTGAAAATATAATGGGATGTCATGCAATTTTTAAAGTATATGGAGATTTTACGTTGAATTTTTAAATCACCTGAGAATTATGAGCAATTTCACCTAATAATAATAGTAACACAAAAATCGCTTCTAACCAACTTTTGATATGAAAAATCTGTACTTTTCTCAGTAGAAATTATACAAGCTCTCTTATGTTTTCGAAATCATAAAAGTAAAACTGCAATTTTCTAAACCACGGATAAATTATAAATAATTTTGCCTAATAGTAATAACAATAAACAATGATCATGATGTTGCAAAGCCTGTGCTACTTTTATTTAGCAGGTTCTATATAGTATTTTTTAAAATACAAACAAAATTTATGGAGCATCTAAATTATAGAAAAGTACTTTTCAAATCACAAGTGAACTATGAACAATTTAGTTTAATACTAGTAATAACAATACACAATGATCATGATGTTGCACGGCTTGTGGTACCTTTATCAAGATCGACATCTTCGAACACTACAATGGGGCTTTTTCCACCAAGCTCAAGGGAAACAGGCTGCAGGTAAATTACATCAGAACATCAAGAGAAAGCAAGCGAAGTCAGTCCCAAACTGAGTAACATACACACAAAAAAGGCTAATTGAGATTCGAAAGGAAAAACACACTTTGACGAGCTGGGCCGCAGAAGCCATGATCTTGCTTCCAGTAACACTGCTTCCAGTAAATGAAATCTGCTTATCCAAAGTACAATAAATCAGGATATCACTAAATGAAGCAGCAACTTGTGATCTCAGGGAAGGGAAGATAATATAATATTACAACCTTGTCAACATGAGGATGACAAACTAATGGTGCCCCAGCATCAGGCCCCAATCCCGTAACAACGTTAAGAACACCAGGTGGAAGACCAACATCTCTACAGATTTCAGCTAACTCCAAACAAGTTCTGCAGTAACCAACATTTACGCTTGCTTAAAATAATAGTGCAAGTAATCAATCAATCCCAGCAGTGATGACAATATCGTATATAGAAGGCCGTCCTGATATTCCATGGACCTTGCATGGTTAGACAAAAACGACGGTGCCGTAGCTATATTTCTTTATACATATATATAAGATTTTAAAATAGTGTGCTCACCAAATCAAAATTTTTGTGACATACTTTTTGATTAATATCATAACAAAATACATATAGAGTTTCTTTGGTTATAGTATAATTTTAATTTGGTTGAATTTTTGTTTAAATAACATTTTTATGTGTTTTAATGATAATTTTTATTATTTAAGCAGTAAATTAAAGTTAATATTTTATAAAAATATGTATATATTGATATAAAATCATAAAAGTTAAATAATAGAAAAAATACACAATTTTCAATTATCTCATAAACAAATATTCCAAAATAATTACTTATAAATCTATAATGAAAACAAAAAATATATATATACTCTTTTTGTCGTAAAACTTAATTGTTGCGCAGAGAATTAAATATTTTATTATAAAATATAAAATATGATAAAAAATAATAATAATGAAAAATATTTTTAAAAATTTAGCTAATAATTAAAAAATAACCTTTTTCAAAATTAATAATAAATAATTTAACATACAGGTTAAAATAATTAAAAAAAAAAATTACCATATACCACTGCACATGCGCATGCTCTTAATTATTATTATTATTATTTTTTTTTTGATAAGATGCTCTAAATAATTATATACAAGAGCAGAGAGGGTACCGTACATAGATGCCAATTCAGATGGTTTGAGTATTGCAGTGCATCCAGCGGCCAGGGCAGGGGCGAGTTTCCACGTCGCCATTAAAAGAGGGTAATTCCTGCACCACCACAACAAGGAAGCCACTGTAATTCGATTCTATTTCACTCCATATTTGAACTTGAACTTCGTAAAACACAATTCAAACACCTACCATGGCGTGATCAAGCCAACAACTCCGAGGGGTTCTTTGAGGACATGGCATCGAAATACCTCCATTGGAACAGAAACAGAGATTTTGTTCTTCGAATCAAGTGCTTCAGCAAGATCAGCGTAGTAATTGAAACAACCACCAACATCATCCTATGTAAATTGAGGTTAGTGTATTGAAATGATTCGAAACAAACGTAAACCTAAATAGCACCGTTAACGTACGATATCCCAAATTGCTTCGTCCAAGGGTTTCCCGCAATCAATTGATTCGAGTTTTGCTAACTCTGATTTCTTCTCCGAAATCTGCAATTCAAATTTTAGAGAGAATACCTAAATTAACAATCCTCCATGGTTTCCGATTTCAGAATGGCTACACAAACACGAACATATACATACCTTTGCAGCTATTGCTCTCAAATACTTGGCGCGGTGCGCTCCGGTGGCGGCGGACCAATCTCTGCCGCCGTTACGGTAGAACGCATTCCGAGCAGCTTCGACGGCGGCGTCTACATCTTCGGCGGTTGCTGCTGGTACGTCGCCTGTTTCATAAATTTGAGTTTGAAAATTGAAATCCCCAATTTAATAGAAATTAGATAGCGATTGCGAGAGCTGGTGATTGACCGACCGATGATCTCCTCGGTAGCGGGGTTGATTATTGGAATGCGTTTGTTGTTGAAAGGCTTTCTCCATTCGCCGTCGATGAACAATTGCCGGTTTGGAATCTCGGTGTTCGCCATTGCCTTGAAGTATTGTACTTCTGCTCTCCTTTGTATGTACTTCCCGCTCTCCACAGACTAGCTATATAGGTGGCAGTTCCCAGTAGCATAGTTACTTCCGCTCAAGAAGTTATACCAACTTAAAGGCGTAGGTCGGTTTGCCTAATCAAAATTTTAGGTAGTGTTTCTATAGTCCAAAATTTTATGCGTATATCAAAATATATATATATATATATATTTCAGAAATATTATATTAAATACTTTCTTTGTAGAGCTAGAAAATATACATATTTCTATTTTGGGACGTTCAATTACAAAGTAACCATTTCATTAAATACCCCATTTTTTTTCACAAATATTCCTAATTTACATCACATCATTACTTTTATACCAAAAAAGTAAGAGCAAAAATGTCATTTTACTACTTTTACATATACTATAATTAAAATACTATTATTCCTTAAAAGTAAATGTATACTTTTAGCTTGGACGGAGGGATTATTATTTTAATACAAATTTGAATCAATTTCTTTTTCAAATTAATCAAAAGAAACAAACCCATTCAAATATCAATATATACAATATATTTTTTTAACTTCCCCGTCCGCGTGAAAAGTAAATATTTATTTTTGGTGATAATAGTAGTTAAAAGTAATGTAATATAAAAAATTTTGCCTTTGTCTTTTTTTGTATAAAAGTAATAATATGATATAAAATAAGGATATTTATGGAAAAGATATGATATATTTAATGAAATATTTACTTTATAATTGGACCTCTCAAAATAAAAATATGTATACTTTGTAATTAGTTAGACGGAGAAAAATATAAAACATTGATATTTATTAAAATAATATATATTATTTTTTATTTCACATTAAAAATAAAATGCTTATTGATCAGCTGAACAAAATATTTAGCACCAATGCTAAACATATTTTATATAATAATTAATATTGTTTAATTATATTTTATATATAATTTAAATAATTTATTATTTAGGAAAAGTGTGTGAGCCAGTGTTGATATTTTTATATAATAGGTACAAAGAAAATAAATATTTTTGTAAACTTTAAGAGTATTTTTGTATTTATATAAATTATTTTTATTATAACAAAAATTAACATTTTAAATGAGACAAACAAAAATTAAAACATTAATTTTTTATTTGAATACAATAAAACATATATATTCAAAATTTTCTATATATTATCAAACTAATTTTTGAAAATGTAAATATATACTGCTTTATAGATTCGTATGTATATAGTATTTATATTGAAAGTATACATAATATATTCAGTATATATATTTTATTTATTTATAAAAATTTAATTATTTAATATAAAATATTATTTTTTATATTATCGATATTATTATTATTCATTAATAATTCTATTTTTAATTTTTAATTTAAATTTTAATAATATTTTGTAAAATAGTTGATAAGATATAATAATCTTTTCAAATAAAATTTCAAAATTCATCCCCAATAAACTAGTTGGTAACATTTTCTTAACAATAATGATTTTGATGTGATTTTTTTATGAATGGGAATTATATATTTTTATAAAAATGTATACAATTAAATAGTAAAAAATAAAAATAACAATACTCTTTTCGTCTCATTGGAAGGGTGATATTCGTTTTTTACACGTAAATTTTTAAATACTAGTATTATATTGGATTGTAGTAAAAAAGATAAAAATACTCTTGTTAGTATAGTGTAACGTAGAAATAATGGCATTTGTGTAATATATTATAAATTGAAATGGTATTTATTATATTAGGTAGTTAGTACAATTACTAAATTAAGAAATAGTAATCTTATTTTGAAACAGATAAAAATAAAAAATTGTAACATTTTTAATGAGACGAATGGAGTAATAAAATGACAAGTGAACACAATCTGCCGCATATTTTCAAAAAAGCATTGGAAATTTAATAATGGACCTTATTTGCATGTACGTATATGTATATAATACTCCCTTCGTCCAAGATACTATGTTCACGTTGTCGTTTCTGTCCGTCCCACATACTATGTCACTTTTTTTTTTGAAAAATGATTACACACTATAATCTCATTTTAAATTTTTTAATTTTTTTTTTAAATTTTAATTAAACTAATTAGTTATCTTAATCTTAATTTATAATTATTTATATTATAGGATAATTATTTTTACTAATATATTCTTAATTATCTATTAATTACACCCCTCCTAAAATACCGTATCTTCGGTATAGGAGACACGGTATCTGGGAGGCGGAGTATATTTAAACAAATTGAGTAGAGTCTAGACGTCTGTATGGCTTATTACCTTTATTTCAGTGATGTCTTTAATGGAAATTGCAATGAAAAATCTGCAGCGTGTTTAATCCATTCAGTCAACGGTCAACCTTCACTAATGTGGATTGCTCTAGGAAATTGAATTAGGGTTGGGAACTGTTCGAATATTTACAAATACGAAGGTATTTGATATTCGAATCCAACCAAACAAATACTCAAAATTGCAAATTGTATCTGAACCAAAAATTTTGATTAACCGAATTTTTGATTAACCGAAAATATTTGCAATATTTGCAAATAATTTGAACCGAATCAAAATTAAAAAATAATATATTAAAAAATTAATTAAAATTCTAATTAAATCAAAATATTTGCAAATATTTCAGATAACCGAACCGAAACCGAAACCGAACCGTAATCGGATCGAAACCGAACCGAATATAATTATTAATATAAATTTTAAAATATAATAACATAAATATATAAATATATTAACCGAATCGAAAAAAATATTAAAGACCGAAATCGAACCGAACCGAGCAAATATCAAATATGCAGTATTTGTATTTTAACTGAATTTGCTCGGTTAATTGAAAATTCGGTTTGATTTTTTTGCCAACATCTAAATTGAATTACTGTCAACATATAAATTATTCTATTTTTTTGTATTTACTCCCTTCCACCCTCCATAAATGCAGTTTTCTAGAATTATTGGATTTTATTGTGATTGTTTGAGATTTTGATTTTGAATTTTGGTTTAATGAGTAAATTTATTTTAATTTGAGCAATTATTTAATACTTTCGGTCACATTTATTATTTACGTTATTGTATTTAATATTAAAAATACTTTTATATTTATTTTTGTATAAAAAAAATTTTATAATTATTCTTCTATTAGTATTATAAGACACTAATAGAAATATTTTTGCAATTTTTTCTTAATATGTATTACATTTTGTTATAATAATTAATATTAAAAATTAATATGAAAAAAATAAATGGAACATTTAGAGCCGGACCGAAGTAATATTATTTAAACAATTATTAATACTCTCTCGATTCAATATCAATGTAACTATTTTTTATTTTAGTCTATTCAATTCTAATGTATCCATTTTATATTTTAGTAATTGTATTTTATATTTTAATACTTCTACACTTTATTATACAATACTTAGAGCTGTTAAACGAACCGAGCCGTTCGTGAACTCGGCTCGGTTCGACTTGATTCGACTCGGTTAAAGCTCATTCGCGAACATTAACAAGCCGAGCTGAACAACATAAATAGACTCGTTTGGTTAACGAACGAGCCCGAGCTTTGTTCGCGAACGTTCGTTTAAATAATATATTTATTAAAAATATTATATATACATATAAAATTATAATTAATAAATAAATAAAATATATAAATAAAATAATTTTAAATTTTCTTTATAATTTATATATAAATTTAAAAAAAAAAGACAAACGAGCTCGAACGAGCTTAATCAAGCCCCAATGAGCCAAACACGAACACGAGCTCAGGCAATAAAAATTCGTAACGAGCCGAGCTCGAACACTACAAACGAGCTCGAAAGTTTAACGAACGAACACGAGCTTTGTTCGCGAACATTAACAAACACTTAAAATTTGGCTCGACTTGGATCGTTATCCGCTCTAATAATACTACAATGAATGCCAATAAATAGTAAATGAATTTAAAAATAGAAGTATTTATTATTATTATTATTATTGTATTATTAATTATAAAATACTACTCCCTCCGTTTCAAACAAGGTGCAATATTTATTTTTGACACGAGTATTTAGGTGGATAGTATTAAATATGATAATTTAGAAATCAGGTGATGTGATGATGAAATAAATATATATTTTATATTTTTATTTGGATGATGTGAATGGATAAACTGTGGGTAGTGATTAAGAATAATTAATTATTTTTTATTTTAAAAATATCGCAGAGTATTTGAGACATAGCAAAAAAAAATATTACGGGTATTTGGGACGGAGGGAATAATATTATAGGGTAGTGTAAAAAACAAATAATTATATTCACTGACGAAAGGGGTATGATGTTTAAATGGATCCGGTCAGCTGTAATTAGCTGAAGTTGCCCTTACTAATTCATTATTTTCTCTATTAATATTATTAAATTAGTTTTTTATTTTATAATGAGTTTGCTTGATTTGTGTTTGAGTTTTAATTTCAATAATATTTTAAAATACAATTTATATTAAAAAATAATACTCCCTTCGTTTAGGTCAAAATGACCCTTTTGTTTAAGGATATCGTATTTTAGGTAGTGTAGATTAGTAAATTATTTATAATAAGTTATGATATTATTATTTTTTTTTATATGAGTAGTGTTGTTAACATTTTAAATATTTTTAGCATTATATATCAATAAAGTATATACAATATGAATATTATTTTGTAGATAATAAAATTTTATATAATACAAATAAATAAAAATAACAATTTATTTATTTATAATTAATTTAAAACTAATTTTATTAAAAATAAGAAATTTTAAATATAGATAAAATATTTATTTATTGAAGAGAGAGGTATAAATAAAGGGGTTTTAAGTGGTCACATGTGTAAGAGGTTAGAAATTTAATTTAAATCAAACATCTATTTTTTTATTTTTTATATTATACTAAAAATCAATTTTACATTCAAAACATCCCATCAACACCTATTTATATCTCATCGTACAACTATTCAAATTCAAAATTTTTACTATTCAAATCCCAACTCAAAATTCAAACCCCAAAACAAATACACCCTAATTAAATTAAATTAATAATATTTTATCTATAGAATCCATTCAAAATATTTTATTTGTATATTTTTTTTTTCAATCTCACTCATTAGTTCCATTCAAAATTCCTTTTATTTCTATCATTTTCAATAATAGACAAATATTTTTATCAAATATATACAATTTTTTGTTTTTTTGTTTTTTATAAAATACTCCCTCCGTCCACTTAGAAGGTTGACATTTACTTTTGGCGCGGTATTTAAAAAATAATAGTATTTTAATTATAGTGAGTAGTTAAAAGTAGTGTTATGACATTTTTGCCCTTATTTTTTTTTGTGTAAAAGTAATAATGTGATGTAAAGTAAGAGTATTTGTGGAAAAAAGTAAGGTATTTAATGAAATGTTAACTTTGTAATTGGACGTCCCAAAATAGAAATATGTAAACATGGTAAGTGGACAGTGGTAAGTGGACAGGGAGAGTAGAATTTTAATTTAGGTGAATAATAGATGAATAAAAATATTTTTATTTAATTATATTATAGTATAAATTTTATATTTACAAAATAATATGTATATTATATATGTATTATTAAAATATAATATTTAAAATATTTAAATAATATAAATTATATTATTTAATTATATATATTAATTATTATTTTAAATATATAAAAATCACATTTCACATCAAAATAATAAAGTAAAATCATAAACTACTATTATTAAATTATTAAATTATACTCCCTTCATACAGCTAGAAAGTATACACATTTTTATTTTGGGACGTCCAATTACAAAGTAAACATTTCATTAAATACCTCATTTTTTTTTTTTACAAATATCCTTACTTTACATCACATCATTACTTTTATACAAAAAAATAAAGACAAAAATGTCATTACACTATTTTTAACTACCCACTATAATTAAAATACTATTATATCTTAAACACCGAGCCAAAAATAAATGTATACTTTGTCCGTGAAGGGAGGGAGTAATATATATTTTTTAAATAGCTTTAACGAACAAATCAACTGTAGCGGAAGATAAGGAGTATATATTTTTCCTTTCATTCTTTTCTGTTCTTATTTTTTATATAATAATTTTGATCAATTTATTTTGTTTATCTTTATGTACCTATGAGCTTGATTGGTGATTTCTTTTTTCTTTAATTTTAATTTGTAATTTTAAAATAAAATCACTCAGTCTTAACACAATATTCCAATTGCAATTTTTTAAAAATAATAATAAACTATACATATTTTTAAAAAAAGAAAACTTCAAATATTTATTTAAAAAATTAAATATTTAATTTGAAATAATATTTCATATTTATATTTTTTACATTAAAAATCGATTTATCTACAAATACTAGGAGTGTGTTTTTTTTTTGAAATTGTTAAAAAAAAGGGTGTGTTTGTTTGGAGGATTGGATTTAAATTTAACTATTCATCCAATTTTTTATTCCCAAAAACATCAAATCAAATACCTATTTTTCATTTTTTATATTATAATAAAAATCAATTTTACATTCAAAACATCACATCAACACCTATTTATATCACATCATACAACTATTCAAATTCAAAATTTTTACTATTCAAATCCCAATCCAAAATCCAAACCCCCAAACAAACACACCCTTAATGTAAAAGTAAACTTTTAAAAGTAAACTAATTATAATACAATACTCCTTCCGTCCAAACAATAAATATACATTTATTTTGACGCGGAATATAAGAAATAATAATATTTTAATTATAGTGGGCAGATAAAAATAGTGTAATAACATTTTTGCTATTTGTGGAAAAAAAATGGTATTTAATGAAATTGTTACGTCCCAAATATATATATTTTTTAGCTGGATTGAACTAGTAAATGAAAAAGATATACTCCTCTGTATCTCTTAAGAATTTATTCATTTTTTCATTTCGATTATCCTTCCGATTTATAATATATTACACAAATATCGTTATCTTTGTATGATTACTAATAGGGTTAATTTAATATATTTACAGTTATTTATATTTTATCTTAATATTTTTAAAATTTTATTTATATTTTATCTTAATATTTGATATTCTCAAATGAAAATTTATTTTCTGAAACAGTGAAATCAAAGCCCAAATTCCAGTAACAACCGAAAGTTGTTTTGTTTATTTGATCGAAATTGCATTAGGGCATTGACAAGGACGTTGATTAAACAATGCTACATCCAGTTTACAGTGTGCCCCTGAAGAGGCGTGATTATTGCCTTCCGATCGGCCTATATATTGGGGAAGTAGCAGGGATTCAGTAATAGCTGAAACCGAAAGCTGAACGTTTTGGGCGATCTGTTTTAGATTTGGAGGTTTTTCGACGATGGCGCTAGCTAAAGGGAAATGGTTCAAGGTTCCTTGTGATATTTATTTGTTCGACTTTTTTCGTTATTATGATTATTATTAATTTTTTTTTTTTCTTTCGAATTATCCAGCTTCAGCTTCGTTGATTTAGGTGCAATTGATTTGATTGTTTGACTTTGAGTGGCTGGTGGAATTAGATGATTTTGAGGATCGACGATGGTTGAATTCGGAATCAATTTCATGTTGATTTGGATTTTGACCTCGGCTGCGTTTGATTATTTAGCGTAGTTCGATTTGCTGCAGATTCAGTTCTAAATCCTACGACCTAATTGTAAATACTTTCGTACGAATTCCTAACCACAGTATGGTCAAAAATTCAAATCCGATTGGCTTTTGTTACTAAATCCTAAAAATGGTCGCTTACTTTGGTGAAGTCAAGCTCTTGAATGTGACATGTGAGATTATTCAGTATCATTGCAGACTCTGTTCATAGATTTGGGTACAAGTTTTAGGATGAATTGCAAATTCACTAAGGAACAATACACATATATATATATCCATACATATTTGTTTAACCGTAGAAGATCCTTAGAGAAGTAAATAGCACTGTTGTATAGAGTTTCTTTACATTTAGTATTTCACTAGAAATGACATTGTGGATGATTTTGATCATTCAAGATTCTATTAAATTTGGAGCATGTTCTTGCTGTTGCACTTGCCGGATGGATTATCTTGAGATATTTTGAATTCTGCAGCTGGAGCAAAACAATGCCGGGCCGGGGGCAAGAAGCTCGCATGCAATTGCGATAGTCGGGGACAAGGTGTACGCCTTTGGTGGTGAGTTTGCACCGAGAGTCCCAGTTGATAACCACTTATACATGTTCGATCTCAATGATCAAACATGGTCGGTGGCTGATGCCAAGGGGGATGTTCCTCCACCACGTGTAGGTGTTACTATGGCGTCCATTGGCGAGCACATCTATGTGTTCGGTGGCCGGGATGGCGAGCACAAGGAATTGAATGAGTTCTATTCGTTTGACACAGTTACAAGTACATGGTCGTTGCTTTCATCAGGTCCACCTCATCGAAGCTACCACTCCATGACTGCGGATGAGAGACGAATATACATTTTTGGTGGGTGTGGAAACACGGGACGCCTCAATGATTTGTGGGGTTATGATATTGTCGACGAAAAATGGATTAACTACCCTTTCCCGGGCGAGCGTTGCAAGCCTAGAGGTGGGCCGGGGTTGGCTGCTGTACTAGGCAAAATATGGGTTGTCTACGGGTTCTCTGGCGAAGAGGAGGACGACGTGCATTACTTTGATCTTGGTGAAGAAAAATGGGTTGAGGTCGAAAGTAAGGGCGATAAACCATCTGCTCGGAGCGTGTTCTCTACTGCTGGGATCGGGAAGTACATTTTTATCTATGGTGGGGAGATCGATCCGAGTGATTTAGGACACATGGGGGCCGGTAAATTTTCCGGGGAAATTTATGCATTGGATGTAGAGACATTGGATTGGACAAGATGGGGAGATGAATCCGAGTCTGGTCACCACCCGGGGCCTAGGGGATGGTGCGCCTTTGGGGCAGTCCGGCGAGGCGGGCGCGAGGGGTTGCTCGTGTATGGTGGCAACTCGCCGAGCAACGATAGACTTGGAGACATTTTCTTGTTTGTTCCATGGTTTTGATCGTGATGCAAGATGAATCAACGGTCGGGGTTAGAACGAAGGAAATTGTTGAAGGTATGTGTTGTTTATAAATGCATCGTTGCGCTTCGTTTGTTTTATCTTTTTCTTTCTTTTTTTCTTCGTTGCTGACAAGGGGTTTGTGATGGTTTGTTGTAAGGATTTAAGGTCGTATGAGTTGAGTTGAGTCGAGTCGAGCAAGCATTGTTGATAAATAATATGATTGCTTGTTTTGATCTTAGACGGTCTTTGGATATGTATTTTTTATTTTTTATTTATGAATCCGCGGCCGCTACTGAATCGACCGGTAAACCCTCGGCCGAACCTAATACGTGCAGACCTTTGCATATAATATTGTGTGAAGTTATGATGGTAGTAGGAGAATTAGAATGAGTAAAAAACATTAATAAATATGTTAGTAATAATTAGTAAATAAATATTAAATGAAGAGGAATAGTTAGATATCAAAAATTTTATTTTTGTCAAAAGTAGGAATATGCAGATGAAAAAAATAAAATAAAATAAAATTGCTCGTAACTCTCATGTGATTTTAATATTTTGCTTAAAATCTCTCAGGAAAAATAAAGTGGACCACTTTTCTCCCATTCCATCGCAAGACGGTTTGTTTTTTTTTAATTATAAATACTTTCACATATGAGTTACTAAATTTACTCTAAAAAATTAGAACACACCTATCGCTACCATCGCTATTTAAGAGCCAGGGTTTGACAACATTTTCCTAAGGGTTCCAGGGTTTGGCAACAATATCTTCCAGCGGTTCCAACCTACCGTCTGCTTGAAGAAGAAGATCTCAAGAATATATTTAAATTTTAGCAATGGCGGGAGGTTTGTTAATTATCATATTCACGTATTTTAAAAATTGTATGACACTCCTTTATACTTTTAAAAAATGTTGCATGAAATCTCACCCCATGAAACCTCAGTTGTGTGATGGGATCATGATTTCCTATCCAGGTTTTATGCAATATTTTTGAAAATATTAGAGGCGTCGTACAATTTTTTTTTTTTTTTATTTTTAAGTAAAGTGGAGATTTACATTAAGTTTTGAAACTATATAGGACTTTCATGCAACACTTTTTAAGGTATAAGGGGATTGCATATAATTTTAAAGTAAATGAGAGATTTGGGCTGAATTTTAAAACTATAAAGGCTGAATTTTGAAATTATAAGAGAGTTAAGGAATGAAGAATTTAATTCATTTTGTTTACAAATGTCTTGGAGGGTTTTATTTTTTATTTTTATGTTCATTATTATTTTATTTTTTTGGTGTTAATGATTAAATTGTATGTAAAATATTAATCAATAAGGTAATTTTAATATTTGTAATGGTTATACTAAGTATGTAGCTATATTAGTTTATGGATTTGGTTGAGCTGGTGTAGGTATTAATTTGATTAAATTAGCACACTATTTTTTTATTTTTTTACCGTAATACACATTTTTTCACTTAAATTTTCTCAACAGGAATTAAAAAGAGACCTTCTAATGAATATACATTTGGTCTGAGAAGACTCTTTAATCCTAATCCCAAATTATATTATAAACTCCCTAAATGTTCTTGTAGGTTTCCCATGTTTAAAATACTGTCACATATGCGATTATTAAATAGGTTCCGACAACGTTTATATAATGAGTTCTTTTAAACATACGTTTTTTTTTTTTAATATTTTTTTCGTCTCATACATATTTATTTGTTTTTTTCACGTAATTTTATAAATATTAATATTATATTGAGATATAAGTAAGAATAAAGTAGAAATGACTAAAATAACCTTATTAGTATGTGTGATATAAAGGTAACGACATTTGTTTAATATATTGTAAATTGTAAGGGTATTTGTAATGTTAGGTAGATAGTACAGTTACTAAAAAAACGAAATTGATACTTTATTATGAGACGAACTAAAATAAAAAAACGAATATTTTGTTATGAGACGGAGAGAGTATTAATACATCATATACATTAATATAAAAAAAAATAAAAATTATGAGCTTTTCAAAAGGATATATAAAAAAAAGTTTGCTCAGTTAGTTTAAAAATAATACTCAATCCGTCCAAAAGTATAGTCTTATTGTTTTGGACATGAGATTTAAAGAATATTGATATTATATTGATAGTTGGTAAAAAGAAAGATAAATAACTTTTTTGCCCTTGTGAGTATATTAGTTAAAAAGTAGTGACAATTGTGTAATAATAATGAAAAAGCAGGGATAATTTTATGGTAATATGGTTATTTATGAAAATGAGACTATTGTTTTGGGACGGATAGAAATGATAAACAAGACTATTGTATTGGGACGGAAAAAAATGATAAATAAGACTATTGTATTGGGACGGAGGCAGTACAATTCTTATAAATATTACTGAAAAAATACAATATAAACATATTATGACATCAACACTATTATATATACCGGCGGACACGGTTCGGTTATTTGCAAATATGCAGGTATTTGATAACTGAACCGAACCGAACAAATACCTGAAATCGCGAACCATATCCGAACCGAAAGTTTTGGTTAACCGAAAATATTTATAGTATTTGCAAATTACTCGAACAGAATCGAAATTAAGAAAAAATATATAAAAAAATAATTAAAATTTTAATTAAATAAAAAATATGTGCAAATATTTCAAATATCCGAATCGAAATCGAACGAAACCGAATCGAATATAATTATTAATATAAAATTTAAAATATAATAATATAAATATATAAATATTTTCGGTTCGGTTAACCAAACCGAAAAAAATATGAAAAATCGAAACCGACGAAAAAATATGCAGTATTTATATTCGAACCGAATTTGCGCGGTTAACCGAAAATTCGGTTCGGTTCAGCAGTTCGACGATTCGGTTCGATTTTTTGCCCACCCCTAATTATATACACTTACCTACCTTCTCGATCCAAATGGGCCATTTGGAATTTTATAGTATATTAAGAAATAATAATATTTTATTAGTTAGTGGAGGTATGTAAGAGATTTTGACATTTTTGTTCTTTCACTCTATGTAAAAAAATAATTGTACATGTATTAGTATATTTGTAATTTAAGTAAAAATTGCTCGTGAGTCGACCCCTCAGTCGTCTTAAATGAGCATCTCACACACATACATATATATATATACATCAGTAATTACATACAGTAACAGAACTCCCTGACCTGCGCATACTCTCAGCAGCCTGCGGAAGGCAATCAACTAGCTCAATCTTTTGAAGCGTAGAGATATTACTCAATCCCTGAGGAATCATCTTCAGCTGAGGGCACGACTTGATCGTAAGCCGTCGAAGCCGAGGGAAGTGTATCGGCTCGGCTACCCATCTCACAAGATCCACATTTTCAAGCTCTAAGCTCCTCAGCTCACCAAAGTGTCCCTCCAACGGCTTCCATTCGCCGCCCCGGCACGCATCGTTTCTCAATTTCAGCACTCGGATCTTCGGAAGCGCGCCGACGATCTTAAGCCACAGCCAATGAATCCTGCAGCCACTCAAAGTTAGCTTCTTCAGCGATTTCGGGAAAGCCAGCTTCCACGGCTTAAGCCGACCCCTCGACGTCGTGGCGAAATCCAACACTTGAAATTTCAACTTCTCGAGCTCGTCTAGACAGGCCAAGTTTTTAAGTTGATACATGGACCATTCCTTGAAGGATTCTTGATCCACGTCGTAAGAAATCGACAGCTTCTTTAGCCTTTTAATCTTTTCGAGAACATGAGGGCTCAAACTCAAGTTTACCACGTCCGCAAGCGTTTCTAGAGCTAGAGCATTGGTCCGAAACGGCGGGGTAGATAAATGAGCCGGCGGGATATGTACATGCACTAGATTCGGCATCATCCAAATCTCGATCGGCAAGTAGCTCCCCGTCGAAGGAGATGTGTTGCGATGAACAATGGTTCGAAGGTTTTGGAGTCGAGAAATGTAGGGAGGAAGCGTTTCGCCGAATGTAAGAGCAAGGTATCTCAAACTCACCAATTCGGTTATCTCCAAAGGGAATGTGCTAAAATTCAATGCGAGTAGATCCAACACTTTGAGCAGCTTATAGCGAAATTCGTCGAGCTTCGGGGTAGAATGCTCGGTTCCGATAGACACGAGAGAATGCGCCTTGGAGGCGTTGTGTTTTACGCTATCCATAATGTCCGGACAATCTCTCAAAACGTCGTGGCAAACACTTAACCTGTGGTACTCTTGGATGTCGGGTTGAAGAGCATCTTCCTGTGCATTAACGATGAAAATGAATTTTTCCTTTCGCGCCTCGCCTAGACACAATTCCCTTAGGACATCATGGATCGCGCATCGTTTTATCTTGCCTTGTGAGCCCCGGGTAGCAACCAAAACGAGGTTTCTTTCGACTAGATCTTCCAAGTATTCCTCCGCCAATTCTTCCATGCTTTTAGCACTTTCGCATCGGACAAAGCCCTCGGCAGCCCATAGTCGAAAGAGTTTAGCGCTACGAACGTTATAATCTTCCGGAAACATCAGCATGTAGAGAAAACAAGGTCTCAAGTGATGAGGCAAGTGGTAATAACTTAAACCCAATATAGCAATACACCAATCCTCGTCTTTCGCGGCTATTTCTAAATTATCCGCGAAACTTAGCCAAACTTGTCTTGTTCGAACAATTTTGGACAAACTAGCGCCGGTCACAACGAGCAACAGAGGAAGTCCCTTACAACATCGGACAATCTTGTTTCGTATTCTCCTCAATTCATAGGGGCAACGGTCTGCTCCAAAAACTCTTTGGTCAACTAGTCTCCGACTTTCGCGGAAATGGAGGAAGCGCATTCGATGCAGCGTGCTAAGACAACCTGTGCGGCACGCAACCTCAGAGTCCCGAGTTGTCAGAAGCACGCGGCTTCTAGTTTGATCATCGCGGGGAAGACATCTTTTCAAAGCGTCGAAAATCTCCATATCCCTCACCCCATCCATTACAATGAGATATCTTTTGCTTTTAAGACAAGTGCCGAGATAATCCCCCAGCTTATTACCGTGGTCGTCATCATCATCGTCCTCTTGCATTGTCTGTATTTTAGCCGATTCAAGAAGATCTTGCACAACGTATCGAAAACAAGATTGTTTAGTCACGGTTGCCCAAGCACAAATGTCGAATTTTTGACGAATGTAACAGTCGTTATATACCTTTCTAGCAAGTGTCGTCTTTCCAATACCACCTATTCCGACAATGGCAACGACTTTGAGCATTGGAGACAAATCCATCTCTAACCTCGTCCTTATTCGATTAAATTCACGTTCCATTCCCACCATACCTATTGAAGCTGCAAAATTGGAGACTTGATCTATTCTAATTGGATTTTGCTTTTGCTCCATTTCCATGGCGATTACTTTCATGTCTTCCAATATCTTGCTCAAGATCAGACTTTCACCTATATTTATCCTCAACAAAATTCCCAATTTTCGGACATAGAGCAGAAAAGATGAACAGTAATTGACAGTCCATGAGATGCAATGAAATATGACAATACCAATGTAGGGTTTTGCATTCGTCAGGCCATCCAAGGGATTTAAATAGAAGCTCACAAAAATGGTGAAGAAGATTAAAATTAGGTAAACGAAGAATGACCAGAAGAGGCAGATTGAAACCCATAACAAAGCTGTTAGAAAAATCAAGAGTGGGGACATGAGTTCACGGTCCCTTCTACAATCCTCGTACACTGTGAATGCGATGAAGTCTTCGGCCTGGATAGCCAGGGTTCGGATCTTTGCTTGGAGACTTTCGACCGGATCTTCATTATCGTCCCTGCGGGTTTGGGTTGACCCGTTTTGCAGACAGTGTTGCAGAGAAGCGGCGGTTTGTCGCATGGATTGGAGTTGGGGAAGGTTGAGGGAAATGATGGGAATAGTACGATGATTGAGGATGTTGTCGAGAGTGAGCAAGAGGGAGGACAGAGCACCGTAGGCTGCCATTCGATATGTATGGTGGAGCTGGAGAGACTTCTTTCACGTTTGTTTGTTTGTTTGCAGAAAGATGGGAGCGACGACTTTTGGAGGAACCGAGGTAGGTGGAGCTGGAAGGGATAGGGAAATTAACAATTAAGACAAGAGATACGTACAATGTATGTATGCAAGGACTAAAGTAGAGAGGAGCTTATTATTTTTTATTTTTATTTTTATTTTTACTTTTATTGAATGACGTCTCTCCGGAAAACACGCAAGAAGCATGTGTATGTATATTAACTTGCAAATGCACGGTTGACTAATTAAATTCAAAGGGACAGACTGACAGCCTTAAAACCAAAAGTGAAGAGCTGTCACCATTGATGAGCGAGCTCACCAGCACGGGACCACAACCCTAATTAAGACAAGACGGTCAGCACAATTCTCGAACCTAAAAGCTTTTCATTCATTCAGAGATTTTTGTTATTTTCCAGATTTTACACGATGGCTTATGCTGCTCTTATTTCACTCAAACACGTCATCGAGCAGATCCCCCAGGATGAGGAGAACCAACTAGTAGTAAATTCTTCCATCCTCAACCAACAGAAGCAACTAATCAAATCAATCCACGAAAACATCGCAGTTCTGGTGGATTTTCTGAATCGATTCCCTCAGAATCAGGACAGTCAAGAGTTGTTAGAAGATCGAATTAGGGAAGCAGCAAATCGAGCAGAAGACATAATCGAGGGTGAGATTTTGGATGATTTGTGTTTTCATCAATATGGTTGTTGGGGTTTAATGCGTTTCCCACGACAAGTTGTAAAGTATTTTGTTCAACAGGCGATTCTTCGATTTGGAGGAATGATTCGTGTCAAGCTTTGTAATAAGCTAAAGCTGCACCAAGATTTACAAAGTGTCCTAAAAGAAGTTCAAGCTATAGTCGAACAAGTGAAGATTATTGTGAAGAGTAGCAAAGGCGGAAAAGATCTCATTCTAACTCATTCTTTTCGATCTTCTTCTACTTCTTCAAACGTTTCTGCCATTGGACTTGAAGAAGATTTGGATAAAATTAGAAAAAAACTCTACAGAGGATCATCACAACTAAGTATTATTCCGATTATCGGGATGGGAGGTATCGGCAAGACTACTCTGGCGCGGTATGCCTACGATGATTCTTTGGCTACAACGACAACCTCAAGGCACTTTGATGTCCGAGCTTGGGTTACAATCTCTAAAGGGTACGGCGTCAAGAAAATTATTTCAAGAATCTTCGATTCGATAAAACAGTCTAAAGTTGAGATACATGATAAGATGGACGAGGAGGAGATGGTAGTAAATTTGTACAAGTTCTTGAAGGATCGGAGATATCTAATTGTAATGGACGATGTGTGGGAAACAAGTGGATGGGACTATTACTATGACTTAATCCGGGCATTTCCGGATGACGGTAATGGAAGTCGGGTTGTAATAACATCTAGGCAAGAGGCTTCTTTCTTCGGTCCATCCACTCGCCCTCATCACATGAAGTTGATGGACGAAGTTCAAAGTTTGAATCTTTTGAAGGATAGGGTGTTTGGAAAAGAAGATTGCCCGCCGGAGCTAGAGGAAATTGGTGTTTTTATCGTGAGAAAGTGCGAAGGGCTTCCTCTCGCCATTGTGGTGATCGCGGGAATCCTCTCTAAGGCCGATCCGATGCAAGAAACTTGGGAAGATGTCGCGGACAACATCGATGGAGCAATGAATATGAACGACGACGAGGATTTCGCACGGATACTATCCTTGAGTTATACGCGCTTGCCGCATCACTTGAGGCCTTGTTTTCTCTACATGGCGAGTTTTCCCGAGAATTATGAGATTCGTGTCTCTAAACTTTTCAAGCTGTGGATTGCGGAGGGGTTTCTCGAATCTAACGATCCGGACAAGGCCGCGAAGGATTGTTTGGATGATTTGATCAAGAGAAGTCTTGTTTTGGTCGTGAAGAAGTCTCTCAATGGAAGTATCAAATCTGTGAAGATTCATGATCTTTTGAGAGATCTTTGCATAAAAATTGCTCAAGATGAGAAGTTTCTTCAAGTCGTGAACAATAAGCACCCCGAGGATGTATCCAATCTACGCCGCGTGAGCGCTTGTTCGTATATTTCGGATACATTTTGGCGCAGTACCGAGAAATCATCCATAAGAACCGTTCTTCTACCTTTGCCAAGTATGAACTTGATCTTTTCTAATAGTTTCCATCTTCTTCAGATACTAGACGCGAACATCGTGCATTTACAATACTTCCCCATCGAAATAGGCCATCTGTTTCTGTTGAAGCACCTCGCCTTGCTGACATCCGACTTTGAGAACAAGGTCGGAGTCATCGAGTACTTATCTGATTTGAAAAAGCTCGAAACATTAATCCTTATGTCGCAATCTAGGCTTCGCCGCCGCGACTTGTATCTACTTCCATTGGCGACGTGGCGAATGCCCCGGCTACGGCATCTTATCTTGTTCGACATGTGCTTGGCTGATCCGGGCGCGCCAAAATTAACAATCTTTAAAAGCCTCGAAACTCTATCGCGAGTTTCAAGCTTCATATGCTCCGAATGGGCCGTGAAACTTGTCCCGAATCTTAAAAAGTTGAAGATCTTTTATCAATCCGGCGACATTGCCAAAACCGGATGGTCCGAATACATGCTTACCAATCTCTTCCTACTCTCTTCTCTCGAGAAGCTAAACCTCCACGTCGAAGGCCCAACGAGCGACACATTCCCATTGCAAAAGTCCGACATTTCTTTCCCGGCGTCGCTTAAGGAGTTAACCTTAACTTCCTGTCGACTGCCGTGGCACGATCTGAGTGTCGTCGGATCATTGCCGAAGCTCCAACTTCTGAAACTGCGAGACAATGCCTGTTGTGGCCAAAGATGGACGACGAATGAGGGCGAGTTTAGTCAGCTAAAAGTGCTCGTCATCGAGAGATCTGATCTCCGGGAATGGGTGGTCGATGAACCTTCGCATTTCCGGCGACTCGAGAGCTTATATCTATCTTTTTGTACAGCATTGGAAAAGATTCCAACGAGCATTGGAGATATAAACACACTTGGATTGATAGAGGTGCAATCCTGCAAGCCTTCCGCCGTCGAATCGGCTAATTCGATCAGAGAAGAACAGAGGGGCTATGGAAATTATCAGCTTCTTGTTCGTATATTCCAACCGGATCCCGATCCAAGAGGCTTAAGGTAGGATCGTTATCTGTACTATTCTCATTCATGTCTCGTAAAATTGCTCATAACTTTTACTTGGTTTCGAAATTCAGCGTAAAATCTCTCTATACTTTAAAAATTGCATAGCACTCCTTATACTTTAAAAAAACGTTGCATAAAAATCCCACCGCTATGAAACCATGAGAAAATTATTTTCTATCTATATATTTTGGATGGTGGGGGGTTTTATACAAATATTTTTTAAAGTACAAGAGAGCACCATGCAATTTTTAGAGTAAAAATGGAGATTTACAATGAGTTTTGAAATCACAGAAGGATTTCATGCAACGTTATTTAAAGTATAAAGGGGCGCCACATAATTTTTAAAGTAAAGAAAAAATTTACGTTGAGTTTTAAAACCACAAAAGAATTATGGGCAATTTAGCCTTAATGATTTATAAACTGCACGAGACTGATCATTTTTTTCCGTAGCATAAAGACTATGGTACATACTTTTCAAACTCTAGCTAATTTTGCCTACTCTTAATTATTCCACGTTTGTAAATCAATACTATTCACTCTGCTGAGACTATTTTTTTTTACAAAATAACACATCAAAATACTATTTAAACAAAAGTTCAATGGCAACAGAAAGCGTAAGGAGGCTGTTGAAAGGAGATCAGTATTCAGACAAAACAAGCGATGGTTGGAGTAATCGATCCGATCGACCAACGTCGTGTAATGCAATGAGAATCAAGTGTAAGAATAAGTGGTATATATATAACATCAAGTAATTGTGTGATTTGGTTTCCGGTTTTATTATTCTTTAACTTTGTTTTTTCTCAAAAATATCAAATTAAATACTATTTTTTATTTATTTTATTACACTAAAATCTAATTTTACATTCAAAATATTACGTCAATACGTATTTATATCACATCAAACAACTATTTTAATTCAAAATTTTACTATTCAACGTCAAAATAACACGAGTAAACACTCTCTTTGTGTTCTGCTCTGTTTCCTCTAGTTTTGTGGGTTTTGTTTAGGGTAGTTTTTAGGTGTGATTACAAGTTTGTTTTAACTTAAGTTGTTAATGTTGCATATTAAATTGCATTCCATTTTGGAGTATCTAAAGCCTAAAGGTGTGTTTGTTTGTGTGTCTTGAACTTTGAAATAAATAGATATAAATATGATAGTATAATTATAAAATTAATTTTTAATATAATATACAAAGTTGATTTAATATTTATTATTATTATTATTATTATTTTAGTGAGAACTTACTAAAACCTAAAGACCAAACACAACCAATAGTTTAATAGTGCGTTCGTTTGAAGAATTTTGTTAAATTTTATTATTTATAATTTTTTTAAATATTAAATCAAATATTTATTCTTCAATTTGTTATATTATAATAAAAATTAATTTTATATTCAAAACACAGTATCAATATTATTTATATCACATCATATAACTATTCAAATTCAAAATTTTTACAGTTGAAACCCTCAAACAAACAAACAAACACACCTAACTATATTTCTAAAATTTGAGTGTAGATATGTGTATACATATATAATACAACTCGAGTATAGTTACACTAGTATGCAGCATATTAGGTTCGGTTTGTATCACTACAAGAAATATCAATTTTGTAACGAGCTTTTTACGTCTTTAAATTCATTTTTTTCGTTACTAATGATATTAGAGACGAAATTAGAAATAAAATTACGTTAGCTACGATGAACTTTAGGGACGAAATTAAAAATAAAATTACGTTAGCTACGATGAACTTTATGGACGAAATTCCTTTACAGAGTAATTTTTTTTTTTTTTGTAGTAGTAGTATTTACCATAGCTCATTAGTAAAGATGTTGTTCCAACCTCATAAGAAAAAAAAAATTAATGATAAAATAAATAAATAAATAAATAAATAAAGAGAAGAGAAGAAGCATGGCAAAGCAGAAAATAGACTATTACATGCATACAGTCAACCATACATCGTTGTAAAGGTCAGATGGATCTATAACAGTGTTATCATCGTACCCCGTCCGTCAATTTTGATCGATAACAAACGCCTACGATCATTACACTAAACTACGTTAAAATATCAACTATGGGAAGGAGATTCAACGTTGTTGTTTCGAATCTTCCGAAGATTATGTTGAGCTCTTAATCGCTCGCTAATCATCGACACTTCTTTAGCAAGGCTTCCGCTTCCTTCATCCTCGTCCGTCGACGCTGCAATGCATGCGACAACAATCAATACATACGATCGAAAAAAAATAAAATTAATCGAATAAATTCTCGGATTCGTTCGATAGCTACCGCAATTTTGATTCTCGACGACGACCTTGGCGGGTTCCGAGCTTTCACTTGAAGGCGCATTTATGATCTTTTGATCAAAACGATCAAATGTCCTCTCTGGTTCGCGCTCGTGTTTATGCTCGCGTTCATGTTCGTTACGATCTTCGGACTTATCGCTTAACGTCGAAAACGTCGGTGATTTAATATTGTCTTGATAATTGTCGGTGTCGACTTCGTCGCAAATCTCGCCGACGATTAATCTCTTCGAATGCCCGTAATTTTCTCGATACATCTCGAGCTCTGACTCCAATGCTTTAATCTCTTCTTCCCTCTTGAAAAGAATCTCCTTCATCATCTCCAGAGCTTCTTGATCGTACTCCGCCTGCTCTTCGGACATCCTCTGATATTGCAGAGCCTCCATCTGGACAGCCGCCTTCTCAGCCTGCAGCCGCGAGATCATAGCCATCGCGTTGTTCGCTGCGACTGCCGACGCGCTCCGTTCCTCGTCCAATTCCATTTGGAGAGCTGACAGCGCTTTGCGGTCCAAACGGATTTGGCGTTTCAGGAGTGTAAGAATGTCGCCGTCTGCAGCTGCGTCGCGCGCGTCGTTTGCCTCCATGATCAAGTCTAATCTTTCGAACGATTGTCTCTTGTTGTTCCTACCGGCCCATCGAGGACTCATTTGTGCCGAATCGGAGAGTGGGATTCCGAAGAACTTGTTGATCCTCGTCGACGGGGTTCTTGCCGTGAAATCGCTTATGTCCTCCGAGTCCGGTAACAGTGCCACCGGAGCGGTTTTCACGTCACTTTTACCTGCATTGGTTATGTTTAGGCAACGATGGCGATGCACAAATAGGAATAGTGAAATTGAATAAAAACCTAAACGTTAAGGTGTTTATAAAGCCATAAAAGAAATAAGTTCGAAATAAGAAGTAAAAAAGACCCGAGAAATAGAAAATTGTTAACTTGAGACCCTAAACGATCTCAGATAGTCAAAAAAATATCAGGCGTCTCGATAAATGTGCGAGTTTTCTTTGTTGGACCGTTAATGGATCTTGCGAATTTCGTTCAATTTCAAATAAAGACCGGTAAAAAAGAAATTAAAATTTTCTCTTAGAGTTGGCAAAATTGACAATCGTTTTATAAAGAATAATACTTCCTTCGTCGTCCAAAGTTATACTTACTTTTATTTTGTGGCTGGTATAAAAAGTATTCTTATTTTCTTTATTATAAAAGAAAATGTTTCTGCTTTATCCATTTTTTTTTTTTTTAAAATTCGTACCCAGTCAAACAGACATTATCAGTGCAATCGGTTATGCGAAGAAAGAGTCGATAGGACAAACGCAACTCACCCCGAGTATCGGCGCGCGAAGCATCTTCATCCTCCGGAAGCTCTAACTCGCTATCCGCTACTAACTTGAGCTCCGTGTACCGGAAAGGCGGCAAATCCACATTCCCTTCGTCGTCATTCCTACCCAACGACAACGACGATAATGCTCTAGGCGACGAGGCCGGCGCGTTGGTGGAGAAACTCCTTTTATGCTTGGAAGACGCCGATTTAGGCTTCAACGGCTCCCTACAACACGAGCACCGGATGACTGCAATAGCCCCTTTGTTGTTTCCGGGCGCAATCTCCGCGTCGTCTTTGTGCACGACGAATTTCCTATCATCCTCGACGAAGAAATTGCGCTCTTTCTTGAAGTTGATCCTAGAAGTGCCGACGAGGGATGTGTACTTGTCGAAATTTGGGAACGAGATGAGACATCCGTGGCACATTGTCCGGATGTCGGATAGGTGGCGGTGGAGGTTGCAATAGGCGAGCGAGGAGAGGTCCTTTTTGTGATCGTCGCAAATGGAGTTGTTGTAGTAAAAATTTGGTGTCCGATGGACGAGCATGTGGTCGATCCGAGTGCATAGCAAGCAAGGGGTTGGCAAATCGAAGAGACGCGCGAATTCGTTGCAGATAAAGGCTAGAAATCCATCGACGAAGAGCAAGAGGATTACGACCCATTCGAGCACGGCGTATATCACGAAATGGGGAAGCTTCCCTAGCTTCGCCTCCACGGCGCGGCTCAATGACATGTTATTCGACGTACGTATTTACGTACGTACGTACGTTCCGAGTCAGATTGGATTGGATTGAATTGGGCCGAACTGAAACTAATATATATATATATATATTTATACAAAGGGAATGAGAACAAAATTGAATTAGGGTATCGAGAGAATAGAGATGGTTTGAAATGCAAAGAAATTAAGGAATTAGAAAGGATAATAGATCATAGATCATAGATCATGACCAGGCTGCAATGGGAACACCACACCCTAGACCATGACCTTAATCTCTTCTTTTTTTTTTTTTTTTTTTTTTTTTTTTTTTTTGTGTTTCTCTCTCTGTATTTCTATATTGTTGGCACAGTGACAGCTTGGGAAGGTGGTTAGAATTGAGGGTAGCCACAGTTAGGGTTGTGTCGGAATATGGTGGCCAAATCCGTAACTAATTAAGAGGGACTTACCTAGATTAACGGTCAGCCAACGCTGCCTATTGGAGGCCTCTAATCACAAACAGACACTCGTATTTATATATCAATTTACTTTTTTTACGGCGTTTTAAAAATATTAATATTATATTAGAGCAAAGTAAAAAGTACAGGTAAAAAGACTAAATTAACCCTATTAGTATTGTATGATATAAAAGTAATGACATTTGTGTAATATATTGTAATTTGAAAAAGTATTTGTAATATTAAGTAGATAGTACAATTACTAAAAAAAGGAAATGAATACTTTGTTACGAGACAGACCAAAATAAAAAAATGAATAGATTGTTAAAGGACGAAGAGAGGATATTATATATATATATGTATGGGTTTGTTTGGTTTTAGTTTATGTTTTGAGTTTTTTATGTTGATATTTTAAATAAAAAAATAAAAATAATACTCTTTCTTTCAGTTTATAATGATTTATTTATTGTTAGCAATTGGTTTAATAAATTTTGTATAATAACAATAGTAGATGATAGTTCTATCTATGAAAAGATTATTTTATTCTGATGATGTATAAAGATATTGGAAGAATATTGATGTAAATAAGTATAAATATAAAATTATTTATAATATATAATGAACTCGTATTTACTAAAAACATAAATTGACCATTTAAAAACAACAAAATATATATTTACTAAGTTGACGAAGTAAGTATATGTTTATTATTAATAGTATAAAATTTGAAATAAAACACATACAATCCTATGAGTCTTTTTAAAAAAAAAAAAAATATATTTTTACTTTTTATTCTTTGACTTTGTATATATATTTTTAAATATATATGTATTTTTTCTTTTTTTTTTTTAAATTTATTTTTACCTTTTATTCTTTGATTCTGTATATATATATTTTAAATATATATGTATTTTATATATATGTAAAAATCTTGCATTAAATATTGTTTAAATGAAATATTCAAATTTTAAAATCAATCGCCCCTAATATATTATAAAAAGTATTAAAAGGCAACAATATATAATTTAGAAAAAAAAAATACAAGTTATACAGTCTGTTTTTTACTTCAAATATAAATTAATATTATTTCATTTATATAATATTTCATAATAATATTATTTATTTTTATATAAAATATTATATTAATCAAATAGAAACTCAAATTTAAATTAAAACTAAACAAACTCATACTAATAATAAGTATGAACCATTAGAGTGAGGATTTTCCTCCGTGATTTTTCTACTAAAAAAATATCGACGAGAATAAAAGGAGCCGGTAATATGACCTTAAAAAAAAAATATCGATGAGAAAAAAAGGAGCCGGTAATATGACCTTACAGTTTGGTGCCTTCGATTAATAAGCTTGTAATTTCATGTGTATAGCAAATACCTTAACTTAGTAAAATCTCGATCCAACTAAGGAATGTATAAAGAAATGTGATCGATTGTTTACAGATATTGTAAATGACAAAATGTATCTATCGTTATTATTTGTATATTACATGAATTGTTTTTAAAATTATCGCGTCTTGGAACCGAATTTTGTGAGATTCCAAGTTCTCACGGGATGAAAATTGGGTTACGGTGCGTTTGACAATTAGCTGATAGCTTTTAACTGTTAACTGATTCAATTAGCTGTTAGCTATTAGCTGATTCAATTAGGTGGTTTGACTAACTGATTCAATTAGCAGTTTGCATTAAAGTGTTTAATAAAACAACTGTTTGACATTAGCTGTTTATACATAAAATGACTATTAAGGACATTGATATGTTATTTTTTAAAATATTTAATTTTATTTATTTTGATTTGAAATTTATGAGAATTTTTTTATTAATTATTGAAAATTATAAAAATATTATAAAATATTTATTTTTCTTTTTATTATTTAGATTTGAGAAAATTATTTTTACTAAAAAATAATAATTTTTTATTAAAGTTATGTAAAATATAAAATAATAAATCTTTCGTATATATTTTTTTATTATGTTAATTATTTTTTTTAATATATATAAATAAATTAATAATTTTTGTGTTTTCTATTTGATTTAATTTTAAAAATTTATATATTTTACAAATAAAATAATGTATATGTAATAATTAATAATAGTAATTATTTTAAATTTATAAAAATAAAAATATAATTTAATAAATTAAATATATTAAAAATAATTAATAAATATTGCTATAAAAATATATTTATATGTATAAAATAAATAATTAAGTTTTAAGAGTAAATAAGGAACAACTAAAATTAAAATGAAAAAGCTCTTTCAAAACGCTGGGTAGATAAGCTTTTCAGAAATTAATTTTTTTGGTCCAAAAAGCTCTTTAAAAAAATAATTTACCGAACACTTCAATTAACTTTTTGACTGGTTAAACAGCTAAAAGCTGTTCAATAAGCTAAAAGTTCTTCAAAAAGCTATTTCCCAAACACCCTCTTAGACTCCCAAGAAGTACTCCAAAAAGTCTTGCTTAACGTCAAACAAAAATGCCCTCGTCATCGGGTGAGGGCCCGGATTGGAATTAGTCGAGAGGCCGCTTAACTTTCAATGTAGGATCAATGGCTTGTATGAATATAAACCCCGAAATGCTTAGAATATCTCGAGGGGTCTAGAACTGCAAGTAAAATTGTGAGGCAAGTAAAGAAATTGAATAATTCCTATAGTTACTAGGGCCGGCAAAATTTGACCCGACTTGCTAAGCTGATATGAATCTGACCTGAAATAGTTGGATTTCGAGTTAAATTTTTTGGTCCAATTAATAATTGGGTCAAACCAATTTAACCCATTTAATTAAATAGGTCAGATTTGAGTTAAAATTTTTAACCCAAAAATAACCCGTTAATGAGTATTCCTTTAAATTTAAATATATATATTAATTTTTACCACTCAAACTCAATTATTAATAGGTCATTTTATAGAAAAATAAAAAGAAAAATAATAATATTTAAACCCAACTTCTGCAAAATTAGGGCATTCTAATTTCAAACATCTCTTCTCCACAACTCAAGCTGTTTCCTCCGCCTGTCATCCCCAAAAAAGGTAATAGTAAATCTTTGAATCTATTTATTAATTTTTGTTTTTCTTTCAATAGATTGAAAAACAAAATTTATCGCATGTTTGTGTGCTAAGTCTGTGCATTATTGTTTCACAGTCGTAAGTTAAAAAATAAAATTTATATTTTGAATATAATTTTAAATATATTGTGAATGAGTTGATTTTTATTTTTTTATTATTATTTTTCCAATTTATTTATTATACTTTTTTGGCAATAAATTTATTTTTATTTAAATTGTATATAAACAGCAGTGATGCATCAACACAGTGCTGATTCTGTTCACTTAGATTCTTCTGAAGAGGAAGGGGATAACAATAACAAAAGTCAGGAAGAATCACAGGTATCAAAAAACAATTATAAACCTGTTACTCCTGGAAATAAAAAACGGGTTCGTAGACTTACTTCTGAAGTTTGGGCGCATTTCGATTTTCTTGGTGAACCTGATGAAACTGGAAAGTTGGTATGTAAATGCAAGAAATGTGGCAAACTTTTTAATGGGTCAAGTACAATGGGCACAAGAAACTTTAGTCGTCATCTTAAAGTTTGTCTGAAGAGTACCTATAAAGATGTTGAACAAATAATTTTGTCAACATCTTCTTCAAGTTTAGAAAACAGATTACCAAAATTCAGTATTGATGTTTTCCGTGAACTATTAGCCCTTGCTATTGTTAAGCACGATCTTCCATTTCAATTTGTTGAATATGAAGGAATTAGACATGATTATTTGAATCCTGAATCAAAGTCAGTTTCAAGGAATACAATTAAATATGATGTGCTTCAGATGTTCATGATGGAGAAACATAGACTAAATGAGGAATTGAATTTGATTAATGGTAGGGTATCGCTCACATCAGATTGTTGGACTTCTATAACTACAGATGACTATATCTCTCTAACCGCTCACTTTGTTGATAAAGATTGGTGCTTGCAGAAAAAAATTTTGAACTTTTGTTTTACGCCTCCACCTCATATAGGAGTTCATTTAAGTGATCAAGTATGTGCTATGTTGAAGGATTGGGGTATTTCAAAGAAATTTTTTTCTATTACCTTGGATAATGCATCGTCAAATGATGTTTTCGTTGATGTTCTTAGAGGTGAACTTGACTTGGTTTGTGATGGTGAATTTCTTCATGTACGATGTTGTGCCCATATATTGAATTTGATAGTTCAAGATGGGTTGAAAGAGATTGATGGTGCTGTTTTGAAGGTTAGGGAAAGTGTGAAGTATTGTAAAAGTTCTCAAAGTCGAAAGCAACGATTTTGAAGTTGTGTTGAACATGTTGGACTTGAATCTTCTAGGGGATTAAAACAAGATGTTCCAACTAGGTGGAATTCGACATATTTGATGTTAGAAAGTGTCTTGTACTACAAAAAAAACTCTAATCCATTTTCAGAAGGTTGATGCTAACTATGTGCATTGCCCAACAACAGAAGAGTGGGTAAAAGTAGAGAAAATATTCAAATATTTAAAAATTTTCTATGAAGTTACCCTGGAAGCAAATATCCTACTGCCAATTTGT